TCGCTCATCGCACTGGCAGTTAGCGAAGGTACTGTACCATCTACCTCTTTGGGAAAAGAAGGGATGTACATTAGAGTGTATTCTTTTGAAGTTCGCGAGCCCCGTATCTGCGGATAGTGTGCCGGCCATGCTCCCAGTAAATGCGCATTCCAGATCTCAGGACCTATTCTTGTTGATGGCCTCGCGCCGTTTCCTCTCAGATGCATCGGTTGCATACTGTGGACCACTGGGGTAGCAGTACGGTAAGATTGACAACGTGTACGCCGGGACAGAGTCGAGCAGAGAGAGACCCTGGCGGGTGAGGATCCACCAGTGGTCTATGCTTGGAAAATGTGGGGGTTCATTGGGATCGGTTGCCGCTGTAAGCACTTCAAAAATCAGTGGGCTTACACGAAACTCCAACCATCACTGGTCCGGGAGGGAGTATATCCGTCGAAATTCGGGGTGTGTGTAGTGTACAACTGGTAATCTAGCTGCGCAGGTGAGGCAACCAGCGATCAAGCCAGGATTAGCCGCCGTTGATGACCATCCCACAGTATGACGTCCTGAGGCAGAAATTGCTTCCCACTGCTACCTCTGCAACCAATATCCGTAGAGGTTAGCTTATGCGTGCTATATATAGGCTCATTATGAGTGACACCATTCCACGATGATCATGGTCAACAAGTGAAGCCATCATCGATGGGTGGGCAGTTCGCTCCGACATCAACCGAAGGTCCGGCTCTGAAGGTAACGAAGTGGCAAGGAGACGGGAAGACGGACTGAATTTCAGGTTCGCCATCCATGCTGGAACACGTCGATGGCTGAGAGCGAAGAAAGAGAAGGCATAGTGGCATAGGACTTGGATGGGAGAGTGACTTGAGTGATTGTACTGAGTAGCAGAGTTCAAGGTTAGTAGTAGTTTACTGGTGCCCAGTGCAGGTGGCAGGCTATAGTAGACCAAAGTAGACTAGCGTATTGCACGGGCCGCGACCAAGGGGGCCTCGACACCTTAGGCCATGTTAGCGCCGAGTCGGCTGCTGCACACCATCTTCAAGGTTCCATCCTCTGCACCCATCCATTCATCCATCCATCCATCCACCCCGATCCAACGAGGCACCACTTGTTCTCCTCGCTCAGCCCCGGCTTAACTTCACTTGACTTGACTTGACTTTTCCGGCGATCGGAGCAAGATCCTAATTGCGGGTGTGCTTTCTGTGGTAACTCTGGTGATCTGGAACTCACCCATACTCTTGTTACCTGACTAGCTAGCTAGCTAGCTAGCTAGCTAGCTGTTAACCTGCTTCGCAAGCTAGACTCGCACGATCCCCATTTATTACCGAAGAAGCTGAAGCTCAATCGGCTAGCGAAGTCAACCCATTTCCGACCCCATCGAGGTGCCACTACGGAAGATCTCCGGACTGTATCCATCCACCGCTCAACCGTCTGACAAATGACATTGTGTGGCTGCCAAAGTGGGCGATCGTAGCACCGTTCAACAGATCTAAGAATGTGACCTCTACAGACACCTGCCATCAAGCTCTGCTCCTAGGAAGGGGGCTGGCCAGGCGGGTTGTCTTGACCATACACAGAAGCATGCTGAATTCTATGCTACCGCTGGCCGAGAACGCCCCTGGCAGCACCTTCGCATAGTGCAGTGTCTTAGCACCGAAAATTCCTTTCCTCATCAAATGGGGCCGGTAGCTCTTCGGTGGCCTGCAGCTGCTGATGCAGTCTTGATCGCGACTTCGCTAGAACGATAAGACAAGGCCACAGCCGCGGGTGCCACGGAACACTATGATCCGACGCAGGATAATGCAGTGTGTCAGGATTCAGCCTGCACTTCTGGGCAGACAAAACACAGGACAATCGCTTTGTAGATCCTATGAGACGCGAGTAACGAGCAGAAAATTCTCCGAGCTCGTGCGTGGACGGAATGTATGCAAGATGGCATCATGGGAGGATGGCGATCCTGCACCAACACGCTGTCTCCCACGCTACTCAGTAACTGACGCCTTCGTGAATGTGTCCAGCGATCAATATGTTCTAGAAACAGATGGGCTAAATGGTATTCGTATCGCGGGAGGCGATGTTTGAAGGCAAGCCGCTGACTCGGTTTGGTACTTACATGGCCAATGTCAAAGCGATGAGGCGTTTTTCTCCCAGTCACACACATACACTTAGTACTGTACTGCTAGGTAGCAGGTACAGTACTAGTTTACGCCAGTCCCACTCAAGACCAAACGAAGGTGTTATCATGACGGGGACTGTGATTGGGTTGTGCTGTTCTCAAATATAACTCAGTACTGCTTGAGTCATGCTTGACTAACCTAGCACGCCATTCACTATCCTGATTACTGGCACTGGTGTAATAAGAGTCAGGGTCATGATAGGTGCTGCGGTGGTGTTGAACACTCCGATTCCGTGCTAGCCACTGGGAGGCGTCGTTGGGTGTCCCACCGACCCACCATGGAGCTCTGACCAGTCACTAATTTCCAAGGTGTTACTACGGCTTCCTCGTGAATCCTCTGGTCCCGTCGATGCTGCCGCAGAAGATTGGGCTCGTGCTATAGCAAGATACTGCTATAAGTGATCCACAATAGCCCAGGCTGTGGACGTCGGACAATAACGGTCATGAGCCACAGCTAGTTGGGAGTGAGGATGTCTTCACCCGTTTTTCGGTCCTGTTTGACATTTGCGAGCACTGCTGGTCTCAGCCAACCTGTCCTCCAGCCGCCAATTTGGGCTAGTCCCTTGGAGTCATGACCTCTGGGCTTGAATTTGTGGAGATTCGCCGTGCGCCAGCTGTTGCATGATACGTATCATCAGCAGAGGTGGCACCGAACTAGTCCACACGAGCCCTCATCCTGCCAAATGACGGGCCGCGCAAAGCAATGTGGATGGTGGTTACCCCAGCCACTGGATCCTAGCCTGGCAGGGATCCTCCCTGACCAGACGGGTGTTTAAACCGTTCCTGGTGCTACCGCAGGCGCTACACCGGTAGGACGTGCATAAGTGTATGCACAATCATCCACTAGTGCTGGTGCGAGAACAACTGACTCTGAGTCTCTAGCAGTATGTACTTACTGTACGCCGTATCGCGACCGCGCCCTGACACTCAAGTCTCCAATATCTTAACTTCTTATTTTCTACACTTCTTAATCTTGAGTCATACAGGGTAGTGGGCACGATGTGGAGCCGTGCTGCGGCTGAGTCTTGCCGATCCTGCACACGAGGGAGGATTGAGTCGTGAAATCGCGACGCGAGATAACAGCTACATCGCCTGGGGCAGTGGGGATGCGACGAAGAAGGTCTGAGGATGATTCGCCGGCAGGTCCGTGATACCAAATGCTGCAATTAGACTGTTGATGCAGGTCGCCCGGCACGTCGACGGTCGCCGATCCGTGGTCTGGACGTCCAACTTTAGGATAAATGACAGACAATATGGCATGGTGGCTGGAGTTATCATGGTGATCGGAGGCAGGTTGCCGCTGATAGGTAGCCGTAATTCCCGCCCGCCCTACGGCGCGAGGGTTGACAATTGCGATCCTACTTACTGAGGACCGAGGACCATTGATAGGCACGCCATCCTGCCCACAGACTGTCCCCACGGCCCGCCGTGCAGAAAGCGTTGATAATTTCTTGCTTGCTGGCCCCATCGATCACTTGTCAATTGTCCGTAGGGTGGCAGAAGCACAGGCCGAGGGGTGGTCCCTGCAGCCGCCCTTCCCAACAAACCAAACCACCTTTGCGCTCGTGGATGGTTGAAGCTTGGTTGATCTCCGACATCAACCGGGAGAGTGACCTGAATAGTGGACTGTTCCATCCATCTCTCCAGAAATACAGGGTGGCAATCTTTAAATAGTGCTACACGCCACTGGAAGTTTTTTGCTGGTGGGCACGGTGACACTACTGCATGAGAAATCTCCTGCGTCGGTGTACGGGACAAATCGCGCGATTTCTCCCGAAGAAAAGCCGATCTGCGACGCGTTGAGGCTGGACCTGCCAAGCCCAGTCACTTCAATCCATTATCGCCCGCGATGCAACCTGGTTGTTTGCCCCTGCCCCCTATCTCGTATCTACTTTGCGTCTGGAAGTTTTGAATCTTATCGTCGCCGCTTTTCGGATTACTGTATCTCGCTTATTGCACCGGATGCTCGTGCCGCGCATCAGGCACTGCCGGTCCAGATTCGTGGACTTAACGTCAGGGTCAGCATATGTATGCCATCCTTGACTAGATGCAAGTGGTATGTACGCCTCTTGATGAGCACGGGTTGAGGTGGTTGGTTAGGACTGCAGTGTTTTGGTAATTGACGGGTTTGCCTGTGTTGTTAGTACTCGTAAGAAGCGACATCGTGGTATGGTGGCCAAACATAGCAGTCGATCAATAAGTGTTGACTCCGGTTGAATTACTGGGTCTATACGAGCTAGAACGGTGCTTGACTCTGTACACAGTATAGGGTCGAGACCATGCCCTCACGATTCTGTCATAGAAGCCCTTATCTTTCGTCTAATGGTTTTTGAGCTGTGGTCACTCATGCCGCCAGTGTAGCATCGACATCTAATGACATCCTCCCATGCGAGCCCATCTACATGGGTGCATTCTCTCAGAACGAATAGATCAAAGAATATCCCAAACCGAGAAAAGGATCCCTGGTTCATGCCTAAGCCCTCATCTCCCAGGTTATGTCTTATACAATCTCGCATTCCTGCGCAGCTACACATGAATTATGAACATATAACGAAAGATGAAAACCCCGTAGATATAGAGTACCCAAAGACCAAGCCCAGCTACATCCTCTGCTATAGTTATCCTCAGCATCCAACCCGAACCCTCCCTCCATCACATCAAGTTCCAAAGAACGACAAAACCCAGCTCTCAACATCAAAGCACGATTCCCCAACCCAAGCCTATCTAAAGGCACCTCACCCAAATCTCCATCTCAACCCCAGACCCCACACTCACACTCTCCCCATAACCCCCTCCCTTCGCGCCCTCCTCCAAAATCCAGAGGAATCGCCTACAAATCCGGCCAAAAATACACCCCCTCATCCAAATCCTTCCTAAGCGTCTTCTCAACAACCACAAACCCTTCCCTTTGTAGATATGGCACCACCCCTCCAATCAACTCCGCCACAAGCCCCCCGAACACCACACTCCCCTGGGCATTCAAATGCGTCTGATCATCGGCCACAAGATTATACGTCCACGCGTCTGCCGGCCCAATCGCATTGAGGTAGCGCGTACTCGCGGCATTCAAATCAATCCACAGCGCGCCGGTCGCCTCGGCGGCGGCGATCGTGGCGGCGCGCTGATCGGCCAGATTCTCGACGATCAAGGGCGTGCCAGTCGAGTTGTCGTAGCCTCGGCGTGAGAGCGGCGTGACGAGGATGGGGGTGCCGCCGGCGGTGCGCACGTCGTCCACAAACACCTCCAGGTTGGTGGTGTACTCGGCGATGGAGATGTTGGCGGCTGCCTTCTGGTCGTTGTGGCCGAATTGGATGGTCACGTAGGGGGTGTGCGTGCCTGATGCGTGGGCGGTGGTCACGCTGGCGAGCACGGTCGCCCAGTAGCCGTCCGCGCGGTAGCTGACGGTTGTGCGGCCGTTGACGCCGTAGTTGATGCCTGTTGCGCCGTGGTGCAGGGTCGTGTTGAGGAACCCGTTGCCCCAGCCGCCGCCGCCGGTGCTTTGTTTGGCGGTTGTGCTGTCGCCCGCGAGGAAGAAGATTGGGGGGGTGGTGGTCTTTTGGGAGTTGGGGGAGGGGTGCGCGGTGGTGGGCTGGGTGAGGAAGGGGAGGAGGGTAAGGAGGCTGAGCTTCATGATGGTTGAGGGTGGGATTGTGATTTTGAGGGTTGAACTGGGGTGTGTGGGTTGAGGTTCGTGATGCTTTTCGAGTGGTGAACGGACGTCTTATGTGTTGACTGTTGACTCCCTGGGATGTTTTGCCGTGGCTTAACCCACCAACTGGAAGAATCCAGTGTCAATTCCAGCAATCATGGCACAATTGGCATCCTTCTGCCAGGAGTGAGGGTAGGCGAGCGTGATTCTGCATGTTGCTGCCAAGGGCCTGCTCCTTGATGGCTCTGGTCACTCCGTGATGCAGAGAGCAATTGACGCGATCATCGTCATTGCCCCGCGTGGGGCAGATCCCTGAAGAAGTCTGTCTGGCTAGAGTCCGAGGGTCTGGAAAATATATGTCCGAAAGCAGTCCGCGCCTTGGATGGACAGGTTGATGTGGGTGAATTGTGCAGGAGTTGCTCTGCTCGGCCAAGCATCGCCCGAGATTAAATTGCCGTGCGGGGATGCTTGCTGAACCTGCAGCTGCCGGTCGAACGGATGTGAAGAAGGGATGAAAGAGAGGAGAGCGCCATGGATGATGGATTGTAGTTAAGGTAACTTACAGGGACTCAGAGATGCTACGTCATAAGTTAAACTTCAGGTGATGACTTGTAGACTGACTGTAACTGTTGACAAGTGCGGCAGCGCTGTACATTTAGGGCATCAGCCAGCCATTAAAGTCGAGCCACACCATCTCAGTGTCCAATCAACCTGGAACTGCGTCTTTAAGATAGAGACAGTGCTCAATCAGGCAAAGACTACGATCATCACCAGCATCGTGCTTATCGCAGCCAAGATATCCATCGCGCTCTCTTCCCCCATCGGGACAGAAACGAGTGATAGCGGGAAGATCTGATAAAGACGCCGCCATCTCATTCGAACCTCTTATCAACACCTCGACAATGCCTTCCCAACGAGCCCATATCGCTACCCCAGACCTCCAGATACACTGCCAAGATATGGGGTTTATAAACGAGCTTCTGCGGCAACGACAGCCATGAAGACTATACAACAGCACAATCATGAAGAAATCACCATCGGTCGTCGATCTCTCGCGGGAGCCGTCCGCAGCGGACAGGCCCCCCTCCAGCCAACCTGGCACCATCGTCGAGCTGAACCAGACCAAACGCGGTCTCTCCTCTCGCCATGTGCAGCTGATGGCCATCGGGGGCTCTATCGGAACTGGTCTATTTGTGGGAATTGGCTCCTACCTCCGCGATGCAGGACCCCTCTCCGTGTTTCTGGGATTTCTATTCTACGGGATCTGCTTCATCTGGCCGGTGAACCTCTGCGTGGGGGAGATGTGCGCCTATCTTCCTATCAGAGGGTCCATATTCGAACTCGCCGCGCGGTACATCGACCCTGCCTTTGGATTTGCCATGTATGTTCCCGTTGATCCTACATTTCCCTACATTCAAGACAATGTACTAAATGCAACAGGGGCTGGGTTTACTTCTACGGCGGCCTGATGCTCGTCTGCACAGAATACGCCGCCGTGGCGACGGTCATGCAATACTGGAACACGAGCGTCAACCCGGCGGTGTGGGTAGCCATGGCCATCGTGGTGTGCTTCCTGCTGAACATCGTCGCGGTGAAATGGTACGGGGAGACGGAATTCATCATGGCGTCCACCAAGATCCTGCTGCTGCTGGGCCTGGTGCTCCTGACCTTCATCACGATGGTGGGCGGCAACCCGCACCACGACGTGTACGGCTTCCGCAACTGGCAGCACGGGGTGATGTTCGAGTACTACAGCGAGGGCGCGACCGGCCGGTTCCTGGGCTTCTTCTCGGTGGTCGTGTACGCCGGGTTTTCGGTGGCAGGGCCGGACCTGCCCGCGCTGGCGGCTGGCGAGATCGCCAACCCGCGGCTCACGATCCCGCGCGTCGTCAAGATGACCTTCTACCGCATCGTGGGCTTCTACGTGATCGGCGTGCTGGCCGTGGGGATTATCTGTAACGCACGGGACCCGCGGCTGCTCAGTGCGCTGGACTCCTCGTCTGCGGTGGGCTCCGCCGCCTCGCCGTGGGTCATCGGGATCGAGAACCTGGGCATCCGGGGCCTCCCGGGGTTTATTAACCTGTTGATTCTGCTGGCGGGCTGGTCCTGCGGCAACGCCTACCTGTACAGCAGCAGCCGCACGCTGTACTCGCTGGCGCGGCGCGGCCAGGCCCCCCGCGTCCTGTGCCGGTGCACTGCGTCCGGCGTGCCGATCTACTGCGTCCTCGTCGTCTCGCTGCTCTCCTGCATTACTTTTCTGGTGGCCAGCACCTCCGCCGTCACCGTGTTCTACTGGTTCGTCGACCTGACCACCTGCGCCTTCGTGCTGACCTACACCAGCATGGTTGTGGTGTTTTTGGCGTGGTACCGCGCGCTCAAGGCGCAGGGGCTGGATCGCAGGACTTTCCTCCCGTGGGCGTCGCCGGCGCAGCCCTACGCGGCCATTCTGGCTGTGGTGATTGGGTCCGTGGTCACGCTGTTCAACGGGTTCACTGTGTTCGCTCCGTTCAGTGTCCAGGGGTTCGTGACTTCGTACTTCGGGATTGCGTTTTGGGTGGTCATGTTTGCCGTCTGGAAGGTGTGGAAACGGACAACCTGGGTCAAGCCGGAGGATGTCGATCTGTTGGCGGGCAAGGCGGAGGTCGATGCTGAGTGTCGCGTGTGGGAGGATGGAGGCTTGGAGGAGAGGCGGAGGGAGGAGCTGGCGAGGATGCATTGGGTGAGGAGAGCCTGGGAGAAGATGTGGTAGCGCTGGAGGTGTAGCTCTTACTCATGTGTAGTGAACACGCATCGAAGAATGACACTGTTTACCAAGGTGCTAGATTTACGTCGGAGTCTACAGATACAGCCATGTACCCTAATACCCTCCTGACTGCACCCGAACATACTATACGAATCTGAAGTACCGTACAGCATGAGCTCAACCAGCTCAAGCTCCCTCAGGCAACCAAGCTCGAACAAAGCTCTCGCATGCAAGAATGACAGCATACCTCGAAGAGAGCCAATCGATCACGCTGGTGGACAAAGAACGATTTACTCAGACTGTGCGCAAAGAGCTCTCCCAAACCAATGGAATCCAGACTGCCCGTCACAGCAGAAGTGAACTCGTTTACTCTACCGACACTCTCCGACTAAACTCTTGCTACCTCGGCCAATGCTACAAAGACCGCCCAACGCGAAGCATGAAAGGAACTCCGCCAGTGCGACAGCGCAAACGAAGCTGAAAGCCTTCTTTGTCCCACAACAATCTCTTTGTCCGCCTCTTCCTCTTCCCCCCGCTTTCTCTCGACTGCACCCACAGAATCATGCACTACTTAAACCCTACGTGTGTATCCATGGTTGACCCCCTGATTATCTACCACAGAGATACCAGTGCTGCTAGCTGAAACGCCGAACGTATTGTGCTGTCGACATCGAGGAATCCACTAAACTCAAACTATACAGCATAACATCCACCATGCCTCATCATTGGTACGTCCTATCCCATCTTCTCTCCTCCTGCCCTTCCCCCCCAGCCCTAGTCTCTACAATTATTCCATATCACAAGAAACACGCTAATATCAAACAGCACCGTCTGCAAAGATACCGTGAAGCCGGCCTGCTTCCATCGCGGTCACGTGATCAGATGTCGCGCGCCCACCTGCAAGCTCGTCTACCAGAGCTCCCGGGAGAAGGACTGCCCTTACTGCCGAAATGCGTCGCAGAAGCGGGCGGCCCGTGAGGGGAGTATTCCCAAGGATAAGGGTGGTGGTGATAAACCCACCGAGTCTCCTCACGATGCTGGCGGTGACGGCAGCGATAAGGAAAATGACCCTCCTTCTTTCGAAGAGCGAGCCCAGCAGCAGCAGCAGAAGCCGCAACTGAAGAAGCGAGAGAAGAAGAAGAAGAAGAAGAAGAAGAAGGGCAAGCATGTGCGCGAGACCCGCAGGTTGAAGGATATTCGGCGTGGGAGGCGGTTGAATTAGCCTCCTGGTGGAATCTTGGTGTAAGATTCTTGGCTGGTTTGGAGGCCGGTTTAGTGTATTGTTTTGTTCAGGGTCGGAACTCTTGATTGAAAACAGAATGACCCTTTGGCTATGTCAATGTCAATGGGAATCTTGGTTCTGTCATGAGTGTAGATGGTAAGTCTGCCATGTTACCTTGGACTGTGGGGGATGTATCATACTAATCTCTAGATCTGTGTCGTGTACGATAGTAACTCGCGAGATAGGTTGCATCACAATGTAACGGACCCCGGTCCTGTTCAAACTTCCAGTTCAGTGGATTCATAGTATTAATTGTATTATTGTAAATGAGACCATCCAGATAGTTGTCGCTGATTCGTGTAGACCCGAGTATTGAGCGACTACTTGATCCCCAGCACAGTTCAAACATTGTAAACCGACATTGCCGGACACATCCCCACCAACTTATCCGTCTCCACGCTGGGCATGAACTTGGCCGTCTTGCCCGCGCTCTCCGCCCCCTGCGACCGCTTCTCCACCTCCGCGAACGCAAACTTCTTCTCCGGCAGCAACTCATAAACCCCCTGCGCGTACTCCGGGGCCACCCGGTACAGCTGCGCCAGGTACTTGGCCTGGATCTCCGGGTACTCGACCACGCGCAGCAGGCGCGCCGTGTTGTCGTGCAGGTGCTGGCGCTGCGTCTCGTCCATCACGCGCCGGTACAGCTCGCGCGGCTGCTCGTACTCCGAGTCCTTGCCCTCGTGGTAGAAGTGCGACTTGCGGCCCACGTTGCTGTCCGCCACCTGGTAGGGCGCCTCGGCCGTGTCCGGCCGGAATTTGTTGGCGAAGCTGTTCGGCACGTACTGCGGCTTCATGCCGTGGTTGGCGTCCACCCGCATCTGGCCGTCGAAGTTGAGCGAGGAGTAGGATTGGGTCATGAAGGGGCAGTTCACTGGGTTTGTATTAGTATCAAATTGACTATGATGCGGTGAAAAGAGGGGTGGGGCATACCTGGGATTTGATGAAGGTTAATGCCAATGCGGTGGTACTGGGCGTCCCGATAGAAGAACATGCGGAACTGCAGGAGTGGGTCGGGGCTGTCTTCAATGCCGGGAACCATGCTGCCGGGAGAAAAGGCGGCTTGTTCGACGTCCCGGTGGAAGTTCTCCGGGTTCTTGTTGAGCACGAGCTTGCCAAACTCCATCATCTGGGTGGCTGTTAGCTACTGCGTTGGGCAACGCTCATCTCGATTCGCTTACCGGGAACTTGTCTCTGGGCCACACTTTGGTGACATCGAACGGATCAAATCCCAGCTTTGATGGATCGGCGTCCTCGGGCTGCATGACCTGCACGTGAGCCGTCCAGGAGACCTTTTCACCGTTTTCGATCGCTTCCCAGAGGTCGCGCTTGGAGAAGTCGGGGTCGATACCGCTGTGCTGCTGGGCCTCGTCGGCGGTGAATTGTTTCTGGCCGCCGTCGGCAAGGAAGTGGTATTTGATGTAGACGAACCGGCCCTCGGCATTTACCCTGATCTATATTAGAGTTACGGTGCTGATATCCTGTGCATTACTTACCATCGGAAGGTATGGCAGCCGTAGCCGTGCTGGTTCCTCCATCCCACGGGAGTCCCATGGTCGCTGAAAAACATCATTCCGGCATGGTTACTGGTGAGAGTCAGCCGGGTCCTTTTGCGGTCAGAGAAAGACATACCCCTCGGGCGTGTTTGCAAGCAGATCAAACAGCGAGTTGTGATCCAGCAGGAAGTTCTGCGGGTTGCGATACTGGGAGCGGATCACATCTGGGCCTTGGATCGGGTCGCGACAGAAGAAAACGGGCTGGGTGGAAATCAGTGAGAGTGTTCATTCAGGTCTCAGCATAAGCATACGAAGTTCAGTCCCACAATATCATAATTGCCCTCGCCGGTATAGAATTTGATGGCAAAACCGCGGGGGTTCCTGGCGAGATCGGGGAACTCTCTGCCGAGGGTGACGGTGGAGAAACGGACAAAGACAGGGGTTCGGACACCAGCCGATCGGAGAAAGTTGGCCTGGATAGTCAATCGCGCTGTCTAGGTCGGTAGAAAGTAAAAAAGGAAGTGTACCTTGGTCAGCGAGGAGACATCCTTGGTTGTCTCGAAGTATCCGAAGGCACCACTGCCGCCTAGTTACATGCACATATGAGGGAGTGATTCCACAACGACCAGTGAAGAGAACCCACAAGGATGGACCATGCGCTCCAAGTTCTTGGAACGATTGAAGTGCTGCTGTTTCTGCAAAAGAAAGGTATCGGAAATGACAGGAATCCCGCCCGCCGTCTTGCTGTGAGCGGGATCGGGAAAGGGAATGCCTTCATTGTTAGTGAAGTAAGAAGCATCGTCGGCCCGCTGGCCGATGGATTGGACCCCCGTGAGTTTGGCGGCGGTCTGAGCGGGTCCCTCGTTGGCCCCCTGGAAGAGCGAGTCGGTCGGCGCCATCGCGCCTAACGCCCCGCCTAAGACTTGCAGCGGTCGAGTAGTCATCACTTATTAGCAACACACCTGAATATAGGCACACAGTCACAATCACAGGATCTCTTTCTTTTTTCTTTTCATTAAGATCCTCCTTTTGACCTCGTAGCCTGCTCTTATAGATTAATCGCTCTCGTCGTGTCAGACCAATCAAGTTCAATTGATTACCATGTGGTCAGGATGACGGCAACCCTCCTGGGTCCCCACTCACGTCACCATTATCACATCGACTCTGCTGCAACTTTACTTCTATTTTCTATGAATTTATCCTTGCTTAATATTCATTTGAATTCGTCATGAAAGGTCTGGCCGCGTCTACTGTACTCAACACCTGAATAACCTTTCGACACAAGGCCATCGCGGAAAGTCACTTGCCTCCTGAGAATCCTGCAATGATCACTTCTCCGAGGAGGCAACTGTGCGCAAGATATATAACTTCGATGAGGAATCTCCCTGGCGATCCAGATACTAGTTGATTACGTGACCGGCCTATCCTTGCTGGCTCCTCCCGCTCGAGAGTCCTATGGGAGCTCAGCTCCAGCTCGCTCTGTCTCCTCCTGCCAAGGCAATGCGCTAATCATGACCGTGACTAGTTCCGTCCCTCCCATGCCTTCCTATCACCCATCTGGCTCGAAGGAGACCAACCTGCTTCCCAACCCGCACCATCCGATTGCTGCCTGAGGCATGTGACAATCGTTACCCGTGCAGAAGTGGGATGGAATGCTGCCTTCCTGGCCTTATTGGCTGGAGTTTTCCCCGGCCATTTATCTTCGGGGATGCGCATTGTAGAATGTGTACTATGTAGATGTGGATGTCCATTTTCATCAACCTGTCAAATAAACGGTATGTTTCAGCATCTCCGTCGCGTCGCATAAGACACGACCCGCTTTTGAGCCGCAATGGCTGCACCATCTGCTTAAAGCGCTTTCGAGTCGAAGGGTTGAAGTCAAGGGAATCAAGGGGGATTAAGTCTTGGCCCCCTACCTACTCCTTGGGTGTGGCTTGAACTCTATTGTGTGGTCTTGTCATTGGTGGCATGTGCTAGCGGCGCAGTGCTACTGAGTACGGATTACAAAAAAGGGGATCTCTTTTGGTGATCTGAACACTGGCATAAGAGACTAATTTCCTGTTCTGATAAAGCATAGTTCGCTACCTTTTATCGTTCAAAGCGGGTCAATTGATGTCCCAGGCATGAATATAGGCAGATTTCGAGCAGTGGAAGCACAGTATCCAATGGGAGATACCGATAGGATGATGCCATCCAATTCTTTTCTTCTTTTAAGCCTGAAGCCTCTCCTTTCTGGTCCATACATTGCCCAGCCGATATTGCCCAGTCGATTTAGCAGCATCTAGACGGGCGCTAAAGCGGGCTAACCGCGGGCTACGGCGGGCGCCTATTTTTAGCGTAGTTCGGGGGAATGATGGCGCCCGGATTATCGATGCGGTTCATCAGCATCAGCTAGCATCAACACAGTCAATTATAACAAAGCATACCACTCCATTGAGCGCGAGTCAGACGCTCATTGCAAGTAGTCTCCTACCTATCTATCTCAATTATTATTTTTTATTTTTTATTTTATTTTCTTTTCTAATAAAAAAACAGGTTTGTTTCAAAGCTTGTTTCTCGATCTTCCAGTGTGTCAGGTCCTGCGAGCGGGGCTTGGAAGGTGAAAATGGAGGGGGGCGGAAAAACCATAGATACCGCCATGTAAACATGCGGAGACCGGCTTGTCCCCTTCATCATCCAACCCACCCACCTACATGCAAGGCACGGTCTGTAACCCTATGCTACATAACATCACAAATGAAGTATCGATCGCCACTGCTCTTCCTTCGACTACTGATTACCAAGGCATTTTCACCAAGGCATCTTCTCCCGCAACGGAAATGATCTCGTTCAGCCCGCTGCAGCCTCATGCGACTGATGCGAATTACCCCACAATCAACGCGACCCCGAAAGCTCGAACAAACCTCAACAAGTCCTTCCTGACAATGTCTCTCTCTAGTCTAGTCAACAAGGATGTCAAATGAGCACCCTGAGTCAGTACGTGCGCCCTAGGTGTGATTGTGTTGTGCCATGGTTGCATCATCCATTCCACCAGAGCCGCACAGGATCACAATCCCATTGTCAGCACCCGGAATGCCAATATCACAGACCCCACAAATCGCTGTCCTGTAAACAAAACGGTTCAATCATGTTGACATTGACGCCAAAGCATTCTCGCGAGAACTCGTGTTTCAATCAGGTCGAGAACATCATGCCAGCCTGGCCTCTAGACCAGCCCAGATACATCACAATCCAGGCTCTGCTCCACCATCCTCGAAGGTAATATCTGGCGGAGAAGATATCCCAGTCCTCTGAGCGGATGTTGGTGGAGCACTCAGCCTCCAGGAGACTCCATCCGGGCCCCCTTGCCGGTTACGTCTCGGATAACGTTGCGGGACCCCCTCCTCTAGTCGATTGGCTCCCGCAGTGGAGCGTTCCGAAATGAAAATGTAGAGTTGAAGACCTTCTCCTACGAGTCGCCTATGGCACCGCAACCCTGGAGTCTTTCCGGGCGACCACTTCATTGACCCCTGCGCCGGCTCACAGAGTGCTCGTGAGTTTGAGTTCATGTGCACATGCGACAGGCTGAGAGACTCGACTCTAATGGCGATCGACGTGAGCGAGAGAAAGTCAATCCTGAAAGACATGACTCGTGTACTGCCCGTAGAATATGACAGACGGACAATCCCCTCTCCGACCAGAAAAGCACACATTCCAAAGCCCGTGTTGTGGCCCGAGCCCGGTTGGGCGACCGTGGCAAAGAGCAGGTCTTTATGGTATATATCCTCTCCGGCTAACTCTTCCCAACGTACCTATTCGCTCAGAACATAGGATGGCCTCGCTCGGGGTGAAATTCCTGTCACAATCGTGCAATTCAGCGAAGATCATCCTGCTGTGAAGGTGATGTACATTCAAAAAAGGGCCCGAGCCTTGTTTATGAACCTTCAATCATCCGCCCTTTCCCACAATTCCTGTTTTTCTGTCTCTACTACTTGTGACTGGCTCATTTTCCAGCCTATCATTGATTGTCAGTGTGACCAAGGCTGATCTCGCACTGTGCGCATAGATGGCATTCGTCACCCTCGTTGTCCTACATCTATCGCTATGCATCCGGGCAACAACTCGCCCATAGATGAGGAGATCTTTATTCCCGAGTCTCTTCTGGCAGCCGCCACCGCAAGCGAATCCTGGTCACAGAGTCCCCAACGAGAGATTCCCCGTCAACTTCGAAGTGGTGTACCTCCGAATGAGGTGCGCGTACACAAACGAAGACAGACCACCACCAGTTGGCCGACTGCAGTCCAGAATGACACGGCATCTCACTCGGTAGGCCGTCCCTTGAGCACTAATGTCCAGAGAGGCGACGAGATATACCCGTTGTATGAGGATTGTGTGGTAGTGGAGACCCCCAAAGGGCCTCAGGCGGTCCCTCATTCAGCGGCCGATGGCCCTATCCCCGTCTCCGAGCTTCCAAGTTACCCCGTCGCAGAGCTACCAAGTCATCCAACCCCACCACCCAAAGCACGCACAGCTCGATACTCGCTCGACGGTAACGGTATTCTCAACAAATTCACAGTGTTGTCTCCATTCCCACTACGCCAGACTATCAACGCCGCGGTCGAAAGAGCCCGTGACAGCAGTCTTGGGACGTTGTACGACAAAGCCAATCTTGTCCAAATCAAGCATCAACGCAGATATTGGGCTCGGATGCTGATCGAATATGGAGCATATACCATACTCCTCTTATTTGTCTACTTCGTGCTTGTGGGTCAACCTCTATGGGGAGGGGCTATCTATTGGCTATACTGGGTAATGCGCAACAAATTCGTTTTCCAAGGTGGATGGGCCATTGTCATCAGTCTAGTGATCTTGTAAGTCAGGCTCTTCGGGAGGAGAATGCGGTCCCCGTATCGTGACTCACGATCACACAGCTACTCGTTTGCACCGCTGTTGACTCTCTTCGAGAAGGATCTTCCCGACCCCGAGTACTATAGAGATCGTAACATTACCCCGGGCGCCCCGGACACAGCCCTCTTGATCCCCTGCTACAGATCAGCACCAGTCATTGGGCAAACGCTCGAGGCCGCACTGAAAATCTTCCCCGCATCGCATGTGTATGTTATTGCGAACGGAGACTCCACCAACCCGTTGGACAATACGGAGGAGATTTGCCGTCGCCACGGGGTCAATCATATCTGGTGCCCGGTTGGATCCAAGATCATCGCTCTTTTTGTCGGTTGCTACGCGGCCAAAGTCTTTCGTTATGTGCTCCTCACTGACGACGACTGCATTCTTCCTGCGAACTTTCCTGTCGCCATCTCTCGATTGACTGATAACGTGCGTTGCGTGGGCTACACGATCAAGGTGGTGGGCTCCGAGTCATCCAAAGGCACCTACTGCCAGCAAGCTCAGGATCTCGAGTACAAGCTCGCCGGGCTGCAGCGCACCTTTGCCGGTCGCATCGGCAGCGCCACCTTTCCCCACGGGGCAATCTCGCTCTGGGAGCGGGCATTCCTCAAGGATACGCTTCAAGATCACCCGGGGTTCTCAATCAGCGAAGACTGGTTCTTGGGCAACAGCTGTCGACGACTAGGCGGACGGATCAAGATGTGCAGCATGATTTTCGTGGAGACTGCGGCTCCGCCTGCCTTTCTCTGGGTCGACAAGGACCAGAGCCGAGGCGGCTTTGGGGAGATGACCGTCTTCAAGCAGCGATTCCTGCGCTGGAACTTCTTCATCGTCAACGGCATGCGATACAACCTGGCCTACATTTTTGGTTCTTGGAAGCTGGGCCGCTGGGAGATTGGCGCGAAGATTTTTGTTATGCAAGAGGTACGTCCCTGTTATGTTCGGCGTACAGCCGACCCCGCATGCTGACTGAGGCATAGGTGTACGAAACCGTGCTGAGCATTCTCGCACCATTCATCCTGCCCATATCGTTGGTCGTGCGGCCTTCATTCTGCATTAGTCTTCTGATGGCGACCCTAGGACTGTATCTACTGAACGCCGTGCTCTTCAATGAGATACACCTTCGACTGAAGAAAGAACGCGTGAGCTGGAAGGTCATCGTTGCATACTATGTACGTTGTCCAGATATATGTGGTGTCATTGCTAACTATCTGTGCCAAAGATGCCCTACAAAATGCTCATCGCCGTGATCAACGTGATCAGCTGCTACTGGTCTCTGATCAAGTATGCGAAGTATTTTGCGCAACGCCGACCGAAGCTGATCGAGGATCACAAGGCGGTAGGGATTGTGCTGAAGCTGGAGGAGATCCGACGACATCAGCAGGGCGGACTTGGGCGCAGTATGACCGTCCGTACGGTCGGAGTGCGCAGCCGCGGCAGTAGTGTTGGATGAGCTCGAAATGAGCGGGCATTGTGCCCTTCACGGATATCCAGCGCTGAAAAGCTCTCATCCTCTACGGTGGTATAGAGCATGGTCGCAAGACCGAAGTCTACCATACATGGAACAACCCCGGCTCAGACCCCCAACCCTCTCTCATTACACCTTCCGGTCGCATCGCTGTCCGGTCTATTGCTCGCAATCGGATCAGTCACCAACACTTCACCACCATTTCGATATCTCAACGACCATGTCCAGAAGCTATATCACTGCAAACGAGGAGCTCTGGCGACAGCGACATCTCGTGAAATAAGCTGAGGGACGAGCTTTCGGCGGGTTAAAGGGGGTTCAACCTTCGGCGAATTTGCGGTGCTGGAAATCCGCCGACCGGGTCGGAGTTTTCGGCGTAAGGTTCAACCCCCTCGGCGGGTTTCCCGGCGGGTCGGCGATCGGGGTTGTCGGGGGTTCAACCATATCCCGCCCAGGGGGAACCTTAACCTTCCCAGGTCCTCGATTAGGTCTATGTCAGTTTTCTGTTTATATTTACCAGATGTAAGGCCCTTAGCAGGCGAAACCCTGCCTTTGCTACAAATTTGCAGCAAGTGATTTATGTTTGTCCCTGTTGGATGGAATGAGGAGGATGCAGCCTGAGGGTTGGGATAAATTGGGCGAAATGCCATCGAGTATGAAAGATATATTTCTCCGGCGCAGGGTCTTGTACTGGGTACTATACGTAAATCAAGAGAATATGGTGTTTGACGCCCCCACCTAAACCTAGATAATCTAGTCTATATTCGGGGGGTTCAACTTGACCGAGGGGAAATTTCCGGTACTCACGATATCATATTACCGGTACATAATAATGATCTTCTACACCGATGCAAAACCACCGAACTACGGGGTAGGTATCTCCCCTTCGAACTGTCTGCGCCTTATAAAAAAAATACGATCTCTACAACGCTAAACGGTTCGCGTTGCTGATTTCCCAATTTCCCATTTCCTTATCTATTTCCGCCGTCTCTCGGGAGTGTTTCTCGGCGAGTCGTGTACCCAACTAACCCCCTTGCAGAGCTTCAAATCCTCAAGCTAAGTTTTGATTCTAAAAGATGTCAATAAACAGCGAATGACAGGAGAGAGATTGAGTCCCAATACTCCGATATCAGGAATGCAGAGACAGTGAATCCGTGAAGTGGAGGCTCCCACAAGGGCACGGTGCTACCCGACACAGCCCGCGGACCGGGAGTGCCTCCCGGCGCCGATAGTTATTCGGATATTGCGACAAACCTTAATTTTCTTCTCTATGAGTGAGAAAAGATGTGTGAAAAGAAAAGAAGAAGAGAAAAAAAAAAGAAAGGCGAAGACAGTTAGAGCCAGAGTATGGAGGCGAGATATAGATAAGACAACACAAAAAAAAAGAATTTGAGCTCCGATAGGGGGAATCGAACCCCCGGCTGCCGTGTGAGAGACGGCGATGTTAGCCACTACACCATATCGGATCTTGTTGAGTTTCAGGATACTTTTATGTCATGAGTGGGGCTTTTAGGGCGACCGAAGCCCGTCGGCGCGCAGGATCACATTTATATACTTGATTTACCAAATACAAGGGGTTCCCAAAAATCGGGTCATATTCTGCGGAGGGACCATGGATTGTAAGGTAGAGGGTCGGTGAAAAACCCAATGAAAACCCATTCCGCGTTCGCGACATTGATACCTCCGGTAGACTTGGAAGTCACCACAACTCAAAGTCCCTCATAGTTATGACTATCTCCAGGCCGCTACCGAGTCGCATACTTCTCCATATGGGCGGCATCATAGTCCCCTGTTGACATGTTAGCAAATAATCACTTGAGCCGGCCAGTATGCACCGAAGCAAAGCAAATGAGGGGAACACTTTACATTCGGAGGGCGTAGTTCGCGGCACGGTACCACCCACAAAAGCGAGAATCTGATCTCGTAGCTTGCGATAGCTAAGATCATGTGGGCCGGCAAATTTATTCAACCCGCGGTGATCAGTGTGTAGGCCCGCCTGGTGGACGGAGGTAATGCCGGGCCAGGCTTCGTTGGATTCGACTAGCACGCCCGTCTTGGCCGGCCGCATGAACAGAAAGCCCCGTTTGAACTTGGTGTCGTGGGTCTCGTAGTAACATACGGCGGGGATCCTGCGGCTGTGGTTGGCGATTGCCCTCTCCAAGCCTTGGCAGGTTTGTTTGAGAAAGGGCGTGTGAGTAGTGTCCAGAATGCTGACCAGTCGCCAGCGGCTCGTCGTCTCGGCGATTGATAAATTATTCTTCGTTTGACCCATGTGCACGATGTAAAAGAGGTAGGCACGCCATCGCTTTTGGCCGCTGGCATCGGTCCCGCGGAACGGAGTCCCGAGGAAGACCAGGCCTCGTAGGGAGTCCAGTAGCCATGCTTGTGCGTCGCGCCTGTCTTCGGCTTGGGCGAGAGCCTGTGAAGTGACAAGGGTTAGCACGGCCAGCCTCCTGCCCTAGGGCTCGGGATCTTGGATGGGAGTTTCCTGACCCTGGCCAGTACTAGCCCACCAAAGTCACAAGCAATGACAACAGTGGGTTTTGGCGTCCGAGTCAGCACCTCCTGCCACCTATGCCTGAGCTCAAACCCACGGCGCTCTAGCAGCTCGCTTATGCTTTCGCTATCGGAAGACGCGCTCCACTCAAATGTGTATATCCTGGCCGTGGGCATGGCTTTCGGAAGCATGTCGGGATGTGTAAGCCAGTTGACTTCAGCCCCGCCATTGATGTGAGCCCAGGCTCCGTCTGCCGTGTTTTCCATACCATGGATGGCAATGATGCTGCAGCAAATAGTCATCAGACATGACGCGGCGCCATAGGGCCCGAGAGATTTTACACTCACTTCAAGGTGTGGTTCTCTGGCACCACATGGGCCTTGAGGACGCTTGTGTGGTCCTCGACACCGGAGAGACTGGGCTCTGGTGAAGGAAGCTCAGCAGCACGAGCCTCTGGCACCTCCGGTCTTCTGCGAGTCGGCCGAGAATGGGTTTTGCCGCTCGGTATCGTTACTCCCCCCTTGGGAGTAGAAGGAACCTTCGCAGTTCCAGAGCTTGGGTGACCCAGCTGGGAATCAGCTGCGAAGCTCATCGTTGTTACTCCATCATTTGGGGTCTTTTTAAAGTCTATAGACAGCGTGCTTCGACCTAGCTTAGTTCCGTCGCTCGATTCGCCAACCAATTCGTCATCCTCCGGTGCGAGCGTGTTCCGATCGCGATTTTGAATCCAAGCCATCCCCAGAGCGGCCTCTGCAGATATGCGCTTGGTGGGTAAAGGAGAAATGAGTGCCTTAGCAAATTCCAGCCCATCTAGACCCATTCTCCCCTGAAGTAGTTCGTCGGGGAAGGGTTTTCGCCCGTTACAGAACCTCCGCACGTCTCTACGCGTCGGAAATGGGTCTTGCCGAGTAGCGATCCTGAATACCACGCAGCCTAAGGACCACATGTCGGCTGCGTTGTCATAGATCGATGTTGGTTCGTCAATATCGAGATCTCCGCTCACCTCCGGAGCAGTGTACTTTGGAGTACCGATGGAAGTGTAAAGGGCTGTTCTCTCATGGTTCACTCGCTTCGCGATGCCAAAGTCGCCAATCTTGACCCACCAGCGGGCAGCCGGGGGTTTTCGGGCCACGAAGATATTGCCCGGTTTGAGGTCGCGGTGGGTGAATTGTTCAGCGTGGATGATACGGAGGCCATTGAGGAGATTGGTGGTGATGTCCTTGACCTCCTCCTCGGGGAGAGACTCTGATATGTGGCCTTCGAGATCTCCCAGTGGAAAGAACTCCATGTAAAGGTATAGACTCGAGGGATCCTCCAACCAGCCGAGAAAGTTGACCAAGACCTCCTGCTGTTGGTACTGCGGTTTCGAGAACTTGGCCAGCGCGAGAATCTCCCTCTTATAGTCGATGGTATCCCGTTCCATCAGATCCTTCTGCACGACCTTGACGGCCCGACGTTGTGCATCAGTCTCATCACTCTCCAGCCAGACTTTGCCATATGATCCCCAACCCAAGGGGTCAGAGCGGCGGTACCATTTCCTCTTCACGATGTGGATAGCGTGACTCTCATCTCGCTCGTATTCGGTATGGGTGGTGCAGTCCTGGTCGATCACGGCGTCGTATTTGAAGTGCTCGAGCAGGTCGTCGGCTTCTAAACCCAATCGCAAGGTCTTGATCTTATCAGCAAGTTCTGGATTTCCCTGCACCATGTTTAGCAAGTCAGCATATTGCGACGACGAAATGGACATGGCGCTGTCCGTCGGGTGGCATCCTAGCACCCATAGCACTCTGGGATCGAGATCTCAAGAAGAAGGGGATCAGGAGGACAAATCATGGGGGGCAATACACGCAAAAGAAAGGAAAGAAGCTGAAAGAGCCACAGAAGATGGGGAGGAAAAGAAGGTGAGTTGGAAAGGACGAGGCTGGAGTGAGACTACTTGAGATTGCGGGGAGACGATCCAATAGGAAGAGTCGCATCACGGGTTTCTTTTACCAGCGCGGGGTCACAACAGAACCAAGATCTTCGCTCTTCCTTTTGTTTTCTTCCCTTGCTCACTGAGTCCTTCGTTCACGACTTGCACAAGATGGATCCGGCTTCATTTGCCCTTTCCGTCGCTTCCATGGTGCAGTTATGTATTCAGTGAGTCTTTTCATTTCATTACTGTAATCACTAAGTTAACCTCTTCTCCTTCGTCTCTATCACGCTAATAACATCAGTCTCGGAAAGGACTTGTACGCACGCTGCGAAGCATACCGTTCAGCCGAGCGGGAATTGCAAGAAGCTAATCTAAGAATCCAGGGTCATTGGATCAAGATTGAGCAACAATTATCCGCACTTCAAGCTGTATGGGAGGCCCTCCCAAATGCTTTGCAGATCCACCAATATCAGGTGCTCCAAGTCCTCCGCAGCAAGCTCAAGGCCGCAGTCAAGAGCGTTCAGAGTCTGACTGCGAACTCAGGAGCTGAGGGTCTTTTCGATGAGCGGATCGACTCTTCCGTGGCTCGGATTCTATTGAAGGTTTCACGCACCAAACGGGTCAAATACGCCGTCTACGCCAAGGAATCCCTCGAACACATTGTCGAAGAATTGGAGCAATGGCAGAGAACATTCGATCCATCCTGGTTCTTCTTAAGTCGTCTGGCCGTCCAGACAATTGATCAAGAGTTCAGTGGGAAGAGGGCTGCGGAGAGCAAGGCCGTTTCGACAGTGGTAAATCTGCGTGAAGCCCATCGAATTTACGACGGGGAGAGCTCCGCTTCGATCTTCCTGGGGAAGGATTTCGCCATCGGACGTTACACGGCGATTACCTCGTCTTCTTCATGGCTCGCTCGCACCGATGAAGGTGTGGTAGTTGTCGACCGCATCCCGATCAGGCGACAAAACGATCTTCGTCACCGCACCAAGGACGTTCGAGATCTAGCACGCATCCTTTCCAAAGTCGATCCGGATACATTTGGCCTTCTGTCCTGCCGTGGCGTACTCAGGACGGAAAAGACCTTCGATCTTTTTTTTTCTATCCCACAAAGTCAGCAGCAAGATCCCATTGCTAGTCTCCGCTATATTCTGTCGAAACGTGCTGAGCGCAGCTATACTCTGAACGAGCGTGTGAAATTGGCAAATTCCCTGGCTCGATCGGTCGTGTTCTTACACTCGTCGTCATTTGTTCATAAAAGCATTACCCCGGAGAATATCATCCTTTGTATATCGCATTCAGACCGTCTGGGTACGCCTTTTCTGGTTGGCTTCGATCAGTTCCGACTGGCGGAAGGTCCGACCTATTTGAGTGGCGACAAGGCTTGGGAGAGGAACCTTTACCGTCACCCACGACGCCAGGGAATACACCCCGAAGATGAATATATCATGCAGCATGATGTATACAGCCTTGGGGTTTGTTTGTTGGAGATTGGACTCTGGACTTCCTTCGTCGAGTACTCGGGAGATTACGGCCAGCCTATTCCAGGACCCTCAATATCAATTGAGAAGCTCATTGCAGAAAGGGATCAACGACGAGCGGCCTACGAGATCAAGAAAATGCTCGTTAACCTGGCCGAAACCAAATTGCCATGTCTGATGGGAAACATCTTCACTGAGGTTGTCGTGTCATGTCTGACATGTCTCGATAAGAACAACGAGCTATTCGGAGATGAAGAAGAATTCCTGGATGATGATGGAATTCTTGTTGGTGTTCGCTATATAGAGAAGGTATGTTGCTTTACGCTTGGCACGTGGTGGGGCTAACTTGTCAATCCCATAGATTCTGTTTGCGCTTCAAGGGATTGCGGTGTAAAAGCCTGCAAAATCTGGCTCCTTATTGATCCACTATGTTGGATAGCGTAGAAGCATAAAAGTGGGTTGCATTCGAAAGAGGGTATACTCGACCTGGATGCCTTGCGTAGCGGAGATGAAGGCCCTCGTGTACAGGCCCTGGCGGATTGCTAGAAGAGGCCCAGGCTACGGTAGTAGAGCTAGACGCTACGGTCGATAAGTCATTTCAGATCCGCGGAACTCTTGTGATGGTGGCACGAATGCCATCAAAGAGAATGGTGGAGACTGTGCCGAGGACGGCGATGCTGATGTCTGTGTCTGCGCGTCCATGCCCGCTGAGCGGGGTGCCCTGTTGTAGCATCTGGGCTAGACGATGCTGCAAGCTCCGCCTTCCACGTCAAGGTTCAGCCTCGAGACTTTTGAAGAGAGCCAAGGGGGAATGCTGGTAAACTAGAGTGATAATCACCTCATAATATATCCTGCCAGGGGGGTGGTATAACTTGTACATTTGGAGCGCCGCAGCCATCCCGGTTGGCCATCTGCGGCCGGCGAAGAGCCTCGCAGAGCGGACTGTGTGCATGGAGAAGGCTTAAAGCAGTGTATTGATCAATGAATCAACTGAGGCGTAGTACAAACATTCCCGAGTAATCCGGCCACGTGATCGACGCAACTCACCAAGCAAGTTGCCCACATAGAAAACTTAGTAAGTACAGTACAACATATCAACTAACAAGGAATCAAGGGATCGTTCCATATAGCCCCTTTTGACTGTCATTATTGTAGCAACACTCGGCAGAGCAAGCAAGAACTTTCACTTTGTAGGTGGTCGATATAAAGCAAGCTAAGAGAGTGGAATATCAAGAACCTGCATCTCAGTCACTGCACCGAGCTAGATATCCGCAGCCATCAGGGTCGCATGCTCAAACCTCTCTAACCTTGCGCGTGACCCGTTCCAAGGCCCGGTTCCGCATGTACTTGAATATGTGAACAGACTCTTCGTACATATCAGAAAGAACGAAGCCATCCTCCGCCACAAAATGAGAGATTGCGTCCCAGAATACCTGTATATCGTTCCAGCCGATGATTTCCTCATCGTAGACACGAAGATCGTCCTTTGCGAAATGTAGGGGGCTTGAAAACTCAAAGCCCATTTTTTCCCAGTGCCTGGAAAAGGCTTTAGTTAGCGAACAACACAGACCAGGAATACCATGGCATGGAAATTAGCGGCGTGAACTCACTTCTCGATTTGGATCAAACTGTCCCTCAGAAAAATGATATCACCAGCCCATGTATCGCCCACAAACTGAATGGGCCAATACCGCAGCATGCCGAATTCCTGGTAGAAAACGCGATTGAGGAGGGGGTCCTCTTCCGCCACTCGTGTCTGATAGAGATTACAAATGATAGTCTGTTTCATCTGGGCTTCAATCGCAGACTGTTCTTTGCTGCCGAGCTCGGCGAAATCTTGGGCAAGAGTGAGAATCGGTTCCCCCCCAAAGCGGATAAAGCTCGGTTGCCGTCCACTGAGCATGAGCGGGGTGCCCCATATGCCTTGCCAGTCGATCATTCTGGTAGTCTCTCCGTTGTTCACGAAAATGTTTGCGAGATCGAGGTCGCTGTGGCAGATGTACGGTGCCAGGATGGCGGGTTCGTTGGGAAGAAGATACGGTGCCCCTTGGAGGTACTTGTCAAGAAAACAAAGATGACTTGCAGGGCAGTTCTGGGTCATCGTGGCCCAAAAGCCATCGCCCGGTTTACGAATCGCATATTGGGAGCTTGACAAGTGATTGATGTCGACTACTAATGAGTTTACTCAAGGCTCTTGAAGATTCTATGTCGAAACCATTAGAGGTAAATATATAGACGCTACTATTTATTATAAACCCAGGCGAATATAGTACTATCCTAGCGACGAATGCTTATACTTCGTCCTGAATGTTAGGCTCTTTTTGAGGCAGGCAGCTTCGTCTATGACAATTGGTCAGTTGAAGAACATCAGGGACGAAGTGCAAATGTGCCAGATTGTAACCCAGGCGTTGTTTGTTGCCTGATGATTTGAGCCTAGGTTGCTCGCTAGGCGGAAACTTCAGGCAATAAGAAGATGGACATACTCGACGCTACATGTGGGAGGCATGGAACGGAGCCCTATCACATGACTATCATCCAGCTTCCAGAAGCCTTCATCTGATAGATGCAGTAGTCATCAACGGGTCTTAGAAAGGAAATATCACCTCCGACACAAGGGAATCAACCGTTTTCCTTCTGTCACTATCTTCATCTCCCCCGACCCTCGGCCCAAGATCAAAGTCATCAAGCCCATCCACGTATTTCCTTCCACTATGGCAGAGAGAAACACGCACATCATCGACCCGGAAGGAGATGTGATACTCTTCCATGTAATGGAGGGGGAAGAGCATCGTATCCGAGTATCGACCAAGCACCTGATTCGAGCATCGCAATTCTTTGCAAAAGTTTACACCGGAAGAGAACAAGACAGCACCGAACCCTGGTGCAGCAGAGAGTTCCTGCCCGACTTCGAGGGTTTGAGGCTTGAGTCCATCCTGATATTGATGCGGATCATTCACGGTCAAGCGTCTGTGCTGCCCGAAGTGATCGATCTCCCGACTCTTGTCGACCTGGGACTGCTAGTGGACCGCTGCCAGTGTGCACCACTCGCCCGGTACTTCGCCCTGCAGTGGGTCGACAATCTCACCGCGACAGAAAGTCCCTCCGAGAACGGCAAGGAAGTGATGGAGTGGATATATGTGGCATGGGTGTGGAACATGAACAAAGAGTTTGAGGCAAATACTCTTGTCGCCGTTGAGACAAGTTATGAGATGGTGCACTCTCACAATCTGCCCTTGCCAGGGAGGATTATCGGTCCGTGAAGCTTTGTTTTCCTGTTATAATCACATTACTGACGGTTGAGCAGAGAGGATTAAGAGAAACCGAGAGCAAGCCATTGCGAAAGCCATTAGAAAATTGAAAAGAGCGGAAAGAAAGTTTTTGAAGGGTGCTGGCGAATGTTGTTCTCACTTCAGTTCCATTATGTTGGGGTACCTTCAGAGAAATCTTTATGATGCCAGCATCAAAGACCCCATGTGGCCGAAGGCTCCATATATCGGCGAATCGTATAAGAGACTGGTCGAAGAAGTCGAGTCCTTCGTGAACCCTGAGTATGAGGACGGAGAGTGTGGCAACAACAAGTATGATTTACAGAGATTCCTCAAAATCCGCAATCTCGCGGTGGAAGTGAAACTGAAGACCTTCACCCACAGAAGCTATATCAACTCCGAATAACTTACGGCAAGGTCTTGGTTTGTGGCATCATCAAGCTTTGTAACCCATATTCTGAAATAAGGTCGTTTCTGTATTTTGTTCTTGTCATACAGTGTCTGCAAAAGGAAAAAGGGTGTGCGGGGTCGAGCCAAGGCGAACATGATAAGATCTACTTGGAAGATATTCACTCAGTGTACCTAAAATCATATCCATAGTCGCCCGGGGACAGCACGTGATCCATATGAAGATGAAATGAAGTGAAGTGAAATGAAATGAAATGAAATGAATCAACACAACACACAACAACTTTCCTGTACCATTGCGTTCTTCCCTAAATATTCATATTCCTTTGAACCCAGCATCGTACAGTCGTACATCATGTCTGACACAAACATTTACTCCTTCCATCCTGAGGGAAAGGTTATCTTTGTTCTGACAGAAGAGCCATCCACACCCTCAGACTCCACTTATCAAGGAGCTCACGAATCTGGTAACTTTGGAGGTGCTTCAGCGCGCTCACGAACATGCAGCTCGCAGCGTTCCTACATCAACCTAGCTGAACTGATTCCTAAGGATGATAACCCGTCGTCAATAATCGCTCTAGCCCTGAAGGTAAGCCCTCGCGAACCCAATGTTAAAATCGGAAACTCAGATAGACTTTCGCAGAAAGAGATCCTCAAAGACGAACGCACCCTCTCTGAAATCCCTCAAGCTCCCAACAAGTATCTGATACAAGCATCTGAAAAACACCTCGCTCTGTCATCGCCCGTATTCACACAAATGCTCAGCGGCCTCTGGAAAGAGACTATCGACCTCGCAACAGAAGGACACATCCGATTCGAGATCAAGAAGTGGGATCTGCAGCCCTTTCTCATTTTTCTCCAAGTAATGCATGGCCGACCAGAGCCCAAGGGTCTGGATGTGGACACAATCACCGAAGTGGCGCTCCTAGTCGACTACTACCAGTGCCTGGCAGAATTTCGACGCGCCATGCGTGCATGGCTAAAAGAGGTCAAGAAGACTCTGAGTCCTTCCTATGAGACATATATGAAGTGTCTGTGGGTCTGCTGGCAACTCCGTCGATCAAGCGACTTCCGAGATTTCGGCAATCTCGTGGTGTACTTTGCGGGCGACCTGATCGAGGGCGAGGGTCTGCCGTTCCATCCCGTCGTGCTGGGTATGACTCCGCTCCTGGCTTTCTTCATGTCATTAACCGACTATCATGCAGACAAGCTCAACGCCGCCCGGAAGAAGGCCCTGATCCCAATCATCCGCCGCTTGCCGATGCACTACAACAGCGAGAGACCCGCAGAATGGGTCCACCGGGGCTTCTGCGGCGAATGTGCGACGCTGCTGAGCGGATTGTTGGATTTCGATGTCCGACAGGCCACTCGCGATGCATATCCGGTTGCACCCTTCTCTGGTCTGAGCTTTGCTAAGCTCGTCGGAATGGAATGTCGAGGACGCCAGTGCCAGGATATGGGGATTATTCATATCGAGCGAATGTACCAGACTGTGGACCATAGTGATGCTGGGTCGGTGTCTCAGTTTGTCCGCAAGCTGAATATCAAGCCGGTTACCTTGGAGGAATGTTTGAAGGTGATGGCTAGGTAGGTGTCAATGACTTTGTTGGGAACTTCTTTTTACCCTTGGTGTTGATACGTGGTTGTGTCTTGTGTACTCCTGGTTTTGTCTTTTGATCTGCTCTGCTTGGTTGTTCTTTTAGTGGAGTCCTTTTGATGTAATGATGCAGGAGAATGATATATCAGAAAACGAGAGTCGCAAATCATAGGTACCATGAACTCTCCCCACGTAATCCGCATAGAAGAGTTCAACACTCCTCGGGAGTACTCATAACTGCTGACTTTATATTGGATGTCGCCCTATATCTATTTTAAATTTCCAGGGATCCCCTGATATACCTAGAAGCCGACAAAGGCGTCATGCCTCGCTGGCCAGGCAGCTGATCGCCTGTCGCGCTCATATCGATAAGCTCGCACTCGGATAGCCTCGCGTAGTTGATCCTGGCACTGATCGATGTCCTCGAGACAAGAAATAGATGTTACTTTGCAGTCGTTTCCATCGCCAAGCTCGAAGTGCGGGATGAATAAATCAAGAACAGCCCTAATCCTACCCGTTGGCTGTCAAGCACAACTGGAAACTACCACAAGAGAAAGCTGTAGACAACGACAAGAATTTAATTCTTAAAGGCGTGTTTGATTTATCCCACCAAGAGCACCGGCCAATCATCACGCACGTCTCCTCTCAGAGCATGACAAGAGCGATTCACCCTGCCGTTAGGCACCGACCTGGGAAATGCGACTGCGCAATCGTGGTACTAATAAATACTTCACCCTCTGCACAACAGAAGAAACACAATCCTTCGTCCACCAAACAACCATCTCCCTCCCACCCTCCCCTCAACCACTGCACGAAGATGGCATCCTCCGAGCAGGTCATGCCCCCAGCGGACAGCACCGCAGAATCCGACTCTACCATCTACATCAGCCCCGATGCCACCGACAAGATAGCCCTGCACATCGAATGCCCCGTTCCCTCCTCCCCTCCGGAGACCCGCACCAGCACCCTCATCGTCTCGAAGGCAGTTCTGATGGATGCGTCCCCGGTCTTCAACCGCATGCTCACCAACAACGCCAGGCAGAAGGCGCAGTCTCCCAGCGCTACAGGCTCTGACCACCTCACCATCGACGGTACCCTCTACGGCGAGACTGCGTTCATCGACATGATGTACATCCTGCACGGGGAGACAATCGCTCCCGATCGCTATGACCGGCTCAGCAAATTCATAGACCTGGCCACCGTGTTGGATTACTCTGGCTGTGGGTGGGATCGAGTGCCCGACATGGAGACCAGCATCGCACTGGCCCTGAGAAAGGATCCGTACTGGGTCAACCTCGACACGGCTATGGAGTGGGCCTGGGTGGCGTGGTTCTTTTGGGACACGGACGTCTTCGAGCAGGTCACGGCGTATGTGATCGGGCATTCGGAAGATAGAATCAGTGCTCGTCCGCTTCGTCTCCCTGAGTATGTGTGCGGTAAGAAACTTCTTTTTCATTAGTCGCAGAGATCGTCATCCTTCCTGGCTCTCTCTTCTGAACAGCCAAGCTACTGCGTGGATGGCCTTGGCTGACGTACTGAAATAGCGTTGATGAATGAATGCCGAGAGCGCTCAATCAGGGACCTTCTCAAGCCTCTCCGGGGATATATCGAGGCGGCGTTGCGTCACGATTGTCCCCTATTGCACGATAGCGCCTGGAGGGACAGGCTCATACTATCACCAACCGTCATCGACGCCGACCCCACTTCCGACACCTATCGCGGCTCGGACCGGTGCATGCACGTTATCAAAGCAACGATCCCCAAGCTGCACCAGGATGGGGAGTCGCTGTATTCGTTGCCTGAGCGCCCGTATGCGGGGTGCAGCTTCAGGCAGCTGAGCCCCGCGTTATCCCGCGATGTGCCTAAGGAGCTGGAGTGGGATCTGATGAGCTACGAGCCATACTGGCAGTGCCTGGGCCCTCTTAGGACCTTGCTTCTTGGGCTGCGATCTGATGAGAGGAAGATGAAGCGACTGACGATAAACGATGTTGGTATTGTCATCATCGCGCCAGTGATTGAAGCTTGTCCGTACCGCAGCTGCTGGAATCTCGACAGCACTTTGGGGTCGTGCGATTGCAGGTATTGATGGATGTAGACCTTCCTGACAGTGCTCTGTTTTAGGCATGGTTGTGGATGGTGGGCGGGAGAATGCATAGCGAGCAGAGTACTTTGAGTTACCAGATGTTGAACAGGTTAACAAATATCGGAACAAACAAATCCCAAGATGCTATATCACGCTAGTATATCTCACGTTGCATATATGCCCCTGCACTTTACCAAGATACCATGCGCAAGACATCGAGTACAATTACAACCGTGCCTCCCTCTGCAACCGCTTCACCTCACGCCTCAAGATCTTCCCCGACGGATTCCTAGGAATCGCATCCACAAACCTAACCCCACCCCGTAACTGCTTATAACTAACCACCCTCTCTTTCACATACGCCTCAATCCTCCTCCCCAGCTCCGCAGTCCCCAGCACCCCCTCCTTAACTACAACATACGCCCGCGGCAACTCCGTCCCCGCCGTGCCGCTAGCCACCCCTACCACCGCCACATCCGCCACCACCTCCTCGAACCCCAAGATGATCCCCTCCAGTTCCGCGGGCGCCACCTGGAACCCGTTGTACTTGATCAGCTCCTTGACGCGGTCGGTGATGAACAGGTTTCCGTCTGCGTCGACGTAGCCCACGTCTCCCGTTTTGTAGAAGCGCTGAGCGTCGTCGGAGAACGACTCCGCGTCTGCTTTGGGGTTGTTCAGATACCCCCTGAACACGTTGGGGCCTGTCACCCATAACTCTCCGGGGAGGGACTTTGTGCCTGGTGCGTGGGTGGGGGCATCCTCGCCGGGGACGGCGGCGAAGGTGGCGGTCATGTTGGGCATGAGGCGGCCGACGGAGCCGGGGTGGGTGAGGGCTTCTTCGAAGGTCTATTCCAGTTGTCCAGTGTTAGTAATTGTGGATGAGGATGGCTGGAAGAAAAGGGATGTACCTGTAGATGAGTGCAAGGCGCACACTCGCTCATCCCGTAGGCCTGGCGCACCGGGATGTCGAGCTTCTTGCGCAGAGCGTGGATCAGCTCGAGGGCCAGCGGGGCGGCGGCGGAGAGGGTCATGCGCAGCGAGCTCAGATCGTACTGCGCCACGCGCGGGTTGGTGACCAACTCCAGCACGACGGGTGGCACCACGTAGGCGTAGGTGATGCGGTGGCGTTGGATGGTGGTGCAGAAGGGGTCGAATTGAAAGCGCGGGAGGACGGCGATGCTCATGCCGATGAAGACGGTGAGGTTGAGGAGGTAGGTGATTCCTTTTTGGCGTGCATCGTGAGTTGTTGTTTCGACCGACACAGAGATAGGGCTACGTACCGTAGATATGGAAAAACGGCAGCACGGCAATCGCACGGTCGGCTGCCGTCAGATTGGCCCCGTCGATAGCCACGTTTTGCGCCAGGTTGGCGACCAGATTGCGGTGCGAGAGCATCACCCCCTTGGGCAAGCCGGTTGTTCCGGAGGAATACACCAGGAACGCGAGGTCTTCTGGGGATGCGATCGGGGGTTGGTGCGGGCGATCGCGCGCGGGAGAATCGCAGTGGTCGACCGCCAGCGTAGGCGATAACGCATCCAGCACCAACACCCGGTCGCGCGACAGGCCCGCGCGGTCGGCAGCCTCGAAGACCACGGGCGCCTGTGCCTGGGTGGTTACCACGGCTTTCACGCGCGCGTCCGTCAGGGGATGGCGCAGCTCGTCGGCGCGGTAGTGCGGATTCACCGGACACACCACTCCGCCCGCGGCCAATGTGCCATAGATGATTTCAGGAAGGGCAATCGAGTTGGGCGCAACCACCATCAGCACCTCTCCCGGTTGCCAGTTCCATTGCGTCTGGATCCCCTCGGTGAAGGCAAGGGAGCGCTGTCGGACTTGGCGGAAACTGAGGGTATGGTCGCTGAGGGGATCCAAAAAGAGTGCTGTCGCAGTAGAGTTAGCAAGTCGCACCGACTTTGGTGATACTCGAGAAAAATGTTTCGCTCACTTTTATCTAAAGCATACGGACGGTCGGCCCTCTCGAACAGCAAAGTCCAGAGGTCGACATTGGGTATCTCAATCGAAGGAAAAGGCGACGCCATGATGCTACTGACTGGCAGGAGGGGAAACAGAAAGACAACTCCAACAGAACTACCAACAACAAAACGCAAAAGTAAAAAGCTGAAAACAGCCGAGACTAGACTAGTTTAAAACAACAAAAAATCACGGAAGGATATCGTCATGGAGCAGCAACTCCACCAGTTCCTGTTCTGTTGTTGGGATATCTTGAATATCTTGAATATCTTGCATCTGCCGTGACGGAAGGTGCCCTAAAAGACTCCACCCGGCAATCTTGGATAGGATCGGGATGGGCATCGCACCAACCGACGAGCTTCCCTGCCGTGCCGGAACCCACTGCCCCCCACCGATCATCCTGGAATAACTTTCACCATGTGGTTCGCGATCTGCACTCACTCGATTGGGCTTTTCCGATCGGGACAATTAGTCCAACATGCTGGGTCGGCACGGGAGGCACGGACAGGGTTCCCACCCCAGCTGAGCTTTCCCAGCTGCCCTGCTCGCACGCTTTGCAAGCTTTGCAGTCCAAAATATCCGGGCCTGCTGGGGGTCGCTTAGAAGACCCGGATATTGACGGGAATTTTCATAATGGATAGTTCATCGCTCCTCCACTGATCGGCCCCTGCATGGGTCTGTGAAACAGAGGGTAGACGTGGTGGCGTGCTGAGAGTGCAGAATCCCTGCTCAGCTGGACAAATCAGCGCCTGCAGCGAGGCTTATCGGAATAGATTGCAATACGAGCAGGAGGTGAGATCGACAGGAGATGGATGCTGCACAAATCGATGCCGTCAGTGGATGACATGGATTGCAGGGAGTTCGTGGCTGGCACTGCAGTGACCAGCGCCTATAAAGATGAGAGGTGCTCGTTCTGTGTTGCTGGTCGGACAGGGCTTTGTTTTGCTTTTTTTCCTCACGCACTTTCCATCTTTCTTAGCCACCTTGCTTTCTGATTTCCTCTTGTTCTGTTCATAATCTTTTTCGTCGTACTACACTCCCATCATGCCTCACATTCCTGAAGCGCCTACACATCTGGCCACAGCCCACCGCACCTGGTCGCGGTTACAAGAGCTGCGGACCAACCCGGCCGTCGAGCTGGATGGCAACAGTTTGGATATTGCCTCTGTTGTTGCTGTTGCCTAGTATGTTGGCCCAGCCATGCGTTGCATTACAGATGACCTTCAGACTGACCTCTACTCAGCCATGGCTGTCTTCCCAAGCTGTCCTCCGACCCCACCGTGATCGAAGCCATCACCGACAGTGTGCGGGTGTTGATGGATCACCTCGACCACGGTTACTGCGTCTACGGTACCTTTCCTCCATCCTGCTTTTAGTTAAGCTTTCTAACGCCATTCTAGGAGTCAACACTGGTTTTGGTGGTAGTGCTGACTCACGCACGGACAAGGCCTCGGCTCTACAAGCTGCCTTGCTGCAGCTGACGCAGGCTGGTGTGCTCACGGCGGCGGACAAGACCACAGGCGACGCGCGGGGCCTGGCCTCGACGGCCTCGCCCACGGCCATGCCCAGTCCTTGGGTGCGTGCCTCCATCGTCGTGCGCGCCAACAGTAACGCGCGTGGTCATTCCGCTGTCACACTCAACGTGCTGGAGGGTCTCCTGGACCTCCTCCGCCACCGCATCACTCCTATCATCCCCCTCCGCGGCTCCGTCTCTGCCTCGGGAGATCTGATGCCCCTCTCCTATATCGCCGGTGCTGTCGAGGGCTCCCCCGACATCTACGTCCAAGTTGCCAACGCAGACCCCTCTGTTGCCCCCCAAATCATGTCGGCCTGCGACGCCCTCGCTGCCGCCGGCATCCCCCGCCGCGTCATGGGCCCCAAGGAGGGTCTGGGGCTGGTCAACGGCACGGCCTGCTCCGCCGCGCTGGCCAGTCTGGCGCTGCACGAGTCCCACCAGCTCGCCATCACCACCCAGGCCCTCGGTGCCATGGGCGTGGAAGCCATGATGGGCACGGCGGAGTCCTTCCACCCGTTCATCTCCGCCACCCGCCCGCACCCAGGCCAGATCGAATGCGCGCGCAACGTCCTCGCCCTGCTGCAAGGGTCCCGCCTCGCCGTCGGCGTCCACCGCGAGAAAGACCGCAAACGCTCCGGCCTGATCCAGGACCGCTACGCGTGGCGCAGCGTTCCGCAGTGGGTGGGACCCCAACTCGAGGACCTCCTCCTAGCCGACCGGCAACTGACCACCGAGCTCAACTCCTCGTGCGACAACCCGCTCGTCGACACGGCCAACAGCGAGATCTACTGCGGCGCGAACTTCCAGGCGGCGGCCGTGACCTCGGCGATGGAGAAAACCCGGCTCTCGCTGCAGATGCTGGGCAAGATCCTGTTCGCGCAGGCGACCGAGCTGGTGGACCCGAACTACAACAACGGGCTGCCCACCAATCTGGTTGCGGACGACCCTTCGTGCTCCTTCACGATGAAGGGGGTCGACATCAGCATGGCGGCCTACATGGCCGAGCTGGCCTACCTGGCCCACCCCGTGAGCGCGCACGTTCAGACAGCCGAGATGCGCAACCAGGCGGTCAACTCGCTGGCCTTCATCAGCGCGCGCTACACGATGCAGGCCGTCGAGTTGGTGAGTCTCATGTCCGCCGCCTACCTGTATATCGCGTGCCAGGCGCTGGACCTCCGGGCGCTGCATCTGCGCTTCCTCGAGACGGCGCGCCCGCGCATCGACGCGCTCATCCGCACCTCCTTCTCCAGCCTGCCGGGCGATGAGCTCGAGTCCCTGATCGAGACCATCCTGGCCACCCTGACCACCAGCTGGGGCACGACCACCCGCGTCTCCCTGCCGGATCGCTTCGCGCAGACCGTCCAGGCTGCTGTGCCCATTATCGTCGACCGCGTCGCCGCTGCCGGCAGCGCCCAGATCGCGCTGGGCGATATCACCGCGTGGAAGACGCAGGCCATCGCCGTGCTAGGCGACGTCTACACCACCACCGCCGCGACCTTCAAGCAGAACCCCCACACGGCGGAACTGCTCGGCGCCGGCTCCAAAGCGCTGTACTCTCTCGTCCGGGAGCAGCTGGGCGTGCCCTTCCACCAGGGGTTCGTGGAGCATCCGACCCCTGGAGCCACGGAGCTGGACGGCCGAGACAAGAAGACGGTCGGGTCGTGGGTGAGTGTGATTTACGAGGCGGTGCGACGGGGTGATGTTGCTGGACGGTTGTTCGAGAAGGTCATGGGTTAGCTTTCCTTTACTTTGTATATTTTGGTGGTTCGGTTGGGTCTGGATCCGGAGTTCGGATAGATTACGATAATAGATTTTTCTTCCTTTCAAGGTAAACCACTCGTAGCTTCATTTTGGGCTCATGGTTGAGGACAGTGGACGTAAAGGCTTCCAAGTTGTGGTCAATGGACAGAGTGCACCTGCTGGGTACGATCATCTACCCTACCCACCCCCTCGATCCCCAACCCTAACCCCGATATCACAGTACCTGACACAAACTCAATCGACAACCACCAAACTCAACCCTGCCCACCGATCGTCCGCCCGGGGTTATTCCCCAATTGGTCGATCTCGACCCGTTCGCGAAACCAGATCGTTTTCGTCAAGCTGCCGCCCAGGAGGTATCAGATGTGAGCTCGGTTCATGCAGGTTGCGGTTGCGGTGCAATGTGACACGGATCGGGGTGACACGGCACTAGAGGCAAGGTGGGACGTGTCATATGTCAGCTGCTGGTTGGATTCTTAGTGGAGTCGGGGTTGGTGGGTTGAGAGAGAGGGGTGTGTTCGTCATTGTGCAGGGTGGCTGGCTGAAGGGGAGATCGGCGGGTTGGGCGATGCAGATGCAGCTAATGCAGCTGATGCTGCGTGGTGAGGGTTCGGACCGAGGTTGCTGTGCTTCTTTCAGGAGGTAAGGGCTTCAGCTGATGCTGATCATGAGGGGATGACGACGACGGTGATGACGGTGTTTATTGTCGGCGTTCCTGAGTAGTCCACCCACGCGATCTGAGGCCATATACCAAGCGAGTTGAGGACTCAGATAGTTCAAAGCATCCGTCCAACCAACTACCAAGGAATTAAGAATTTGTTGACAGGAATCAAGATTCTTTGGAGCGAACGACGCCCAGGTCAGTGTCCTGACAATGTTCTAGTGGAGCGGTGCAACACTCCCATTAACTGTTCTATATCGCCTATCCCTAATCGTTTCTGACGGCCTGCCTCTAATGTACCAAATGGTCTGGTCTGCAGGGTGCCGCGACGCTGCAGAGATGCGGTAATGGCGCTGCAGCTGATGAGCTTGAGTGTGGAGGAAATGGGAGTATGTCAAGAACTTAGAATTTTCTCCTTCGTTTCAAATGTTCGTTGGAGCTAGTGGGATGACATACGATACATATTCGCCAGCCAAGCTAAGATAGAAAAACACTGCGTAAGTCTTCAAGAACACATTCACACAACGCCTAGTACAGCACCGACAACCTCCCCCCCCCCTTCTTTCTCTGTACACCTCCCAACTTACTATCCCCCCGCCTCAAACGCCGGAAAATGCCGCCGCACAACCCCATCCAACTGCCGCATGATCACCGGTTTCACAAAGTACTCGTCGCCCCCGGCCTCCGTCGCCGCCGTCTTATCCGCCGGCGTATCTTGGCCCGTCATCACGATGACCAACGACCGCGGCCAGTCGTTCTCCTGCTCTAAGGCCCGGATCTGTCGCGTCGCGTCGACGCCGTCGCAGACCGGCATTTGGAGATCCATGAAGATGAGCTCGATCGGCGGGAGGCCGCTTTCGTTATTGTTATCAGTGCTGGGAGATGAGGACGACTGGCGGCGGCGCGTGAGCATCTCGACGGCCTGGAGGCCGTCGGTCGCTGTCAGATAGGGGAGGCCGCGCTTCTTGCAGTACATTTCCATGATGCGGAGGTTGACGATGTTGTCATCGACTATGAGGGTTGTTGGGCGGGGTGATGTACGGGTGGCGAGGGGGCGAGAAACCGGTTCTGTCTCTTCTTCGGAGACCGTCTCGGGGGTTCGAATATTGTTGTCAGGTTGAGAGTCTGAGTCTGAACCTGAATCGTCGTTGGGGCGTTTCAGGTGCATGGGAAGGACCACTGAGGTAGACGGCTCTGGCGATCGGATCTCCGCCGCGAGCGCGTCGGCTCGTTCGAGGAGCCAGGCCAGTGTCTGCGCCGAGAAGGGCCCTCTGGTGTGGATGACGTTCTTGGCAGATGTCGTCTGTTCGAGAGGGACTGGCGGGTCTAAGTCGGCCGGCAGGCCCGAGGCAAGAGGGATACAACCGTGTCCGCCGGGATTTGGGACAGACGCGCGCGATGTTCCTCGGTGTCTGGCGAAGGGTCGACGATGACGAAGCAATCTTCGAGAGAGTCGGATGGGGTGAATCCACTGCGCGTGAGTATCGACGCGAAGTGGTCGGATAAAGACGTCGATATACCAAAAGGCCTAGGCCTCGACCCAGCGCGAGTCGGAGACTTTAGAATATAGAAACTCCGGGGAAGACTCTTCACCTTCGAGGCCAGCGACGGCGGAGTTCCGTCCGCCTGAGAAGCACACTCGATGTCACGAAACGTCGCCCGAAAGTGTGAGCCCCGACCAATAGCCGACGACATCAACGCCACCGAGCCGTGCAGAAGAGAGGCAAATCTGGATCCCAGCGTCAGACCCAGTCCTGCGCGCGCGGAATGCGCGTCGACCTTCTCGTACGCTTCAAAGATGCGCCGCTGATCCTCTTGTTGAATCCCCAAGCCTGTATCCCGGATGTCGATAGTCAACTGCTTGGTTTCAGGATCGACAGTTGAGTGTACGGAGACGATCCCTTCCGGTGTGTGTTGGATCGCGTTGTAGACGATTGGGAGAAGACTGTCACGGAGAACATCGATGTCCATCCAGAAGGTCTCGAAGCCGGCCGGGATGTCGTGCGTGAAGAAGAGGGCACAACTATATCGCATGTCGCCGATGGTCAGGGTCGAGATTGCCGCGTGTAGCTCGGCCTCGAGCTTGTCGATGCTGTGCATGGCGTAGTGCCGGTCGCTGAGGGCGATGTCAACCCATCGGTTCAGGGTAATCATGTTATTGACGATTGAGACGAGATCGCGACCGCCCATCTTGATTATGTTAAGGTACTTGGAGTATTCAGCGAAATCTATCAATCCGGTCTTGTGGACTGTCGTTGCCGTTGGCGCTGCGAGGGCGTCATCAGCCGAGCCGCCCTCTAAAGCGGCTTGAAGTTCCTCAGCGAGAAGATCCGCGGAACCCAGGATTCCATGAATCGGCGTGCGAAGCTGGTGCGAAATCCCGCGGAGGAATTTTTCTTTCGCATTGATGGCCTCCACCAGTAGACGTTTGCGCCACATTTGCGAGATCAGGCCCGCGCAGCTCTGCACGAACCACGAGTCGACGTCGTCAAATATGTGCTGAAAGTCCTTGGTTCCCACCATGAGCAACGAGGGGCCATTGGCGCTCTCGCAGGGGGCGGCCATGACGCGGACTGTTTTTGTCGTAGGGAGAGGCTGGTGATTCGCCTCCACGATCAGTGCATCGAGGTACTCGATATCTTCCCAGAGACCGCCTTCGAGGTCGGACATGAGAATCGGGTCGCGTGCTTCCATCTCGACATGCGTTGCTGTCGTGGGCTGCGACTTGATGACGGCCTTAGGATAAATCGTCTTGAGTATCCGAAAGACCGGATCCGCCGAGACCCCCTTTTCTAGTTCCATCCGCGCCGTCGTGAGAAGGTCTGACATTCGCTGCCGTTCGCGCTGGCGTCGTGCTCGGGTACACTGCACCAGATCTGAGACCACCCAGTCGGCTAATCGAACCAGCGCTTGCTGCTGGTCTTTCGTGAGAGGGTCCTCTGCTGTACTCGAGGCCACGCAGAGCGAACCGAGGCCAACGGTGACCCCGGACTCGTGCTGCAGGCGGAGCGGCACCCCGGCGTACGCGTAGAGGCCACCTTGTTCGAGGTATGGGCATGTCCGGAACCGCCAGTCCTCTTGGAGCTCTGGCAGAAGGAAGACACTCTAGATGGGATGTTTAGTGGATATTCCTGGGAAAAAAGTCTAGCCTACAACCTACACCTGGAGGTTGAGTGACGGTATGTGCACAGATTGTCTCGCCGCGGGGCAGGATGCCGAGTTGTAGGCCGTGAGTGGCCAGGCGAATATACACATGGATATCGAGAATCCCAATCACCGCGAACTGCCAGCCGGTGCATTCCTTTGCGAGATCGGCTTTCTCCTGGAGCCCGGCGAGCAGTTCGGCTTCTGCCTCGATATCGCGGGTGTAGTACCATAGCATGGACAATCTAAGTCTCTCATTGTCAGCGAGAAAGGCGCGCAAGTACCGACAATCATCAAATCCCGCAAATCCCGGGGGTTTGTCGGATCTGGTGGCAGTGGAAGTGGGTGCGTTGGGATGCGGAGCAGGGTAAACAATCGCTTCAATCTCGCGGGTCAGGACGCTGATTGGCTTATCCAGGTTCTCGGGATCGAAGATCGGGCCAATCGTCGTGGGCCGGGCCTGCTGGAGTGGTGCTGGCTGCCTCAGGTATCTCAGGATGGCTGCATCGGCCTTGGGGAGAAAGCTCGCGGTGCTTCTTTGCGCGGACATGATGTCCCTCCCTATCTCACTATCTCATTATTCCTCGTCCTGACAGAGATTGTGAACCTGAGAGGGGAAAGAGGGGACGGGGAGGACATTTGTTCCTGGCTCAGCCGCGGATGCCAGAGAAACAGGTTTTCCTCTCCTGCACGTGATTCTACGAACAGGTCTTGCAAGAAAGGAAGCTAGATGATTGGCGGTATCGAAGGTTGCAATTTCGGTTGTAAGGTTTGTGAATCTTGTGTATGCAATATGAAAAAGTAATGCATTACCCTGTTTCAGAACTGAGATATGCATAATACATGTCATTTCTATCTTTTTTGAACTTTTGAGAGATTCAAGTTCTATCAAATGAACATAATCGAAACCAGTTCATTTTAGAATTACATCTTTCATATCATTGATAACAGATAAAAGACTATTGTTGCGGGACGAGCAGAATTGTGCTAACCAAAACGTGCCTCTGAACAGGTTATGTTTGTACGAAATTCTTTTTAGTGTGCTAGGCTAGCTTGTTTAATAGTGCTCGGGGCCTTAGGCTGATATCAATTGGTGCCCGAGGCGGAGCTCTATTTCACATCTTTTCTCATTTCTTACTATGGTACGGAGTAGTGTACTGGTTTAGAAAATACAATCTACAGCCATTGTTAATAATCTATAGTAGAGATATTAAGTTATATGAGTGTATAATACTGCTGATTGCGGCTGATGCTGCGCGGTGAGACCGAGGTTGTTGTTTATTGTTTACAGCGACAACAAACTCAGCTGGTGTTGATTATAAGGGAATAGTGATAAGGGCTAGGTCGATTTCTTCCCCTTGTTTTATTTTGTTTTCTTGTCTTTTTTCTCTGGCTTGATTCTGTGAGATTGACTTCGCAGTACCGCAAGTAAGCGCCAGCTTTGCCTGCTCGACTAATTGCATACACGCAATCCTGGTGAGTAGTTTCGTGCAAGAGGCCATATAGGAAGATCGTGTCCAGGGTCCTGGGGTCTTCCTTGCCGAGTCCTGTTTTCCCGGACGCATGGCTCAGGATTATCTCTCCTGTCCGGTCGACGGCTGCATCCACAAGCCCTGCAATTTTGGGTGATGGATCACATGTCAATGTGTTCCTCTCCGCTCGAGCAGCAGTATTTGCGTGCGTTGTAATGGTTTTGGCCATGGTGAGTGGGCTGTAGATGCGGTCCTAGGAAGAGTGTCTTCACAGTACGCGTGTGATCGAAGCGGAGGGGGACCTGGGTGAAGACCGATTATCAAGGTCTGGCTTTGGATTTGGTTGGAGTTAGTGCGGGGTTTAGTGTGGCTTGCATTTGCCATATGGAATCACCAGAGCAGGTGGATTCGAGTCGTGGTTAGATTGCCTCATTAGGCAGGTGAGCCAAGAGGCATAATGCAGCCGGGGGCACTTCAGGGCAAAGACTGAATTGCCTCGGTGAGATGGACGGACCTTGTGTAGTCTGACTCAAAACGCAAGTCACGAAGCCCAAAGACTTATATACAATCCGCTACACATTGCGTCACACTTCAACGAACTCACCTCGATTCTGAGTATACACAATTGCATAACAATGGCAGCAGAAACCATCCAAGTCCACCCCTCCTGGCGAACCAAACACCCTACCCAACCACACCTAAACACCCTGGAGGACTACCACGCCCTCTACCAAGAATCCATCACCTCGCCTGAGACCTTCTGGAGCGAGCAAGCACACGAGCTCCTCACCTTCACCCGCGACCTCTACACCACTCATCTGGGCTCCTTCGCGAGCGGCGACAGCGCCTGGTTCTTAGGCGGCCAGCTGAACGCCTCCTTCAACTGTGTAGACCGCCGCACAATCCGCCACTCGGAACGGACAGCCCTGATCTACGAGCCTGACGACCCAGCAGACGGCAGCCGCATCATTACCTACAGCGAGCTGCTGAAGCCAGTCTGCCGCCTGGCATGGTGTCTGCGCGCACAGGGGGTCCGCAAGGGCGACATCGTGACCATCTACATGCCCATGATCCCGGAAACTGTGTGCGCGGTGCTGGCGTGCGCGCGTCGCGGCGCCGTGCACGCGAACCAGTTGGCCGTTGGGGAGCCTACGTCTTTTGCGCAGCTGTGAATCTTGTAGTCTGCCTTGGTATCAGTATACATTTAACGCAAATTCAATCTTATTTGCAAGATGTATTACCCTGAAAGTGCACACCCTCTTCGGGGTGGTTCTTGGCCAGATGCTCCAATGGTCCCCAGGTGTGTTTGTCCCATTCGGCAGCTTCTGTGTTGCGGATCGAAACACTAACAATTTCGGTTACTCTGGAATGATACGATCAAGTTCAATGCTTAGCCTTACGGCATGTAATTTGCGCCAGCCCCGGGCGACGCGTATTCGATGTCGGAGTCGCCGGGCATATGCTTCGCGGCGACCACAGTCTTGTAACCGGGTTTCGTAGACAGTAGAAGGGCCGTCGTCAGGCCCGCCACGCCAGCCCTAAATCAGAATGAGTTGCATCCGAGCATGCAGAAGATGAACGTCCAATGACGACGTGACAACAAAATAACATACCCAATGACTACCACATCCTTCTCGGGCATTGTGAACACAGGAGATGCCTTCATGGGTTAATGGAAAAGCTCAGATTCGTACTATAGTGGGTCGATTGTTCGCCGTTGGTAAGAAGCTCTGCTGGGTGATAATTCAAGTCTAAATAACATTCAAAATGTTGGGGGGGATACATCGGCTGTGACACAATATTTTAATGACCCAGAGAGCTCTGGTTGTGATATGGTCTGATGAGATTTTACTTTCTCTCATCGCTGACATCCGCCCATCAGCCGACCTCCCCAGGTACGGGATCTTGGGTGAGTAGTCTTCTGGATGATACGGCGCGTGTTCTAAGTTTGAGACTAGCTTCCTGGTCCCATTGGGCATACATTCTAACTTATATCTGATCGATGGCTTGACAACCCAGCGTATTTGGTGTCTATAATTCGTCCACAGTAGTTAGGCCTCGGTGTGAATATAATGTGGATGCAAGGTCATTTTGATTGAGTCCTTTCTTTAGAAAACAGCACAATCCAGTTCAACCCAATTGGATCCGATTAATCCGAGTTCTGTTACCCTGGTTTAAGCCCGAGTGAAAGCAAAAAGCAAAAGAAGAAAAAAAGAATGTTCAACTTAGCATGTCCTGGTTTCGATCCAGGGTCCTCCGGGTTATGAGCCCGGCGCTCTTCCCCTGAGCTAACATGCTGATTGATGATTTGTTCTCCTTATCTGTTAATGTGAAGCACCACTGAAAGGCACTAAGGAGGGTACATAATCTAGGCGACCAGGGATTTGATCCGGTTGAATTAATCTACCGTGGACACCAATCGCGATATCTCAATGAGGGCGGCCAATCTCTTGGACGATCACTCCACCAACCACAACAAATTCACTTATCCTCACTCAACCTACTAAAAATGGTCAGAGAGCGATGGATTACCACAGAGTTACCTTTGGACTCTGCCAATATCAGACGATCTTCGATCAACAAGCAGGAGAGATTTGGACGGACTGGTAAACTTGAGGTAATCAGTTTATACCCGAAGAGGAAATCGAGATTAGGGCATCACCACCCCCAGCATCAGCAACTTTTTGTAGGTAAAGCATACAAGATCACAAACACCTGCAATCCTCACAATATCATCAACACCTAAAAACCAATATCTACACACTACACCTCACCCAATCCCCAAACCTACCCCTCTCAACCTCCCAAATCTCCACCCACAATGGCGGCACCATCCGAACGCCCCGAAATCATCGCCCTCTCGCAGGACCTACGAGGCACCCCCCAAAGCGAAAAATACGAGCGCATGATCTCCGGCATGATGTACGGTATCTCGCCTTTCTCGGTGGCTGTGGGCTCGCCCTGCCGCGTGAGGAAGACGATCCAGTCGCCGGAAGAGGAGGAGCAAGACCCGAACAATCCGTATCGCCATCTGGTTCGTGAGGATCGGTAGAGGTTACATGGATGCAGTTCTCTGAAGAATTCATTATGCATGTCATTCATGACAAGGCTAACACTCAATGCTATCTATGGTTCATCTAAGCGAGTCAATATATAAACAACCGATATATACAATCCATCATTACCCAACAGCCCATTACTTCACTCCCCTAGATCGCATTGCTGGCACAGGAGAAGCTCGACTTGGACGAATCGTCGTGGATGGCCTTGCCGGAGACATACAATCCCAGACCGCACTAGTATAGGTTAGTATACAAGAGGATGGGACGGACTGGTCGAAAAACTCACGATGATGGCACCAATGCAGAAGATCAACATGTTGAGGATGGTCAGCGCAATCTTGCGCGGAGAAGACCACCACTGGCCCCAGTTCATGTGCAACCAGTACACACCCGACAATCCGTAGGTGAACCAACTGGCAAACAAGGAACTGATCAAGCTGACGATGTTGCTGAAGGAGGGGATACCCTCGGCGATGATCCAGGCGATGACCCAGCAGGTGACGCCAATGCCAATCCAGGAACCAACAGCGACAAAGTCACGTTTGCCCATGCGGTCGGAGTGACGGAAGATGCGCACGTAGATATATTTCAAGCCAACGTGACCGTTCACAACACCAGCGCCGACAATCTAAAGCTTTGGTCAGCACGAGTGATGATAGGTAGACAAATTTGCCAGGTCATACCGTCGGGATAGCAACGCCATAAGCAACCTTCTTCAACACCGGACCAGCGGAGCCAAGAGCCGGCGAGTCAACCCCGTTACCGACGAAGTAGTAGATGACAATAGCCGCGGTGATGTAGAGAGCGATCTCGAAACCCTGGAGCAGACACAAAGCCTTGGGGAAGTCCTTGGGCTCCTCCATTTCGGCAATCAGACCGAAGAAGGCCACGTGGGCGCAGTAGGCGAACACAATCTGGGTGACGCCGTTGAACGCGTGGTACAAGTTCGTATCGGTGGTGACACTGATGTTCTGGCCACCCTTGTACTGCACACCCACACCAATCATGGTGATCATGACCGCAGTGAAGATACTCAGGAAAGCTAATCAAATCAGTTTGATTCAATTGATGTTCAGTCGAAGTACTCACAAGCACAAGAAATGTAGGTCAAGTTCTTGATAGTCCGAGGCAGCGACAAAACCAGACAGATCACGAAAGCCACAACACTGAACACCATCGAGCAGGTACCGTGGTCGGTAATCGTGTTCATCATCACAGTGAACGTGACAATGTGACTGCCCATGATGAAGATCGAGAACAGGATCTGACCGAGACCGAAGAGCTCGCGACCGAACCGACCCATGAGGATCTCACCCGCATCAGCCAAGTTGTGGATCGAGGGGTGGCGTTCGCGGAATTGGCCGATGACATAGCCGGTGTAGAGCGCAAGAATACCGAGTCCGATGATGAGGATGATCGCGCTGTGTCTGTGAGTGAAATGCGGAGAAGCAGCCATGACAGCAGGACTTACGGCACCAGGCCCAGCGCAGTCAGCGTCGCGGGCAGGGACAAAACACCCAGCGAGACGGACTCGGCGATCATGACTGTTGCGATTAGTATTTATCTAGCCATGGATCTGTCGCATGCCACATACACATTCCACATTGCCTGCATGGTTTGTTAGCTTAGTTCGTCGACGGCGGATAGCGCAACAATACATACCACCACTTGAGCGTCTTGTACTTGACCTCCGCATTGGCCTCGTCACCAAATGCATCGGGCTCCTTCCCCTCATCGACCGCCTTCAAATCCTCGAGATCGTACGGAGGAAGATCATTCTTCTTGATCTCTTCGCCGTGGGCCGGGGTCGCCATGTCGTCTGCACGTTGTCGATATGTCACGGGCAAAGGTCGAGAGAGGACAGGCACACGTCGCGCAGCAGAATCACAATCGCAAACGGACGGAGAGTCGAACGTTGGCGCGCCGACAGCTGCAGGACAGAAAATTTCTGGCGGGTTGGTGGGTCAGGGAGTGAAACCTCCGCTCCTCCGTTGCTGTTGATATTGATGCAGACTTGAAACTGGGTTCAACGGATGAACTAGATAGTCTCTGCAATAGCACTGACACCAGAACACAACAACAGAGGAGAAGAGAAGAAGGAGAGAAGGGAAAGCAAGACAGACAGATAAGAGCCCTGATGGTTTTCCACGGGAAATTGAGATCTGGACTCCGTCGTAGCTACCCTGTTTGGAGATCAGCCCTGGATGCTGCTGCTTGCGGCCATAGCGGAAGTAACGCGGTGATGGCTGCCATTGGTGCGTCGCGCTCCACCCCGCTAGACGCGGGTGGGGCGGGAAAAGGAGCGTAGTCCAATTGTGGCTGTCCGCGGTTAGAATTAAGTAATGGATTGGCCCCGCCGACCGCACTGTGCGCGGCTTGCCGACAGTAACCGCTCCTCCGCCGGCCACTGATTGGTGCGGCCCTGGCATGGTGTATGCGGCTCGGTGGGATTCCGTTCCCGCTTCTAGAATTTTTTCGTCCGGTGTATAAAAAGCTGCCGACTGCTGATAAGTTGCCTGCCACGGCAGTTGACTGTTTTCCATGACCATTTATTAGCTGATGGAAACTTGGGGAGGGGCGATGATTTGTCGCTGCAGCGCTTCTTATCGGCAGACGCACGTTTGTTGCGGCTCACTACTCCAGGTTTGGGGCCGGTGGACGGCTGTGCCGGCATCCGAGCCATTCTTAGGTGTTTCGGCCTTGGCAAGAAAAGCTTTGGTTCGCCTTCCAGATTTTTTCTGCTTGGCAATGGTGGGTGGCGGCCTTATCGGTGTTTTAGACGAGGGTGTTGGGCCGTGCAATGAGATTAGCTGCTCAACACTGTAGAGGTCGAGTGTAGGCCTACATTTTATCTGCTCGCTAAGGGTTCAGTACAGTACATCGATTCGATCCTCTCCTCGTCTCAACCAGTCAACACCATTTACTGTACATTTGTCTAGTTTTACTCTAATTCATCTGTTGTGGATCGTCCAAGTGTATTTAAAGCTATCGAACTATACTCGATGAAGGTCCCCACTTCGGCAGAAATTTTGCCGATGCTGTGATTCCTGGAATCTTATGGATCAAAACGCAGTGATCATAACATGAAGCCAAACTTGAATATTGCAAGCACCATCTTCCCGAATCCGTTCTTCTTCTCAATCTCACAACTTATTTTCTTCCTAATTTGGAAGGATAGCTTGGGCCAATACTGCTATGGAAGGTTACCTGGAAAACTATACATCTCATTGATGCTTCAGTTCCGTTCAATCATAGTCGGTAGTGAATTCCAGATGTGTCTAATGACTGAAGAGATTGCCGATTCCGTTGTATCGATTCCGCACCTTTAATTTCCTTGTTGTGAATTGCCCTGGACACCTCCTCCGCAAGCATGGGGTGATGGGAGTTGATCGCAGCATTTTGCAATGAGCAATGCCCTCAAACTTTGCATAGCCTTGACTGCTGTCAATATACAGCCCACGTGATCTGTCTCGGTCAAAAATGTGGACGTGAAAACTGTACACCATCACTAGCAACAAAAGGAAACGACGAGTGTCTGTTTCAAGGTACACTGAGCAGCATTGATCACCCACAGGGAGCGAGCCAGGGCCTTGTATCTTCAGCATGCAACTCAAACCCATTGATGTAGAACCACTGATAGGATTCCTGCCTCACTAAACAACAACCTTGACAAGGCACTATGTTCATCACATAACCCTCTCATCCAGACCCCAGTTCTGATATGTAAAGCACAGATAAAGTCCATTTACGGTCCAACATAAACTTCATTAACTCCAGATCAAGACCCCTCCCCACCGAACCTCACTCAACCCTAGCATAAGGATACTCCCGGATCACCTTCCAAGTAACCCCCTGAATCACAATCGGCAAATCCAACGCCGCCTTAAGATCATACCCCTCAGGATTCCTCCACCCATCGATCTTCTTAACCAGCCCGCGATAGCTTTCCCCCACGTACGGTTCTTCTTTCTCGCCCTCATCCTCACCCTCAAACTCCTCCCTCAACCGAATCCGTCCCCTATGGCAATTAATCTCCAACGCCCCAAGCCACGTAGCATTCGTATCAAAGCCCTCGCCACGCAGATCCATAAGGAACTCTCTCCTCATGTGCTTCAGCGCCCTCCGCACGCGGAAGATCGCCCTGCAGCGCCAGTGGTTGATGCTCTCTGCTCACCAACTGTATGTCAGCATCATCTTCAAGTAATTCGATTACACGTACAGAAAAGCAAGGGGAAAGGGAAAGGGAAAGGGAAAGGGGGATACCGATAATCTTCCCACAAACCGGCAGTCCATACACATCCGCCCGCACCTCGTCGGTGGCATTCTCGATCGCCATCCGCGTGCAGCACCGCAGCGCGTCCTCGCGGCCGTACACCCACGCCACGAAGATCCACTGCATCACAACTTCCTCGGTGTACCAGCGCGGCAGACGGAGCTCCAGCTGGTGTAGCCACGGGCTCACGTGGAACTTCACGACGTGCACGCACCCGTAGTAATCGGCTATGATGGTTACGTCGACTAGCGTGGGGAGGTCGACCTTCTCCGGCCATGGGTGCGTTTGGTGGTGGAGGATGCGCATGAGGAGGAGGAAGGGGGTCAGTGGCCAGTCGACTGTCAGGGTGAGGTGGCAGGTTTGGTTGAGGGTCCGGCCTTCGGTCCAGTGCGGGCTGGTGAGCATGCGGGCGAAGTAGGGGGATGCGCTTGCTAGGTGGGCTTTGGAGGTGTGGATTTTGTGGATGGTGGGAGGCGGGGTGGGGGTTGGGGTCGGTTGTTTGTGCTTGGGGTTGTGGTGGTGGTTGTCTTTTGTCTGAGGATGGGGATGGCGATGGCGATGGGAGTTGCGTCTGGGTCTGGACTGCGTGCGGGGGGTGGCTTGCTCCTGGGTAGCATGCGAGTGCTTGGCTTTCTTCCGGGGAGGGCACTGGGAGATGGCGACGTTGGAGAGTTGCATGGCGAGGGCGTCGGAGTCTTCGGCCTTGATGGTCGGGGATAGGGTTGATGCAGCGTTGGGATCCTCTTGGACGAGGAAAGTCACCTCTCCGCCTTCGTATATGGTATGCTCGCACATCGTGGATGTTTTGCGTGTGTCGTTTGATGGTAGTTGTGGATGGATGAAGATGCAGGGGGAGTGCTAATTAGGAGTATAAGGATGGTGAGGGATGCAGGAGAAGAGAGAAAGTGCTCGTTGTTGACAAAGGAGACCCTATTTATGCCTCTCGTATTCGCTGCCTGAACACTGTTGCACGATGTGGCGATGTCATCGTTCCTGTCATTCCTTTTTGTAGTTGCGCATGGCATGGGCGTCCGGGTGCCATGCGCGTCCGGGTTTTTCTGGCGGCTTCAAGGCCTATAATCACAATTGATCAGAGCTATCAGGAGCTATGTGACATAAATACTCATGCTCTCTTGGCATACACCTATCCATTGATATATCTTTGATCGTTGCTCCAAGTGAGGCATATCTTCAGGGGGACATTTACTAGAGCATCAGGTTGGACTTGATCTTTCAGTACGCAACCCTTCAAGAACCATTCACTCACCTCCGGCGACTACCCGGACCGACAACTCCAGATAAGCAGCAAGAAATATTTACTTGACCTGCACAACTCCGATACGGCAGAACGATCATCAAGAAGCCAGTAGCACAATGAACATACCATGGAGAAAATATACAAATGCTTCACAAATACTCAAGCCTTCAAACCTCGCAGAAAGGCAAAGACTTGAAGGCTAGGTCGCAGAAGAGCGCAGACAGCGGGAGCTACACCAAAGGTATACTGAGAACATCTCCAAAGTCTCCTTGAAAATAATCCGATAAGTTCATTCGCATGCTATGCCGACCGACCATTGTCCGGAAAAAAAAACGCGTCAAATCATAATGCTAGCAACAAAAAAAGTATGTCAAGCAATATATACAAGAAGGCGAAAATTAAATCGTCTGTACAAGGGTGCATCATCAAATGACAACCACCACAGAGTGCTGCTGGACAACCGTGAACCAGTCAGCACACAACCCCCCATCTAATCCTTTTTCTTGTCCTTCCCCTTGCCCGGGCGTCTATAATTATACCGCATCCAGTTCTCCGTGACCCACCACTCGGCGACATGGGCCGCATCCCGCACCCAGCCGACCACGTCGGGACTGTATTCCGCCTCCAATGTCTTGGCCAAGTCGACCAGGTTGAAGTTCTTGACGGGGTGCAGCTCGATCGGGTCCTGCGAGAGATCGGTGAAGCGCCACTCAACGTCGTCGACGAGCGGGATGACCAGCCGGTATGCCGGGCGGGCGGCAGAGCGCACGGCCAGCCATGATCCGCCGGTGTTCATGACCGTGAACTGCCAGTTCTGCCGGCCGTCCTTTTCGGGAATCTGCGGGCGGATCATCGACTGGCCCTCGTACATTGACAGGAGATCCTGCGCGGCGTGGCCACTGTCAGGGCCGAGGGAGTGGGACTGGATGAGGAGGTCGAGAATGGTGGGGATGATTTGTTGCGAGATTACGGGGGTAGTGACTTCGACTTGGGGGAGGTGGGGGTGAGCGAAAAGCAGCGGGACGTGGAAGCTGCCGACATGGGGGTTGTCGTAAGGAGTGACACCGCCGTCGTTGGGAAGGGAGAGGCCACTAGATTTGTTAGCAGATTGTCAGATAGTAAGATATTTGATCTGGACATACTGATCACCAGCCATCACGATCAAGGTCTCGTTGATGATCTTCTTCTCGTTCAAGATGCCGATAATCTCCTCCAACCACTCGTCGATGTATCCGATGGTATTGAGGTAGCGGTTGAGATCATTGTTGGATCCTGAGCTGGTCGAGCCCACGATCGACTCATAAGTGTCGTTGGGCATGCCCCAGTGGTGATGCGTGGTGCCGGTTAGGTGGGTCAGGAATAGACGGGTGTGGTTCTTCTCCGCAGCGTCGATGGCGTCCCGGACGTAGTCGCCGAGAACCTTATCTGGGTAGCCGTAGTAGTTGACCTCCTTTTCCTTGACGGGGTAGTGCTTCGCTTTGGGGTTCTCCAGCGTCTCCTTGGTGATGACATCATAGTATCCCAATTTCGGAGTCAGTTTGTCCTGGTTATCGTAGGTTTCCGTGACGGACTGCATCCAGACGGAGTGCCAAGGCCAGGTGCGGTAGTCATTGGAAGCGGGGATGGTGTTGTTCTCGCGCACATCCGGCAGTTGGTTCAAGGCGGTCAGCACATGCGGCATGCACGGCTGGTAGATATGATGTTCGTACTCGCGGTTGAAGTCCGCCACCAGGGGAGTCACACCACACAGGGTACCAACCAGACTCTTCAGAGTGTAGGTCCCCGTGGTGAAGGCATTGCTGGCACTGATGCCACCGTACGACCGACGTCCGTAGTCCTTGACCATGTCGTGCTTGTACCCGGCATCGAAGCCAGTCAGCCACTCCGCGGTCCTAGTAAGGTTGGCAATCCGCTTCTGGACGTCCTTAGGAATCTTCTTGTCGGGGTAGGTCTCCGCAATGCGGTCCCACATGAAGGCGCCGTTCTTCAGGGGAAAGACGTCGCCACGAGTACTTTCGAGCTTGAGCAAGATGACGTGTTTGATGTTGACATTACCGCCAGAAAGAGCGTCATGCAAGGGATCGAGAAGTGGGCTCCGAAGGTTGGAGATGTGGAGAGGGTCTCGGTTGGGATCGTAGTGCCGTGGGGGTGGGTGGATCTTGTCGGATTGATTCCAGTCACCAAAGCCGGGGAGGGGCTCCTTCGGCAGCCACGACCATTGTGGAGGCCGCTCCAACGCCGTCTGTCCTTCCAACCAGCCATAATCTCCCGGCAGCCCTTCTGCTCGAACCGGAGACACCCGGTGGTGTCCCAAGAAGGGAGCGACGGGCAGCGCTTCGGAGAGGAACATGTATGCCGGATCCCACGGACGGACCACGCGCAACAGGAAGAGGCCGACCAAAGGGATCCAGACGGCCAAGCGACGTGCCAGCGAGTGGCCCCGCGGCCTGGGTGGGGCGACAGCTCCGTAGGGCTCCAGCAGGTGAATGGACGATCCGTCGTCACTCTTGTCGTCCAGATAGTCGTCCTCGGAGAGATGGTCGTAACGCTCCGGGTCGGACAGTGGAGTCATCTTGGGGATGAACCCGCGCACACAGCCCGCACAGCATTTGAAGGGTTGTGCCAAGATATTCAGAATCCCCCCCACGGCGCGATGCAACGGAGCGGCGACAAACCAGGCGACAGTGAGCATAATACCCTCGACGATCAAGAAGCCGGTCAGACCGGTCAGGAGGGTGCGCATGGCGGCAGCATCGTGGTGGAAGGTGGTGGCTTGTCTCCAGTGGATTTCGGCTCCGGTGAAGACATAGAATGAGGTATTGGCGGCGGTCATTCCCGACATGATTAGACTATGACCACAGGATTAGTGATGTGGCGTTTTCCCAAGCCGGGGGACGTCAATGAGGGGAGAGAGATCATCTTTACCTGAACGGAACAACGATCACCGCGGAGATGGCGGCGACCGACCGCCACGGCAGTTTCTGGGTCAAGATGCGCACCAGCAGCACGAGGACCACATCTTGGCAAAAGAAGGTGACTCCCCACAGGAGGAATTTGGACGGAGGTAACGAATGGATATGAGCGTAAAGATGCAGGAGCTTAGCACCAAACATGGCCATCAAGGTGAGAGCGAAGAAATAGCGGCGAGTGAAGTCCCAGAAGTGATCGAAAGCCTCCGAGGGCGAGGCGCGCAACCGCACCCAGGCGGCCAGGCAGCAACGAGCCGGATTGAGGTTAACGAGCTTCATGTTGACGAAATCCACAAGAATCAAATCACATGGCACACCAGAAGGAAGACGAAATCATCAAATCACTCCATGAGCCAGCTGGAATGAATCACCGGGATGGAAGGCCGGACGAGAGAGAGAGGGGGGGGGGAGAGTGAAGATGGGAAGAGGGAAAAGAGATGAAGAAGGAGAGAGTGTGAGTGTGAGTGTGAGTGTGAATGTATAGTAGTCGACCAAAGAGGGGAAAGGGGAGACACAGTGGTTTAATGTACAAAGAACGAAAGAAACACGGCTAGCGCATCATAATGGGATGATGGCCGCATGGCAGCTCCCAAGTGGAACAAATTGAGAAAAAAAAAGAAGAGAAAAAGGGCTGAGTTTAGGAGACTTAGATCGGAGCCGCAATCCATTCATTGACTAGACCAGCTAGTTCATTAGAAACTCACAGCTAAGAAAAAAACTGGGGCCGAATTATTGACCGGGTTGGAGCTGCTTAGGAGGCTTAGTGCGTGAATGTCCATACCTCCATATCAATTTTCCATCGTCTCGCAAGACCCTACTGGATGTACACAAAGGGCCGAAATGGACCCTGAATGCCCATAGACCCTGAGGTTGTGATTGGTGCCGTCTCTTCATCCGCGGTAATTTTAGAACCTAAGAGTGGAGTTGGGCACCCAATCAGCCACCCTGCCAAGGCTGCAGGGTCTGGAAATCGGATGGATTTGAGACAGGGGCAATCATTACTGTCTGTAGTGTAGAATCATTGTGCTCAACCGATGAGTATTCCAGCAAACAACCATGAGTCGATCAGTACATGATATGGTAGTAAATAGACATTGACACCAGCTCTCCGCAGTCCCTCCTCATCTATTTTGGCACCCCCTGGCCGGACGAGACCTAGTAGTAGTACCTAGTAGAGTTTTTCTTCTCAAACACCGGGCAAATTCACTCAGGGTCCCCCTCGGCCCGCTAACCCCAGATAGGCAATCTGACAGTCAGCGAAAGTTCTGAGCAGGTGACCTCATTCCCCTTTTGGGTGACGGCAAGTCCCTACACCGCCCAATCACCGCCTTTCATGTGGAGATTCTCCAACGCCCTCTCGCTGCAAATTTCCTCTCCACAGCTGCTCTGCCCTGCCCTGCAGGCGCAGGCACTCCTGCACTCCTGCACTGCCTGTGGGTGTCTCACTCACCAGTCCAGTTCTGCCTGCTGCTGTCAGTCCAACCTTGCCACATGGAGTCCCCAACCTGAACACGAGCAAAATGCCCCCTTTTTGCCTTTGGGGGCTTCCCCCTCGCTCAGGGTCAGTGTCGAATATGCTTCCTGCTGTTTTCCGACAGTCTTCCTGCAGGGACTGGCTGATGGTAGTGCCGCGGGAAGCAGCCGCGGCACGATCACTTCAACGGGATTGCTTGTCTGACGGCTACTTATCGATTTTATCGATTTATTTATTTATTTTAAGGGGTGTCGATCCGGATGCACTGGCCGACACCAACTAAGAGTCGATCCCGTTCACCCCGTTCACTCCCAAGCATTGCCATACAAACTTAGGGGTTCGTGGCAGTATTGGGTATCCGCTCCCAATTTCAAAGATGCCTATCCACCGCGATAGTTGAGACTATCTGTGGTCCTGGAGCAAAATTCAGGCCGGAGATCACCGGGAGGGGCTTCCAGACGGCGGCGCATTGGCGGACCCCAGCTGGCGGTGACACCTTCGCCTTGGCTTTCGTATTGCCGGAACTCTGGCCGCCAGAGTCACTCTGCCTGTTGGGGCCAGTCAGCCTTTTGGCAGGCTGATGAAACAACTGGCAGAATTGACGTGCTGTCCACTGGGCTGGACTGTACAGTACCTATCTCGTGACTCCGGGCTCAGACCTCTGGGCCATGCTGCAGCTACTGTTAGTCGAATGCAACCCACGCCTGTCATTAGAAAGGTTCATTTGCACAATCTATCACTACCACTATAATATAATTTTGGTAGATTCATCTCCGACCGTAGGAAGATTCACCATAGTCGATACGTTGCAGTTATGATTTCAGTTCTTGTATATATCCTCCGTACTTTGCTGATAAATACTTCAGTTGTTTATGTTGTTGCTCGAACTGGCAATCCGACTCGTGACACCCAGGAATATATTTCCGCCGCGACCGGTAGGTTCCCTTCCCCCGCCTCATCTACTTCTCACCAGTTTTAAACAACATCACCAGCACGATCATTCATCTTCTTGCTCAGACGATCGCACCCAGATTACTACCTACAGGAATTTAGGAATATTACAGTTTATTGTATTTGCTGACACTCATTGGTCGCTCCATAAGTCCCCGAATCGCATGGCCGATTGAGCCACCGTCCTCGCTAAACTCTACCGGCAGTTGAAACACCCTCCGCCCGCTCACTTGTGACATCCATGATCATTGTCGCCAACATCAGACCTATTGCGACCAAGCTCATCCAAAACCATCGTACTCTGTCGCTAGCCCTGTCGGCTAGTTTGCGAACACACCTTGCTGCGCTTCCCTCCACGATAAAATCGTCCCATTTATCTGCGCCAGCTCCGCTTGATACTGCCCCGCATTCTTCGGTCAGTTGTGCACAATCCGTCCGCCCTCAGTCTTGTACCAGCTGCTACATCGCGCATCCGCCCAGGAGGTCTTAACTCAAGAGGTCTTGGAGTTGCTCGTTATATGCCCGAAGCACATCGGGCTGGATGCGCAACGCCATGTTTGCCCGTGCAACCGGGCTTCAACCACCGCGGTAATCAGTTTTCCGAGATAGCGTGACTGAGCCTGAATCATATGAATGACTGAGTTATGGCCTGCCTGGTCAGTGTCTTAAGCATAACTCCCCTCTCGTATCCACTAATCGAGATTTGTGTTCGGCGCATAGAGTACACCGACATTGGGGAGATCTTCCGCTACCAGCCCTCGATACGCCTGAGGGCCCGCCTTCCACAAACCCCGCAACGGACGGCCATCCAGCCCGTAAATGTCCATTGAAAACAAGAAGTCGACCGTGTGGAATCCTGTTGCCAGTACAATCAGATCGATCGGTTGGACTTCTTCCGTCTCCACATGAATCCCCGTGGCTGTGATCCGCCGACTGGCCCTCGTTTCCAGATCAACGTGCTTGTGATTGAGCACCGGGTAATAGTCATCGGAGAGGAGAATGCAGTTGCACCCGAACAGGTATCGCGGGGTCAGTGTGTTCCACAAATCTGGTTTATTAGGCAGTTGAGATTTCATCATCGCACAATCCACTCGATCTGGGATGGAGAGTAGTCCGGGTTTGTGAGGTACCCATGGAGGGACTTCCGAATGCGCATCAACACCCCGCGCTTCAACCAGCGTACGCGTGCAACCCAAGTCAGCAGAAGTTCCTCAAGGGCCCGATGGGTCGGTCCTGGCGAGGGATAACTCATTTAGGTGACCTTTGGTAGACCGTCAGCCGTGACGCGGTGTTGGCCAGCTCCGGAACTATCTGAATTGCAGAGGCACCTGCTTCTCGTTAGCCTGACTCTTCATTTTCCATGCCAAGAATCACAACCATTCCCGATCACAGCGATCCGTTTGCCTGCAACATCGTAGGTGCTATCCCATCGGGCGGAGTGCATTTGCTTGCCGACAAAGCTACCGAGACCTGGAATGTTAGGGTAGCGAGGAATGTTCAATTGTCCAGCTGCGTAAATAAGGAAGTCGGTGGTGAGCTGGTATTGCGGCTGCATTGAACTCCCCAGATTACTAGTGGAAACGTGAATCTCCATTGTGATTGATGGTTGTCCCAATGTGCTCTATGCACGGTCCAATCGAACCGAGAATGATGACGCAGATTCCATTTACTCGAAACCTCATCAAGGTGCTTCTGTTCAGTGGTTTAGTGCATGGTCGACATCTCGATATGGCGCAAGCTTATACTAGAATTTCCTCCTGGGCAGGGTAATCTCGTGTCCATTTGCCACGCTGATCGTACGAAAATAGCGCGCTGCAGACTATACGTTCATGAGTTGCTGCGGGTTATCGGGTGTCATGTGTTCACTTACTGTCGCATGCGCATCCAGGATACCGGCCCTCATACCATGTCCCTCCAAGATCGCCGTCCTTTTCCACAATGAGGAAGTTGGTGGTGGGTGCGTGACGGAGGAGCTCAATGGCCATACAAATGTCTATTGATCAGCCTGACATGTGACCATGCATCGACACTGGGGTCAGACATACCTGGTACCCTTGCTCCTATGGTAATCACTTAGTAGTGACCAGAGCCTTCGCATATGGGATGTTTATATGTCACGTATGTCATCCTGAAGGCACATAAAATGGTATTATGCCCTGGACCTCTGCAAAAATGCTATCGCTTGCTTTTATGAAGACAACAAACAACGCCAACCCCGCGCGGCGAGGATAAACTGCCCTAGATGGCCGAGCTGTGAATGTGACGGGAGCCCGCCTCCCACATTTTCTTTTCTCTTTGCTACGATTGGCGGTCTCATATCAGTCTGGATTCTCATCGATGGATTGGAGTTGTGACAGGACATCAATCGGCTTGTTCCGCGGGTCGATTCAGCCGCAGTAACATAGCGGCGCGGCGATGATTGCACAACTGACAAGAGCAACATCATTCAAAAACCGCCAACACTGCCTATTTACTGGTACAGCCAATGAAGTATTCTGCAGCTCTGTGAAGCCTGATGCATAGACTCTTGCCATGAGAATTGTCTATCAACCATCGAGCTCACTTGGCGAAACTCACCATCCCAGTTGTTCTTGTGCTTTTGAAGACTACAGGCTAAGTCGATGATGACTGGCAGAAGCCTAACCAGGACTATCATCCCATTGGCATAGGCCCTCGAGAAACATTACATGAACGAACGAAAGCTCGAACGGAAGGAGACTAGTAACTTGCATTACTCTAGTGTCGTCCCGAGGGATCATTTCAAGACAATCTGATTGACTTCCACTAACCCATGCGATACTCGAACAACCAAACTCTTCCGACAGTGTCTGCACCTCATTTTGAGTCCCGACTCTCACTATGCCAACTATACCATCCCCCCAATCCGGCATCGTGGATGGCAATAACTAGCTATGGGAAGCAGGCCCTACATTTGCATGTCATAGGCATCGATGGCATTGTCGTACGCATCATCAACATCACCGGTTCCCTGGCGGATGGTTTCCTTGTCGGTTCCGGCCGCCTTGGCTTGCAGGACCACGGACAGACCATCGGTCTTGACCCGAAGCGCATGGAGGTTGGTGCGGATGGTGCTTCCCACGCCGGCGGTGATGAAGAGATTCCGCTACACCTTGGTCAGAATCATGGTGGGCCACGGTTGGAGTCAAGATAGATAACCATGAAGATGAAGAACATGAGAAGTGCATGCATGAGGAGATGCGACTAACCTTCAGGACCAAAGCTGCGATGGAGCTGCGCATGACCGGCTCCAACTGGGTCAGAGCCTCAGTCACCCGGCTACTCTCCGAGGCCGTGAAGACCGCAGTGCCATTGACGTCGGCAGAGGCCTGGTCGAGGGACCGCTCGACCGCGGCCTCCTGAGTCTGGATCTCGAGGGCTGCGGGCAAGCCTCCAGAGTAGCTGTAGACGGCAGCACTCAGAGAGCCAATGTCGGTGTTGATCTGGGTCAGATCCTGAATAATGGTGGGGATATCCCGCCTGATGACGCGAGCCGTGGCCAGAGCCAGGAGGGAGAGAACCGAAGCGGTGACGAGAGTGAAGCGCATGGTGCTGATGCTGTTGATTGTATCTGTGGTGTGGATGCAGATGAGTTGGTGATTGTTGTTGAGCACCGAGAGAGGAGCGATTGAGCCTTTATATCCGACTCCGAGGGATATGCTGGGCTCCAGACCTGGCCCCGTTGCGCGTGTGTTGCTTTGAATGTCCTATGTTTGACAATGGAGGCCATGGTCCGGTACTTTACTCCGTGAGGCTTGTGTTGCCATGAATTTTATGTCATACGTGTGCTTCGGTCTGCTACAGATCGGTGTCTATTTGTCTGACGACAAGTGCAACAACAAAGCGCCAATGCGGCACTGAGAGATACGCGCGTGTGTACAGTACGGTGTTCTGCTAAGCACCCATCGAACCTGGACTCATTACGGGGAGTTCAGTGACCGAAAGGTAGAAGATTGAACGCGATGGGAAGATCAAGGGACGACGACGATGCACCGGGACCGACAGTCAACGTCGGGATTCTCCCAAATCAACCACCCAATGAAGATCAAATTAGGACAGGAGAAAACCAGGTGTGCAAAGGTGAAACGCCCGTAGCTTCCCTAATTCTCTCTGGATAGGACGGTTGCATAACTTGGTGCTGTTCCACCATTCATCTCACCACCGTGATACTTGCGCAACAGCGGCCTGGGGATAGCCACACACGTATCCTTCCCATCTGCACAATGCCCGACCGCAGGGGGACACGGTACCTGAGTGTGTATCTGCCTTGTGTTTCGACTAAGCCGTGGCCTGAGAATATCCCGTCCGTCACGGGAGAAGATCGGATGAGAGTCACTGAGCGATACTCACGAGCGCGAAACAGTATCCGACCGGACCAGAAAGCTGGGTGTCACACCGGCAAACCTTCCGTTGGCCTAAAGCAGGCATAGAAACGAGGAGTGACTCGGACCGAGGAGACAGCCGTGACCGGCCCCAGGCAGGACGTGAATCAGTCAGCAGTGCCCGAAGACCGGATTGGCCCCTCGGGAAAGACGGAGAGACGATGACGATGAGCAATGTTGATTAGCAAACCGAAACGAAAAAAGAGGGGCCCCAGGCTGACCGAGGCTGGAATTTGGGGAAGGTGAAGTAGGAGGACTCAGGAGGAGGAGAGATATGGAGGGTGGGCCGTGGGGGTGAAATGCTTCATTGCGTAACAGAATGCTTGATTTTGCAGACAGGTGAGTCTTTTTTACTCGTCTGGTAGTCAGGTTATCAGCCTGTCTATCTTGACCATGCCGACTGCCGAGGGGCGGTTCACCGATGATTGCATCAGGGAAGGAAGCAAAGACTGCGATCGGCAATCTTGCTTTGGGAAGCCATCACGTGAGATCACCTGACCAGGCTCTTTACCCCCCGGGGTGCGGGGATGACTCAGCCCTCCCCATGTTATCCGTGCACCAATCAACTGTGGGTGTTTTCATCATAGCCGGACTTTAGGCTAAAGTCCTTTCCTCACTTACTCAACCAAAGTTCAACCAAGTTCAAGTTACGCCACTTCATCTTGGGAAGAAAGCTTGTCCGAGGCTTGTTTTCCGTCTGCGGTCAACTTTCCAATCCCCACCCTTCCTTCCCTCGAAGTCAGCAGAACGTCTGCCGACTGCCCATTGGAGATTAGAGCATGGAGATTCTCCATATCCATCCATGCTTCTGTGCATCCATTTTCTCTGGAGAACTTTCGCGGACCCACCCCGCCCACCTATCGGCCTGGCCACTCGGTCATCTGTTCACCGGAGAAATTCAAACCAGGCCAGCAGCAATGCCAGCAGAAACGTCACCGGCGGCCAGATCTGACTTGGTTCTGTCAGTTTTAAAGCTTTCCCCTCCCAGACATAAACCCATCAGTTCCTGGATCTTCTGTGCTTCTCGTATCTCCTCTCTGGTTCTCCCTGCCCATGATGGCTGCCCCTTTGAACCACAAGGACTTGGAGAAGACGGAGCAGCATGAGTCGCTGCCCGTCGTGGTGACGGCGGAGGAGGCACTTATCCGCGCCCGCCAACAACCGAACGTTGCCCTGCCGCTGCGCATCACCTTTGACCACCATGACCCCGACAATCCGCGCTGCTGGGGCTTCTGGCGCAAGTGGTACATCACCGTATTCGTGAGCATGCTCAATGTTATTACCACCTGGTGCTGTGGTTCTTTCTCTTCTGGCGCCACCCAAATTGCCGATCACTTCCACGTTTCGAGTGAGGTCACCACCTTGTGCTTGTCCCTCTACGTCCTGGGCTACGCCGTTGGCCCTGTCCTACTCGCCCCCTTGTCGGAGTACTTCGGCCGCCAGCCGATCTACATTGTCTCCTGGTTCATCTTGTGTATCTTTCAGTTGCCCTTGGCACTGGCTCCCAACATTGGTACCATTCTCGTGTGTCGTCTGATCGCCGGCTTGGCTGGTGGTGCCCCCTTGACCAACACCGGAGGTACTATCAGTGACCTGTGGGAGCGAGACCATAGTGGCTGGCCCATGGCGGTGTACGGTCTCAGCAGCACCGCGGGTCCGCCCCTGGCGCTCGTCATGAGCGGTTACATCGGCCTCGACCTGGGCTGGCGATGGATCTTCTGGATTATGATGGCCATCAGCGGCGGGTTCTGGATCGTACTAGTCTTCACGATCCCCGAGACCCGCCACTCCATCCGCCTGCAGCGCAAGACGGCCAAGATCCGTCGCCAGATGGAAAAGGAAGGACTGCGGTCGGCGCAGTCGCTGGACGACATCCATGGCGACGACCGCAAGGGGCTGCACCAATTGCTCGCCATCACCTTGACGCGGCCCGTCCGCTTTCTGTTCACCGAGCCCATCACGCTCTTCTCGGCCATCTTCAACGGCTTCCTCTACGGCCTCGTCTACCTTTTCAACGAAGCCTTTCCTCTCGTGTTTGGTGCTCCCCACGGCCACGGCTTCAACGTCGGTCAACAAGGCCTCTGCTTCTTGGGCATCGCCATCGGCCCCTTCCTCGCCTTCGCCGCCCACCCGCTGCAAGAACGCTACTACCGCCGCGCCGTCGCTGCGCACGATGGCCTCAGTGTCCCCGAAGCCCGCATGTGGATGGCCCGCCTGGGCGCGTTACTGATCCCGATCAGTCTCTTCTGGTTTGGCTGGACCAGCTACGCCTCGGTGCACTGGATCGTCCCAATCATCGCCTCGGTCTTCTTTGGGGCGGGCCTGTATATTGTGATCTTGAGTATTCTGAATTACGTGGTCGACAGCTACCAGACCTACTCAGCCTCGGCGCTGGCGGGGGTCATTCTGGTGCGGAACGTCGTGGGCGCCGGGTTTCCGCTGTTCGCGACGCAGATGTACAACAAGTTGGACTACGAGTGGGCATCGAGTCTGCTGGGATTCATTGCGATTTTGCTGGTCCCGATTCCGTTCATCTTCTTTTATAAGGGGAGGGCGATTCGGTTGCGGAGCCCGTGGGCCCGCGAGCATTTCGATTCTAATGAGGATAGTCCTCACTAGTTTATAGACATTCTGATAGACTGAAATATAATTAGATCGTTCATTGTTGTGCGTGAGCTTTACTGGTCAAATTTTCGACGACAGTAGTCATTGTATAGTAGCTTTTTACCCCTGTCATTGGATGTAACTAGGTAAGTGTGCCTGGAAGCGAAGCTGCGGGATAGAGTGAGTCTAGGTTTCTTATCATCGCTCGAGGGAGCGATACATCGACCACTACATCGGAATTCTGCATCTAGTGAATGATGTGTTCTCTCACCATTCCTGATCGGTCGATAGCCTTATTCAGTTCTTTCTCCTGTTATCCGATCATCCCGAGGACAGTCACCTGGTTCACACACATTTGTTACAGCCACGATCGGGGTGGTTAACACGGGAACTGCAATTCCAAATCATGCATCTTCAGGCTCTGATATATCTGATACCATGGTAACCAGAGATTTGTGGGCAGACTGATCAGATTTGCAGCGCCAAGCCCGTGGAAACGTGTATGCGCATTGCATTTTGCATTGTTACCTGGCCATCGCGCCCAACAGCTGACTCATCCATATAGTGGAGGAGGAAACCCCCACCGAAGTATTTGAAATAACCTTCTTTTTAAGTTAGGCAGAGCCTCTTGCTGACGAGCAACACGAGGGTGAATGTGCTGAATCTGCTGGGCGCATCTTGGCTAGCGGGGCGGACGCCGAAGCCAGTCGACTCAGCCTCGCCCCGGTTTCTTTACTAATACGCTCCCTCTTCCCTCCTCCCCCGCCCACCGACAATCCACATTCGCACGGCGACTGAGCACAATCCTCTAGCGCTTTTCCTATTAGGCCATTTACCATGGCCAATCAATCATTGCAAGTTAGCGGATACCGACTCCGAAGAACGCACGAAAAATCCCGGAATGGGTGCCTCAGGTGCAAGCAGCAGCGGAAGAAGGTATTGTACGGAGACAGTGCATGGCTGAACCCTACGGCTCTGCCCGCACGGTGCTGATGTCAATCCCCCCCAGTGCGACGAAAATAGACCCAGTTGCTCCAGATGTACCAAGCGCTCGTATACTTGCCGATATCCGTTCCCTCTCAGCGATGGCTATCTGTCAGAAGAGCCGGAGTCAGCGGCCCATTCGCCCGTCTCCGACCTGCATGTAATCTCCGGGCCCGAGTCTCCCGGCTCACCCTCACATCATCACCGTCATCGTCATCGACGGTCAGATCCTACGCCTTATTTCGATGAATACCCTGCCTCCCAGTCACGCTCGAGTACGGATGAGGCAAGCCTGGACCCCTTCCGGCTGGGGCCGCAATCTCCCAACTGCCTCGATGCGACCGAGCTAAGCCTCCTAGCCCACTATCTCACGCACACGAGCCACATCATCCCGGTCGACCAGCTCGACCTCTACGCACTTTCCGTCGGCGTACCCAATCTCGCCTTCAGAAGCAAGGCCGTCATGTCTTCATTACTTGCCTTGGCAGCCGCATGTCAGTCCCACGACATAGCCAAGCAGGCCCCGACGCCGCAGAGCCTCCTGCAGATCCGCGAGTTACTGGGGCTAGCCGAGCGCCACCACCGTGCCTCCCTCCGCCACATCCAGGAAGCTATGCAGAGCCCGGAGATGTACGACCACGTTCTCGCCAATGCGGCCCTGATGGTGCTGTACGCCTCGGCCAGCCACTCCATCCGCGTTCACTTGGCCGCTACGGCCAAGCAGCGGGGGCAACGGCTGCCGAGTGAGCTGCTGCCACAGCACTCGCAGTGGATTTCGTTTACCCGTGCCGCACATACGGCATCTACCGCGGTGCTGAATGACATTGTGAATGCGACGGACGGAGCTAGTCCGGCCATGCATACCGAGCCAAGTCTCCCTAGCACAGCCCTAAACACCCCGGGGGTCATGTCTCCACAAGACGGCCCCTCCGAGCACACAAAGCGTCTCTTCCTGCCCATTGTGGCATCAACCTACACCCAAGCCTTCGAACGTCTACGTAAGAGAGCAGAAACCACAGCCACTCTCCTGAAAGACTCGAACCGATCTAACAACATGGCCCAACTCCACGCATCCATCGAAACAGTCTCCATCCTCGAGCACTGCGCCGCAGCAGCTCTCACCCTACGCCGAACCCCCGCAACCAGCCCCCAAACCCAGGCCCTAGCCCTGCACAAACGCGCGCGCGTCTCGCCCTGGGTCGCGAAATACATGATCAGCGTGACGTCGATGGAGGCGCCGCAGATCCTCCGCCGGATCATCATGTCATTCCTCAATAAAGCGCCGACGGAGTATCTGGGTCTCGTGCAGTCGGTTCTTGACTCCTCGTCCATGGGGATGGAAAGCTCCGCCTTCGCCAAGGTGGGAGTGCTGACGGCGACGCATGTCCTGGCGATGGATATCTTTGCACACTGGCTGGTGCTGGTTATGTTGCTGGATGGGGTGTGGTGGATTGGGGGGATCGGCCAGTGGGAGTTGGGGCAGGTGTTGGCCGTGCTGAAGACGCAGGATTCGCTGGGCTTGGCGGAGACGGGGGAGACGTGGTGGCCCGAGAGTATGTATCTGGTCAAGCGGGAGCTTAGTCCTAGTGCTTTGTGAGTCTTACGACATGTAGAGGATAGAATTGGGTACTTGGATTCCAAACACATGTAGATGGCTGTTTCAAAGCGTCCGAATGTCTTGGCAAAGTAAGCACAATGCGCTACCCATCGAGACCCCGTAACTCTAGTATCGTCGAACAAGACAGTCATCTGCAGAATCCGCCAAGCGATGATTCGATGAATTGCCAAGCATCATTGCATGCCAAGTGAGTGAGACGCAGGCATTGCGCTGGCAAGAGGTAGGGCTGAGAGAGCGGCGTATGACTAATACGCTTCAACCTGAGGGTGTGGCTGTGCTTGCGTATACTGACGCGCTGTGACAATAGGATAGTATATGCGCCGTGAGTTGGGCTGTCTTGGCTATTGAATGTCGACATTGTACCAGAGAATAAGAATCCATAGACGCAACAATATATAAAGCAACGAATCTCCCGCCCATCTCGACATCATCAGCCTAGCAATACGAGCACAACACAACTACCTACCGCGTTGAAAACTACATCTATCTCAACTCTTCACCATGTATCTCAAGTCCACCTTCCACTCCATCCTCGCGATGGCCCTCACCCTCGCAATTTCAGGTCAAGCAGCACCATCACAGTCGCTCACCTCACGCGCAACCTCCGACCTACCTATAACAGCTCAACTAAAACTAGCAAACACGTACTTTCCCTGCCCCTGGCCCTGAACCATCCCCCCCCAGAAAACCAAGACTAACCAAAGAGAAGAGCAACCGAGCGCTACGCCCTCCTCCCCAACGACACCGACTTCATCTACGACTTCACGGCCACCAACTCCAACAACGAAACCGCCCTCCCAATAGCCAGCAGCCAGAACTGGCCCGCCCTCGTCGGCGTCGGCCTCTCTTTCAGCATCTCCCAGCTGCCAGGTACATTACCCTACCCAACCCGACCCAATCCAAACCCAACCCACCCCCACTATCAAACCAACTAACCACAACAAAGCATGCACAATGTCCTTCCTCCACCTCCACCCCCGCGCCACCGAACTCTTCGCTTTAACGTCGGGCCGCATCCAAAGCTACATGGTGCCCGAGACGGGCGTGGTCGACGCCACGGGCAACCAGCGCGTGGTCAGCACGGAGCTGACCCCGGGCACGGTCACGATCTACCCGGCGGGCTCGTTCCATACGCAGGTGAATCCGGACTGCGAGGCGGCGAACTTCACGGCGGCGTTTAATTCCGAGGAGTTTGCGGTGGGGCTGGTGTCGGCGAGGTTGTTTGCGTTGCCGGATGAGGTGGTGGGGAGGGCTTTGGGGGGCGTGGGCGCGGAGGAAGTACAGAGGATTAGGGGGTTGGTGCCGGATGAAGCTGCTTTGGTTGTGGGGGAGTGTGTGAAGAAGTGTGGGTTGGAGCAGTAGGGTTGCTTGGGGGGAGGGTTTGGGGGGGCTGAAGGGGAGGGGGATTGACAGTGCCAAGGGTTACTGGGTTGAAGGAAGAAGTGATGCCCGCATAGGGGAAGGGTTGGGGGATTGGGATATTCCGACTGTGGGTGAGGTAAGGTCGCGGTATATTGTATAGCAGGTTGTCTTTTTAAACAAATGAACTATGTAGTGGGTTACTGGGCTTTGCTTATTCTATAAATATTAAGAACATCCAGTTGTGTATATTTGTTGTAAGACGCAGGGTGAAGAAAAAATACTATAATAGTTGATGATTCTTGATGATCAGATCATATCCGACTAACCAATAAGTTCTATCACTATAGCTTTCGATAGAATTGATGATGAATGTACAGGATGATATATACTATATGGGTTGCTGAATAAATAATTGCTGAAGGAAGGGAAAATGTATGCTGAGCACGTCATTTTCTGTGGCTGAAACTAAGTGTAGTATAGACCGATAGGGATGTTAGAAAGTTCGGGATGATTGTGGATTATAGATGGGTTTCATGAGCTCACTAAATTATGATTATGTTTTAGTTTCGAAACTATCTCTGTTACTTTGTTTTGGAAAATTTAAAGAATCATGAAGCAGCTATTCTACTAGGCGGGGGCACCAGAATAGAATCTTTACCTTTCAGGCTGGCAATTATGTTTGATTCTGGCTTATCTTTGCCTGATGACTGGGAGGGCCGAATGGTGTATGTAAACCGTATATCCCCGGCTAACAGTAACTTGGAACTTATCTTTTCTGGCTTCACCTGCGATCTTAGATTTACTGGCTCTCTGATACATTTCGCTGTGTGAAATGGGGCAAGTGGAGTGGTGCCGCTTCCTGTAATAGGCCGAGACCGGTTTTCTCAATTGCTGCGATGATGCAATGGATTAAATATACGGGGTACTGCGTGTCATATTAAGTAGACGGCGAATCTATGCGTACTAGTATCTTAGGACATATTGAATCCCTGTCTTCTCGCCGCGCTGCTTCTCTCCGCGCTGCTTCTCTCGAACCTGCACGCCGCCTCCAATCTAGTAAGGGTTGGGCTGGGCGTACTGGAAGTACTCCAAGAAGGTCTCCTGGGCTGTCACCGAGGCAAAGCCCACGTCGCGCCAGAGGCGGCCCAGCTCAAAGGTGACGTTCCTGGCGGGGACATTGGCGCCCCAGGTGGGCAGCGTGCCATTCTTGTAGGAGCCTCCCTGATTCGGGTTCTGGGTCTTGACGAAGTTGGCCCAGTAGGACGACATGATGTCGGCGATGGCAAGATCCGCGTCGGTGTAGTCCTGGGACTGGGCATACAGGTTGCCCAACGCATAGACGACCTCGGACCCGTGGGTGGCGCCGTCGGAACCAGGGGGGGAGTAGGTCCAGAGGTAGTAGTAGACGGGCTGGGAGGAGCTTTGGCTCCAGCGGTTGGCCCACGACCAGGTGGAGGTGCAGTAACCCGAACGGATGATGGCGTTGTAGGAGTTGGTGGCCTCCGTGGTGTTGCTGGCGGGGTGCAGGGCCAGCAGCTCAGCAGCGTAGGGGCCGTAGGTCTCATTGATGGCGGCCTCGTACTGGCTCACTGTGTAGGTGGTCGAAAGGTCAATGCCGTCCTCGTCAGCATTATTTCCGACCAGGATGGGCACGTCGTTGACCGCACCGTCTTCCAGACTCCTGATGTACTTGTTCGGGATGGCGTGATGGTTGAGGACGGGGTCAAAGCCGACGAAGTCTGAGGCACCCGTACCGGTCAGGATGGTGGCCAGATCCATTGCGCGCAGCTCCTCGATGCTAGTGGCGTTTAGGGACTCGACAAAAGACGCGCTGAAGTCCAGCGCCCAAGTCATGTTGCGGTAATCGCTCCCGTAACCCCACATGTCGGGGTCGTAGGGATCCTTCAGCCCACTCTCGGCGATGGCACCTTTGATGAGGCCCTTGGTCAACGGGCTGTTGACGATGTGGTACGAGGCGCCGGAGCCAAAGGACTGGCCCGCGACTGTGATTGCCTCGGGGTCTCCGCCGAACGCCGCGATGTTCTCGTGAACCCACTTCAGCGCTGCGATCTGGTCCAGGAGACCGTAGTTGCCCGTGTAGCCAGTCTCGTCGGCCAGCTCCGGCAGTGTGAGCCAGCCCAGGGGTCCGGTGCGGTAGTTGTAGCTTACAAAGATCACCTCCTTGCCCGCCATACCCGCACCATCGTAGGTCGTCTGTTCGGACGTGCCGCCGGCGGCATACGACCAGAACATAACGGGGAGCTTAGCATCGGTCGAAGTGGCGGGGCTCCAGATGTTGATGCTCAAGCAGTCCTCGCTGATGCCCGACCCTGTGTTCGTGCTGGGACAACTATCTCCGAAGGAGGTAGCCTCGAAGGTTCCGTTCCACGAGGGGGCCGTCTGGGGAGGTTTCCAGCGGTTCTCTCCGCCGGTGGTGGCGGCGTAGGGGATTCCCTTCCAGACAGAGATGTCCTTCCAATTGTTGATGTAGGAGGGGGCGGAGGTGGCATTGAAGGCGGCGTAACCTTGAACCGTGCCTTGAGAGATGCTGATGGTTTGGTCGAAGAGAGCGGCATTGGTCGTTCCCAGCAGAAAGTAGGCACTGAGCTCGTAGATGAACTTAGCACGGGGATTCATGATGCGTCGCGCTGCGGGTGGCACAATTGGAAGCAACAGTAGTAGATAGGGTGGCTACAGAATAAGCCTGCTTCGAGCTGGATGTGGTATTCTCTTATGTTCATCTGGCATCTGCATGACTTCGACGTTCTGGTGTCAACGGCAACCGAGCCGGGGACGCGATGTGAACCGCGGTTCATCTCCGGGTGAATGCTCCGTCCTCCGCCGGAAAGCTGACGCGGTCAGTCAAGATAGTGGTTTGTTTGTTTCAAGAGAAGGATACAGAAAAGATACCGGGTGAGAGACCCAAGTCGTACCACCTCATCCAAGGAAAGGAGGCCGGTTGTTGATTGTACTGCAGTGAGTGAAGCAAATACAGGGTTTGGACCTGGACTAACCCCGATTTGGTCGGAGATTATCGTCGGAAATCCGAAGCATTTAGTGGAGTGGAGACGGGCCGGAAGCCGTTCAACGCGGCAAGTTCAGCCTAGGGTTGCTGATCCAATGCCCCATGCTTTGATCCCCATGCCACTCGGGGTTTTCCAGCCGCTGCTCACCGTCTTCATTACGTATGCCTCGACAGTTTCGGAATAAGATTTAATACCAATCTAGGTAATCTTCTCCGACCTCCGACCTCCGCTCTCCGACCTCCGACTTGACGCAGAGTAAGATGCATTTTTGCGTCATACAATTGGCAAGCGCATATCACTCTGCTATGGGATTTCGATCAGCAAGCAACAAAAATGCTCGTCATTAAGGTCATTGAGGGGGGTATCCGGGTAAGAAATGAGTTTGAGAGCTCCCTTATGTGACGAACGACCAAGGACAACACCAAACCCCAAGTCGAAGGCTGCCCCCTGATATTACATGTGTAGCACCTCCTAAGCTAGAAGGCAAGATTACGCATGCGGATGACGATCTCTGGTGCTGCTGAACCTAATCTACTTACCACGCCGACTGAAGTCAAGCCTCGGTTCCTTTGCGTCGATCCTTTAAATTCATGATCTTTTTCACGCTCGCCGTAGCATTTGATCGTAAAACAACAGTCTCAACAATGAGGGCTATCCAATGCTTGCAGATGCTGTCTTTGGCGGCCGGCCTCGCCTCTGCTGCCCTGTACGACAGCATCGTCCAGACCAAGTACGGTGCGGTACAAGGATATGCTGCCTTCAACAGCACCCCGTCCGGCGACAACCTCACCAACTGGAAAGACATCACCGTTTGGAAGGGCATTCCCTTCGCTGCTACCACCGGGGGTGAGAACCGGTGGAAGGCCCCTCAGCCCGCCAGCGCCTGGAACGGCACCTTCGACGCCAGGGAGTTCGGTAACGTGTGTCCCTCTGCCACCCAGGGCTTCAATGACTACACTATCGACGAGGACTGCCTGAACCTCAATATCTGGAGTGCAGCCAACTCGAGCGAGGCTAAGCTTCCAGTGGTGATGTGGAGTTACCCTGCCCTGTCGACTGCCGCCGACAACCTCTTTAACGGCGCCGGCATGGCTGATAAAGGCATCGTCTATGTTAACTATAATTACCGGACGGGTGCCTTTGGCTGGCTGTCGCATCCCGAACTTTCTGAGGAATTCCAGCAGACCACCGGCCACAACTCCTCAGGTAACTGGGGTATGCTCGACCAGTTCGCTGCGTTGAAGTGGATTCATGAGAATATTGCCGCCTTCGGTGGTGACCCCGACCACATTACTGTTATGGGCCAGTCCGCTGGCTCTGCTGCTACACAGCATATTCTCAATAGCCCCCTGACCAAGGGGTTGATTGTTGGCGCGATTATTGAGAGTGGTGTCCGCAACCCCCATGACCCCCTGTGCGGCAGTGTGGCCGAGAACTACAACACCTTGGATGTCTCCCTGGCGCAGGGCGTGCGCCTTCTGAAGGCGCTGAACGTGTCATCGATCGCCGAGGCGCGCGAGATCTCCTACGAGACGATTGCGGAGCTCGCGAGCACCACCACCTTTGGCTCCAGCAGCAGCGGGGAATCATGGAGCTTCTCCGCCACCCTGGACTACTACGCGATGCCGGACACCTACTACAACACTTTGGTTAAGGGATTGGCGCACGATGTGCCCGTTATCACCGGTAACACCAAGGATGAGAGCGGCGCCACGTTCAACCTGACGCTATCGCTGGCCGACTACCTGTCCGACATGAACAGCACCTTCTCAGGCGAGTGGCTGCAGCGGTTTTTGAAGGCCTACGCGGCCAACTCCTCACTGTCAGCGCCCGGCGCCTACAACTCACAGTGGACCGACCGGTCCAAAGTAGGCACATGGGGCTGGGCGCAGCTGTGGAACACCGCCTACACCAGTCCGGTCTACTCTTACTTCTGGGACCACGCTCCTCCCGGCCAGGATCAAGGCGCCTACCACGAGTCCGAGATCAACTACGTTCTGAATAATCTCTTCGACACGGACTTGCCCTGGACAACTACCGATTACGAGATCGCCAACAAGCTGAACTCCTACTGGGTTAACTTCATCAAGACCGGTAACCCCAACGGCGTCGACGCCAACGGCCAGGCCTTGGTCCACTGGGGCCCCACCACCACGGCCCAGACCGTCCAGCATGTCGGGAATGGCTGGGGCGCTATCCCCATTGCTCCTAAGGCCAAGGTTGAGTTGTTCCAGGAGTGGTTCGAGACCCAATCGCTATACTGAATGGTAGGTAGTCTGGGGTCTGGGAGGTCGTTGTCTGCCGGGTCATGGTTTGGCAGCACGCTTTCTATTGTACTTATCTTTCTGGATAGTGGCCGTAATAAGACCCCTTGCCCTGTCGAATACTTTCGGTAAAGTTCCAGATTGACACATATCCCGTATCGAAATCCGTCGCGGTAGATGCTAATCGTAGTCTTGCCCTCATCCATCCTGACTGCTATTTGCCGGTCGCGGCGCCACAAACCGAGCGAAACCCATTTTTCGGAACATCGAGCTGGACAGACGGGCTGAAGCCGAGCTGTCGTCGACCTCCAGCCTCGTCCTCTCCTCCGAGGTGCTGTACGCCTACCGCCAGCTCACCACTGCCAGTATCACCGGAAAGGACACAATCACCCTCCTCGTGCGAACGCACACCCCCACAGAAACAGAACTCACCCTCATCCACGCGAAAAAGCTCCTGGTCGCCATCCCCCCAAAAATCTCCCTCCTCGAGCCCTGGCTCCGCCTCACCCCACCCAATATCTCCCTCTTCACCCGCTACATCAACACCGGCATGTACTTCGGCATCGACAACGGCACGCGCTTTCCGCCCACCGCGGGCATCCTCAAACTCGCCTCAACCACACGATGTACCCCTCCCCTACCTGCCAGACACGTACAGCCTGATCCCCGCCCGGTTGCCCGGATTGATGCTCGCCACCCACGGCAGTCTGCAGACCACCGACCCGTTCTCGATGAGCGAGGCAGCCGTCTGCCAACACATGTGGGAGGATATCCGGCGGATCCAGCGGGAGAATCCGGACCGGTTCCCGAGGGCGGGGGAGCCGGCGTTCGTGTCGTTCGCGGCCCATGTGCCATATAACCTGCAGGTCTGGGGAGGACATCAAGAATGGGTTCTCTGAGAGATTGTATGCGCTGCAGGGGGAGATGAATACGCTTTGGACGGGGTCTGCGTGGGCGGCGGATATTAGTGGTGATATTTGGACGGTTTCGAGAGGGGTGGTGTTGCCGATGCTGGAGGGAGAGTTGTGAGGGGGGACTTTGGCTGTTTTTGTCCTTCGTTGCTTGTGTGGTATCTATATGCAGACGGAGGGGGGAGAGTGTATGCAGCGTCGAGGCATGATCTAAACTCTAGAGGGGTTCGCCTTCAGTATGACTGGGGCGCTCTGTCAGCCTGTAGCTTAGGCCCCCTTGCCAATTTCTCCGTAGCGTCCATCTCAAATCTCTGGTCATGGCAAGAATATCAAGCTGGTAGTCTAGACTGAGGAATTGAATCCGCTAGAACGCCCGGGCTGACGCTTCGGCGAGAAAATACCAAGTGAGGTGTTGGAATGGGCTTGTTTATGCTTGATATTCTAAGTCGGGAGCGGATGACTGGTTAACTCGTGCTATATCTGATTTTCTCCGGATAATTAAATAGAACAACCACACTGAGAACGTCATAGAACACGTCTCAGCTGCTGGCAGCCCGGTATTAGGCTACTTTGCCGTCGTCGATTGCGACGGCGAACCTGGAACGTCGGCGGATGCGGCCGCCGTACTTGGACAAGAGGAACGGCGCAGGAAGACAGACCAGCGACAGGAAGGCTGGGACGCTGCTTGCCCAGTGAATGCCAATGCCATCATACATAGCGGTGGTGAACAGGGGAAATGCCGCGCCGCACAGTGAGCGCAGGACCGTCGCAGCCGCCAGCGCCGAGGCTGCATAGGTCACATAGCTGTCGACGAGGTAGTTGACCAACGCCAACGAGACACAAATGTTCCCGAATCCGAAACAGGCGGTGCCCAGCATACAGACCACCCAGGGCACCGAGGGCGCATTGGTCCAGGCAAACAGGAAGAGACCGACGGGAAGCAAAACCGCCCCAACCTTGCCGGATTGCAGACGCGCTTCGGGGGGCAATCGGCCGCTCCCGGACGTTCGGCACCGCCGTGCGTATTGGCGGTTGATGATGACCATGAACGCGGTGGCGCACAGCATGCCGATCGCAATGGGGAGAAATGCGAGGCCGCCCACTCCCGGGCTCCATCCGCGGACGCGCTGGAAGACAATGGGTAGGGCCGCGAGCAGCAGGTAGGTGGTGCCGTAGATGAAGGACATGTAGACGGCAAGGACCACGACAATCGGCTCGCGGATGAGGAGCCGAGCAGGACGGGTCATGGAAATGCGACATCTCCCCGCCAGCGATCCGGGAGGGTTCCGGTGGTCGACGCTCGTGATATAGAACTTGCCTGTCTGTCGGGTGAGCGCGGCGGCCCGTCGCCGAAGCACCACATTCTCGACGGTCTCGGGGACGAAAAGAAGCCCCAGCACGAGCATCACTCCGGCGTAGATGGCGAGCAATCCCTCGATGGATCTCCACCCTCGTGTCTCGCCAAGGAACCCGCCCACGATCGGCCCCAGGACCGGCCCGAGAAATGTTGCCCCCGAGTAGAAGACTGCCGCCAGGCCTCTCGTTTCCGGACTGTACAGGTCGGCTACAATGCCGCCGGAGTTGGTGAGAGGTGAGCTGCCGAACATGCCGGCCAGACACCGGAATGCAACCAACGAGCCGAAGTTGGGCGCGACGGCTGCTGCGACATTGAAGACGGCGAAGAGGCTGAAGGTGGTTAAGAACAAGACCCTCCTCCCAAAGGCTTCCCCCAAGGGTGCCCACAGCAATGGTCCGATGGCGAACCCGAGGACATACAACGACAGCCCCAGCGTGGCAGCCTCGTCGGAGACGCTGAAGTATTCGCAAATGGAGGATAGATCTCCCGAGTAGGCACTGGACGCAAAGGCAACGGAGAGCGTTGAGAGCCCTGACAGAACTATGATGATGGCCTTGCGGGGGGCGGCGAAGTTCCGGGCATTCAATCGGTCAGTCGGGGGCCACGATATGATCTGTGGATTCTCACGAGTGCCATCCCCGGGCCAGTCGTGTCCAACATCTCCAGCAATTTTGCGGACATCGCTGGTGCCTAGCAAGAGAAAATACCCGATGGCATACAGCATCCTAGGCTTCTTGTGCGGGTAGCGCAGCGGGTTTGGTATAACTCTTGGTAGACCCTCGGATTGCGAGGTATGCTCACAGCAGAACGTGCAATGACGGGGAACGAAAATGCGAGAGCAGAAGCCAGGGGCTGGTCTGCATTCTCATATTTTTACTTGATGAGCTGTGTCTCGCTGAGAGAAGGAGAATCACACAGACTGACTGACCCACGGTTTGTTCGGCAATCTCAAGCGATTTAATTGAGGCCAAGAGCTTCGATCGTCGATCTATCTATCAGTACTTGTCATCCTATGAAATCATGCCCGGTATTAGGAGTTAGCAGAACAAGCACCGATACGCCTTGCAAGCTTTTTCAAACTTGCTTAGCCCATTTGCCGCCATTCTTACTGAACTTGGTTCAACCGGGGCCGTTGAGTGCCATTTTGGGCTAGTCCCGTAAGCGATCAGACCCGAACCCTAGCTGGTGTCAATCAATTCATGACTGCGATCGAGTCAAGAAAAAAAACCAAAAAAAAAAATACAAAAGAGAGAGATTCCATTATTTACCTGTCTGCCGTAGGAGGCAAATGACCGAAAACGGTCCTCTCCAGAACCCCTTCCTTGGAGTATTTAAGATACTGTACGGTGCCTCGGATCAAACACTTCAGATACATGCACCTTGGAGTCAAGTTACCCGCCTTACTAGCGACCTAAGGGTTGTGACTTGTAGAGCATGACTTCCTCACTTTCAAACCAAGAAACCACCACCACTGCTCCAGCCTCGGGTGCATCGAGGGAGCCATCATCTGCGATGGCCCCTGATTCAAAACCCAGGACCCATGACCCGCCCAATGGTGGCTGTCGGGCATGGCTCCAGGTGGTTGGGTCTTTCTTTCTGTTCTTCAATACCTGGTAGGTGCTACTTATGCTTGGCCCATATCGTTGGAAGCAAGACTGATCCATCGCCAGGGGTCTGATCAACTCCTATGGGGTTTTCGAGACGTTCTACGAGGAGACGTTGCTCCAAGGAACTGCTTCATCGACCATTTCCTGGATCGGCTCGCTGCAGTCCTTCTTGATCATGTTCCTCGGCGTCTTGACCGGACCCATTTACGACGCTGGGTTCGTCATACCCTTGCTGTATATTGGCTCGTTTCTCGTCGTCTTCGGCCACATGATGCTTAGTCTATGCCACAGCTTCTGGCAGGTTCTGCTGGCGCAGTCATTCTGCGTGGGCATTGGGGCCGGTCTGATCTTCGTTCCCAGCATTGCGATTCTCTCGACCTATTTTACCACCAAACTGCCCCTGGTCATTGGCATCGCCGCCTCTGGGTCGAGCATCGGCGGCGTGATTTATCCGATTCTGATCCGCGAGCTGCTTGGCCGAGTGGGATTTGGCTGGACGATCCGCGTTGCGGGCTTTGTGGCCCTCTTCGGCCTATGCATCTCCTGCGCTGTGCTCCGGGTCCGTGTTCTCCCTGCCAGTCGCCGGAAATTGATCGACTGGCCCGCGTTCCGCGAGGCCCCGTACACTCTGTTTGTCATCGGGCTCTTCCTCTGCTTCATGGGTCTCTATACCCCCTTCTACTACCTCCAATCCGTGGCGATCCAGGACCATATCACCTCAGAAAACCTGGCGTTCTACTTGGTGCCGATCATGAATGCCACATCGACCCTGGGACGTCTGGCCCCGGGATATCTGTCCCAATGGATTGGGTCGCTAAATATTCTGATTCTCTGTGCGTTGAGTTCCGGTCTTCTGGTCCTGTGCATCATCGCCGTGCAGACGCAGGGGTCTTTGTTAGCCATCTGCGCCTTGTATGGGTTCTTCTCGGGGTCACTGGTCTCGCTCATGGGCCCGATCCTTGTCATGCTGTCCCCTCACCGTGGAGTGACAGGGACCCGGATGGGGATGTGTTTCACGCTGCTGGGCGTGGCACTATTGATCGGGACTCCTATCGCCGGCTCAATCCTGGGTTCTCATGGTGCGAATATGGTCTGGGTGTATAGCGGCGTTCTGACCCTCTCGGGAGGAGCCACGATTGGGGCTGCTCGGATGAGGTTGACTGCCGGGAGGCCGGGGATAGTTGCAAAGACCTAAATTGGATGCTGTGGACTGGATTGTTCTGAATCTCACATGTAAGCTAGATTCAAGAGGGTTGGCAAACCCCCTCGCACCACATTGAATTTGAGCTGAGTAGAAAAGGCAGTTGAGTCAAGTACGTCTGGACCCATTTGAACACTTTGGTAGGTAGTTGCCACCTGCCTCCGTAAGAAGTATGTATAACTCGCCATTGAGTGTTGTGCTGTGTTGAGAGACTCTTGGTTTTGATCAAACCAGAAAACCTTTCAGTTTATTCAGTACAGTTTGAGGATCCACCTTGAAAAGCCGCATGGACAGAAAATAGCTCTACATTGGTTTATTAGGTTCTTGGGTTGCTGTAGGGGAAACTGCTCTGCAACACTGCTCTGCAAAGAAATTGGGGCAAATCCTCAGTCATCGGTTAACCAGATAGGGCTAGCGGCGTAAGCATAATAGAAGCTGGACCATGGAAGGAATGCTGCCCTGCTGCCTTGCTGCCTTTCTGCCTTACTGCCCCACTGCCCCCGCATCAAGGCATCCACTCTGTCCGCCCAGCATCACTTCTCAACCCCCTTCCCTTCCCTCTCTCTCTCTCTCCCTTCCCCTCCTAGCTTGAGGTCAACCCCCATCATTCATCTCCTACCTACAGTACACCACAAAGCAGAGTTTCACAAGCCCACTTACTAATAACCAACGCCAAAAGAGGGTAACAAAAAAGGAAAAAAAAAAAAAAAAAAAAAAAAGAAAAAAGAAAAAGAAAAGGAGGAAATTTCAAACAAACTAACAATGACAGACTCTAAAGCCGCTTACTTGCTCCAACTAGATATGAGGGCTGAGAGGCGTAAGATACAGAATCGCGTGAATCAACGCACTTATCGTAGGCCTCCCCCCCCCCCCCTCCCCCCCTCCCCCTCCCTTCCCGGTGGCTCGCATCAGTCTGTATTTTCTTAACCATACTATTATTAGGCATGAGGCAGAGTGTGCAGAAGAGCGAACCCGCGCGACCTCGGCGTTGGAAAGTCATCGGCTCGCTAAGCAGTCACGATCCCGCTCCCATCAAAGGGGACGGTGGCGCAATGCAGGCCAGCAGTACTCTCCATCCTCCCTCCTCTTCTCATAGTTCCGATCATGCCCTCTACCAAACTCGCGAATTCCAGCGGGATGCCATTGTTTGCCGCCTTGCGCCCCCCCACGGCGGAGAACGGGCCCGCCAATTCGAGCTGGCCGCGTACCGGCATTATATGCAGGGCACTCCCCAAGTCGACCAGCTGCTCACTCTGGTCAAAGTGAATGTCTACCGTGCATTGGCCGCCAACCTGAACGCCCTCGGGATGACGGACATCAGGGGGTGGATGCACCCGGATGCCACGTCTGCCTTTGCCACCCTGCAGCCAAGCGCAGCAGCCCTCGACCGCGCGCTGCCCAAGCATCTACAGCCGACCGCCATCCAGCGGGCGGTGCCACACCACCCCTGGTTGGACTTCTTCCCGCATCCCCGGATGCGCGACCGGCTGATCGTGGCCGGAGATCAGTACGACGACGAAGAACTGTGCGTGGACATCATGGGCTTCTGGACCGCCGGGAAGGAGGACCCGGCGCTGATCGTCTGGGGCCCGCCCTGGGACATCGCCAATTGGGAGATGTCGGACGCCTTCGTCCGAAAATGGGGATGGACGGTCAAGGACTGCCCGGACCTGTTCCGGGCGACCAATTCATGGAGGGCCCTACGCGGGGACAAGCGGCTCTGCAGCCGGTGAAATTCTTCGCTGCCTGTTGCTGGTTTCACTCATTTTTCTCGTGGCAGAAGGATATAAATATGCAGTATCTCGAAGGTCTGCCCCCCCTCCCCATGCCGTGGAGACCTATTCGTATGGATAGGATTGCAAAGCGCGTGCATCATCTCTTGAGTGCACGTAATCGAGGCGGGGTGAACTGCTTGCCCCTGGTGCGCCTTGACTCTAAACTTGTCGAGTGCCAATTGATGCGTTTCATGGCCGTTTCTCTTCGGCCAGAGCTCGTTACAACCAGCGTATCGAGATGGGTTACCGTGGTCTAGCAATGAGACACAACACGAACACAATTATTTGACTCTCTGTGGCGTTCAGTTTACTAATACATAACGATATCGCGCCCGTCCATGGTCCATATCCATAATCACCTGGTTAGCCTCCTTCATCGGTCGTTCCTCGATCCACGGCCGCACACCTTTAGCCTCTGCCAAAGCAAGCATCTCCCGTATCTCGCCAGGGCTTCCAATCTTCGACCCACAAAGTCGAAGCCCGCTCCCAATCAATGCCCCGGCGGCGATGGTGAACGGACCGTCCTCCGGGTTACCGACCTGCACGAACGCACCATTGGGTCGCAAAAGCTTGAGGTAATCCGCCAGGGGGAGCGTGTTGGAAGAGACGGTCGAGATGATAAGATCCAGGGTGCCGGCGTGGTGGCCCCCCGACCAGTCGGGCTCCTCGGCCGTGGCCACGTAGACATCGGCCCCGAGGGCGCGGGCATCGTCGCGCTTCGACGCCCGGCGGGAGAAGGCGGCGACCCAGTCGGCCTCGAGCGCCCGCGCAAAGAGGATGGCGAAATGGCCCAGCCCGCCGACGCCGATGATGCCGACCCGGCGCCCGGGCCCGCAGCTGTACTGCTTGAGGGGCGCATACACCGTCGCGCCCGCGCATAGCATTGGCGCCGCCGCCGCGGACGGAATGCCGTCGGGGATCCGGATCGCGAAGTGCGCCGGCACGCGGTGGAAGGTTGCGTAGCCCCCGTACGAGACGCTGCCGTCCAGATAGCGGCCCGCGTACGTGCCCGTCCACAGCCGGGTGCAGTACTTCTCATTCCCCGTGCTGCACTCGACGCAGTGGCCGTCCCCCACGCGCCCGCGGCAGGAGTCGCTCTGGGGGCCCACGCCCACGCGCACGCCGACCGCCAGCCTCTGAGCCGGCGGCACTTGCGCTCCGACGCGGACGACAATCCCCACGATCTCGTGGCCCACGCAGCACGGATACGGGGTTGGACGCTATGTGTTTAAGAGAAGAGTCGTCAACGACTGGTCAAATTCCGACAGTGGGGACAAAACCTACCCAACCGCTGCGCAAGACACAGAGGTCGGACGCGCAGACGCCGCAATGAGTGACGCGAATGTCGACGTCCGTTTCCTCCCAGGGCTTCGGCTGAAACTCCCGCCACACAAGTTGCCCTTGGGCGGCATTTGGGTCCAGGCCCATCCACCCTTCGAATTTGGGAGCGGTGTCCGGCATCGTAAGTGTTTTGAGAAAGATGTAGGTGACTGAGAAGAATGGGGGATGTGGAAGACTGTATTCGAAGTCAAAGATCCTCGGTCGGGGTGGGAGGAGAGGAGCATTGGGTCGTTTTATATGGCGCCGGGGGGGGGTAAATCAATCACCCATGGTAGAAAGCAACGAAAAAGGTTCAGTCGGAATTAGTTGCGTTATTGTCAGCCTCATGCTGTTCTCTGTATTTCACTGCCGGATCTATCCACGCCTTCGAAGTACAGTTAGCTACTGGGTTAGCTGTCTGGGTCTTCGCCCTCAATGGGTTAGCTTGTCAGCGTGCGGGAAGTCAGACCCGCTCGCTCATGCTCAAAGGCGGTGCTGACACCATTCATGGATAGCATGCTCGTTGCTCGCTTCACACCAATTCCTGGTAGATGGAATTAGGGCAGTTGTTACCCCCTATCTCCGACTTCAATTTCAAGAAGGTTCGATTCTTGTGGCGGTAGCGATGCAGAAAATGGAATAAGTCTCAGGCGTAAGTCAGCCCCATTCTGCCTCTAGTATGCACACGTACTGTACTCATGCAACACGTCATCGACACCATCAATACAACGAGCAAGCACGGTAGTTTTCTTTAGGACTAACTGTCAAGTGAAATTCAGTGGGGCTGAAAACTTCCCTCAGAAACGAAGAGAGAACTGAATCAGACTCAGAGTCAAACATCTAGAGTTACTCTATCTGAGCTGACTATTGTATTCGAGATATCCATGGTGCCAACCAGTCAAGGGCATACTTCTGGAGAGGGGCCTTAACTACGGCCTCTCTGCCAATTAAGAGACTACTGCGAATGAGGCAAGAAGCAAGCAACAAGCAAAATCCATTTCAAGTCATCGACGATGCCAGATCCTTCCCACAGGGTGAAGAAATCCACCCGAAGGGGCGTAACCTCCCCCAAGAGCTGAACGGCTACTCGCTCAGAGCGACCGTATCGACGTAAAGATACGGCATCATACTGCTTGGATGACGGTCGCCTTGCACCTCAGCGGCCTGGATCACCTCATTAATCTCTTCCAGGTCCTTCAGGCTCAATTGAACGTCCAAGCTCCCCACGTTCTCTTCCAAGTTCCGAATCCTCGTAGTCCCCGGGATGGGAACGACCATTTTCACCGAAGCGCAAAGCCACGCCAGGCTCAGCTGGCCGACGGTGCACTTCTTCCGCGCCGCCAGCGCCTGCAGCCGGTCGACCAGCGCCAGGTTCTTCGGGAAGTTCTCCGCCGAGAACCGCGGCAGGATGCGGCGACGGTCGGTCGCATCGAAATCGTCGGCGCTGCGGATCTTCCCCGTGAGGAACCCGCGGCTGAAGGGCGAGTAGGGCACGAGCGCGACCCCGAGCTCCTCGCAGGCGTGAAGAAGGCCGTTGTGGAAGGCATCCACGGCGAAGGGCGAGACCTCCACCTGCACCGCTGCGACGGGGTGGATGCGGTGCGCGCGCCGGAGCGTCGCTGCTGAGCATTCGCTCAGCCCCAGGTACTTGACGAGCCCGTCGTCAACGAGCTGCTTCATCGCGCGCATCGTCACTTCAATGGGCTGGTCCGGGTCGATGCGGTGGCAGTAGTAGAGATCGATCGCATCGCCATCGGCGAGACCCAGCCGGGCGCGGCTGCGCAGGCACGCCTCACGCACGTACGCCGGGTCATTGTGGATGCTAGATGGGAGTCCCGGCCGCTGTTGGATGCCGAACTTGGTGGCCAAGAAGATCTCCTGCCGCCTGCCGCTTCGTTGGAACCAGCTTTGGTAGCTCATGTGGTTAGCAGGGTTCCGTGGAAGATGTGCCGAGAGGGGGTTTTCTTTTCTTGGTCGTCGTTCAAGACCGCTGGCTGTACTGTACCTACCGCGCGAGAATGTCTTCATTGTCGGCGTACACGTCCGCCGTGTCCCAGAAGGTGACACCCCGAGCATGCGCCTCGTCGAGAAACCGTAGCCGTTCCTCATCAGGCATGGGGACTCCGTAGAACATGGAAAGGCCCATGAGGCCAAGACCTACAAGCATGCATTCAGTATTGTGCGGGGATGCAGATCAAGGAGTTGACCGATAACCGCTCACCTTGCGCGGACACCAGAGGGCCATTTGCGCCGAGTTGGATAGTGGGAAGCATTGTCGGGTTGGAACAAGTCGTAGACATCACTGCAACTGTTCACAAGAACGAAACAAGTGGAAACGCGCGCCAGCAGAGAGATTTCAAGTCTTATAGATACGTCTCTGCACGTCAGCTGACCCTGGGATGCTCTATGGATTCAGCTTCAGGATCTTCTAGCCCTACATTATCGGCCAAAAATGGCTAGTCACATAAGCATTTGTGATGTGGTCCCGTGGGTTCCAGAAGTCCTCAAACTATGGACCCACTACATGACCAGCGGCAGCTTATCGCAGCACCCCGGCATCGGGCTTCTCCAGGGCGCTACCTCCGGGTGGTTACGGCTGGCCAAATCATGATCAATTGACGAGAGGAGTTGATTGCAACTCTAGCCTACAAAGTAAAAGCACCTTACGTCTTCCACGCTTTCCAACCTGGACCCACCCAATCCACGCGTAGGGGCACTGTAAGCGGGAAGCATGATCATGCACAATCATGTATCCAGAGTCAAGAGATGTGACACCTAGATACTTACCCTATTCAACCATCCATCTGGCATAATCGGCGGGATTCACATCGTTGTTAGGATGTTATGTTTGACAGGGAAGAATCACCGCAGACAAAGCGGCTTTTCAAGATCCCTGATGCCTATGGAGTCCAAACTGTACTACCTGATCCACTCAGTCCGTGGGCAGCGCCCACCAATGTTCCCCAATGCCTTTTCCCGCGATCATACGCATCATTTCCATACCAGCCAACCCATCTACTCGAACCACCGATCGACTACCCACCACCTCCACCACCCCTTCCTTTTGTTGAGTCCATCCCCAACCACCCGCTCATACTCATCCACCTCCGCCCGTAACCCGTCAACCCCCAAATCCGCCCTCTCGGGCCGCACCCACCCCGTCCGCCTAAACACCTTCCACCCAGCCCCCAGAGCCACAAACACCGCAATCATCGCATAATCCAACACAAAAGTCTCGGTACTCCACCGCCCGTGCAAAAACACCTCCCACCCCAGCACCAACACCATCACCCCGGTCCCGAAGACAGCAAACCACCCCGCATACGGCTGGAGATACCCTCGAAACGGGAGTGTGGCCCGATCCACGCCCTGCGCTTTTAATGCAGTATAGAAATGAAGATACGTGACACACGTGCCCAAGTAATTCAGTAGATAGGATGCGGTGATGACGCTGACCAGCCAGTTCAGGACGGTGGCGGAGGCGTGTTGCACCTGGAGGAAGGCGAGGCAGCAGAATGCCATGGTTAGGACTATCGCGTAGATCGGGAGGCCGCGGTTGGTGCATCTGGCTAGGATGGCGGGGGCTTTGCGGGTCAGGGCCAGCCCGTGCAGCGTGCGCGAGGCCGAGTAGACGAGGTTGTTGCCGGCGGAGAGGACGGAGGTCAGGATTAGGAGGTTCACGATGTGTGGGAGGATGGGGATCGAGAGGTTGTTCATGGAGATTACGTAGGGGGATCTTTTGGGGTCTGTGTTAGTATTGTGCTTGATAAAAGGGGAGGAGAGGGAGGAGGCTCACGCTGCGCCGGTTCCGCTCCCCTTGCGGGTTCCTGCGATCGTCGCGGCCAGGGTTGGGTCGTTGTACGGCAGCACGATCCCCATGCATAAGGCGCCGGCGATGAAGAAGACCATCAGGCGCCAGACGAAGGAGGTGAAGGCCCGATGCATCACCGTCCGTGGCCGCTCGGCTTCTGCAGCGGTCATTGAGATGTATTCTGGTCCGACCATTCTGGAAGTCGGTTAGAGAGGTTTGGGGAGGGGTAAGGCTGGGAATGGTTACGTGAACGACGCCTGGATCATGCATGCGAGGACACCGCAGAAGCGACCGGTGTTTCCTGCGGTGAGATATGAGACGAAGGCGCCCTGGTATGGTGTGAGCCACTAGTAGGTTGTTTGGTTGTTCTTAGGGTTGGATTTACAGGGTCATTCCAGTAACGGAAGCCATATGCATCGTGATGAGGGTTCCCTCCGACCATCGTCACGAAGGTGTAGCAAATCAACCCGATCATCAAAATAATCTTACAGATGGAGATGTAGAACTCGGCCACTCCGAAGTAGCGCACGGTCAAAATATTCAGAACACTGCCATAGTGAACACTGGCTCTCAGATAGACGGGGATGCTGTACCCATATATCACCATGACGATCACAACAACTGCCGCCACCGGTATACGATCCGTCCAATACGTGAGAAGTACATTGATTGCGACAATCTCGTAAGGAATCCCCAGAGCTATCTCAGTCAGTTACCAAGCACCCTGTCGGGAGACTACTCACCCATCGTGAGGAAGAAGTTCCACCCCATGGCAAAGCCTAGGGCATCGTCGACCCAGTGACCTGCCAGCTGAACAAACGGCGACGGTATGGGCAGATAACACACCATTTCCGCTAACGATAAATTATTAGACACAGTTCTCTTTCTGCTAGCGTGAGACTCACCAAAACATTGGTTCACGGCGAGAATAATTGTGCCATATGCCGCAAATCCCAGCAGCAGGCCTGCTGGTCCTCCTTTCGGCAGTACAGCGCCCATTTGCACAAACAAGGCTGTCCTCGTGAGTATCACTACAAATTATCAACCGATTCGGAGACTTACAGGTCCCGATAGCGCCGCCGACTGCGAGAAGTTGCACCTCTCTACCCCGCAGCTTGCGGTGCAGATGCTGCGACCCCGCGGACAGCAGGCGGGCCTCCTCGACGACCGTGTCGGGGACTTTGGTCGTTGTCGATTCCATTCGGGACTGGTCTTGCACTGCGATCTGCTTTTTTGTGACATTTTACACGAGACTGGCTTTGCGGACATTTATATCTGCTTTTTCCCCCTATAAGCGCGATGGTGGGGTGCGATAGCGGGGTTCGGCCTATGAGCAGGGATGCAGTGGTCGACGTGCAGATGCTGTCTTGGTAAGACTTCACTTATCGCCTCCAGTTGACTCTATCGTTTATTTCATGGAATATACTGCAGTTCTAATGACAAATCGCTCTAAGATCATGATAACAGGACCAGCCTGCTCCCCAGCCACCACTCTATTCATCATCGCCGAATGGCATCGGCACCCATTCTGCCTCCTCAACCGGCAGCTCCTCACTCTCACACCTTGAACACCGACACACAAATCGAAACAGCGTCTGCAGACGCTCTCGTCGAGTCTGGAGGTCCGTGAATTGTGTCAGGTCGAAATACGAGATACAGCATTCTTCCCCAGCGGCGATGTCCTTCGCCGCCGTGAAGATCATACGACCGTGCTGGTCGGGTTTATGCGTCATCTAGCGTCAGATTTAGCAGCTATGCAGGTCTTCCCATCCAGTAGAACTCACATTCGGTCCGCAGGAGTGATTCGCGATGGCCGCACGAGGATACACCGCCGCGCCGAACTGCTCGCCCCGGTCGAGGGCATCCGGCGGCACGGGGTACAGCCCCGTCTCGCGCGGGTACAGGCCAAACGAGTTGGCCTCTTCCTGACAGATGAGCTTGAGCACCTCCCTGTCCGGCAGGTTGTGCGGTAGCACCGGCCCATGGCGCAGGTACTTCTTGACGAGCGCCGTCCACGCGCGCACCTGCGCATGCGACCACGAGTCCTCCGAGCCGCAAAAGGATCGCATCGCCTGCCAGCCTTGGGCGAACCCGCGGCCAGAAGCCACCTGCTCATCCGTCGTCGTCGTCGTCGCCGTCAACTCTCCACCCTCAGCAGACAGTTCAACGTGTCGCGCGGCAAGGATCCGTACAATCAACCACAGCATCCCGAACTCATACTCGCCCCGCTTCTCGCGAATGGAGGGAGCGAACCGCTTGAGCCAGGTGCACTCGAACGCATGGCGGACGCGGTCTGCGGCCTGACAGGCGGCACTGCACCACATCACATCCCCCGGACAGCCCTGCGGACACGCGAGGCGTTCCGCACTGCACGGCATCCGCCGACTGCACGGGGGGTGACTGCACAGCAGCGCCTCGCTCGTCCGGGGGTCATCGACCGCGGGGATCACCGCGTAGGGCGTGTCGACCAGCACCACCTCGCCCCGCGGGATGGGCTGGGCCGCCCGCAGCTGGCGGCCCTTGTAGGGGTCGACCCCTTGCTCGAGATGGGGGTGGATCCACGCCGTTGAATTGGCCTCTGCAACAGCAGATTTGGCCACTGCTGCTGGTTCTAAGTGTATTTGCTGCTCTGGGGGCTGTAATAGGGGCATTTTTGAGGTGGATAGTTGCGTGTGGGCACCAGATCTGTCTACCGGGATCTCAAGTTTGATCCCCAATTTCTTGTCAAAAATTTGACCCAACCTTTTTTTTTCTGCGGGATTACACTATCACTACCTATCGCATCTCTTATCGTCTGCAGAAGTGTGGGTCTATGTGCGCTGGAGTCGTCTGGACCAATGATTCGAGCATGATGGCGTGGATGGGCCAATAGAATTGAGGCAGGATGTGATGGGTCTTATCGGCGGATCGCGTGGCAAAGCTTGCCCTTTTTTTGCGATACGATCGAGCTTGGGAGACTCTTCATTTCTCCGCAGGAACAAAATCTGGAGACATGCTGCGGGCCTTGCGGAAGATCACTCGAAGTTTGGATTCAGACATTTTATCTGTCTTCCTTACCTTCAGATTCTGGGTTGGATCGTTGATTGGACCGGTGGATGCGGAATTTGAGCTACGGATCTAAGGCCCAGGGCATGCATGTTAGTCGGTAGCTGGCACTGTCACGACTTGACACACTTGATGTTAGTTTGCAGCTGCCATACAATGGTTGCGATCCTCAATCTACCGATGAGGTTGATCACGCAGGAGCCTTCTAGTCAATACATACACCAGGTACTGTACGGTGCCTGGTCAACTGGAACTGGGGACTTATGACATGCACAATTAGTCATCATTTTTCATGGATGCACAAGTGCATAAGATTTGCTGTTGTCTCGAGTGAAGAATTGACGCTGTTCTCAAGACTAGTACATCATGAACAAGATCATATACCTTCTCGTAACCGGAATATTATTGTGGGGTTTTTAGGTGAGAGGGCCAAGTGCTTCCTCGCATTTAATCCTTCTTTATATACAATTTATCGACTTCAAATCAATAGAACACATACAACAAGAGACAAACTATATCAACTTGAACGACAGAGCTCAGAACCATTATTGACTAACAGCAGCAGCAGCGACCAGCGCATCGCAAGCCGAGCTCTGCGTGGAGGCATCAGCGCTCGCAAACGGACCCGACCAAGTCCCCCCCAACGCATCGCCATCGCCCCGGTCCTTCTCCCAGATACTATCCGCATTCTTCAGCAAGAAACTACGGATCTGGTCACTGGGCGCCGCCTTGTAAAGCACCGCCAGATTGCGCATAAACACGCCCTTGAACTGGGGAGCGTCGCCCGTGCAATTCGGCTCGCATGGCTCGGTCAGCACGCCGTCCGCATTGCCGAGCGCGCTCATCGCCGCGCTCGCGATCTGCTGCGCCGTGGAGACATACGACCCGTCCCCGAACAGCTGCGCCATCTCGACGAGCGCCCCCAGAATCACCCCCTGGTTGTAGGTCCACACCGTACCGCCATCGTTGCGGCAGCTGCCCAGATCCAATCCGTTGTTGATCGTGTGCTGGTCGTTGATCAGCCCGCTGCGCGCGAACCAGCTCCAGCTCTGCGCCGCCCACTCCTTATAATACCCTGCCTGCGCGGGGATCCGCCGCCCCAGGTGCGCCGCCACGCTGAGGAACAGCTCATTCTCGATCGCCCCGTTCTGCGTGTGTGGTTTGTCCCACCACTGGCCGCCGCACGTCGCGTTCCAGCCCGTCGTCATGTCGGCGAAGATGCTCGCTGCCGTGGTCAGGTAGCGCGTCTCCTGCGTGAGGTCGTACACCTGGATCCAGGCGAGCGCCCACCAGGCTTCGTCGTCGTAGTAGTCGTTGATGAAGCCAGGGTAGGCGCGGCGCGCGAGGCGGTGGGGGTTGCTGCGGCTGGCGTGGGCGCGGGCGTGGGCCTCGCGCTTCACGGCGCGCGCGGCGGTCGACCCCTGCGCCCGCGTGAGGGTGTTGGCGAAGACGGCGGCGTTCGCGCTCAGCTGGCTCGCGTCCAGCGCGGTCAGGTCCGCCAGCACCGTCAGGCAGTTGGCGCTGTTCCACCAGCCGGTCGTGTCCCACAGCCCCGTGCTCGGGTTGTACCATTTCTGCAGGGTCGTCACCGCCGCTTTGGCGTTGGAGAGGTAGTCGGTGGCCGCGAGGGCGCCCTGGAGGCACAGCAGGGATGCGAGCGAGGTTTTGACTATCATCGTAGCTTCGATTCAGGACTCAATGGCAAGGTGAATTGTAGTAGTGAGGAAGTCAACAAACAGCAGGGGTGTGCAGGGTGTGCAGGGTATTTAGCATTGTTGTGGCCCGGGCGAACGGTTCTTTGTCCCCGGCACAAATACCGCCCACCAACCTGTGTCTTTGTTGCCGGACGAGTCGCAAGGCGCATGATTGGGCTGTGCTTGTTTTTGAAACACTTCTTCCGCCAGGAATAGTGCTGCGTTTTTGGGGGCCAGATGGGCCCAAAACTGGGGGATGTACGGTGATTGGGAGGAATCCGCTGGCTTCATTCCTAAGTGCGACGACGATCTTCCGCACTGCCCGCAGTGCCTGCCCCCTTAATATGGGATTGGTGTGTTCCAAGGGTCCAGGAATACATTTGTTAGGCAGAATCAAAGGACCCTGATTTATCCCCCAGGATTCGAAGGATCAAGGGTTTCCGGGCGTTGGGGCTAGGGTCTGTCTTTGGTTATTGGGTGTTGTGGTGGTTCGGCACTGCTCCCTTGCCGAAATGGGCTGCCCGCCCTAATCTGAGCACTTCCTGCAGACACTGCTCGAAGCATTCTTCGTGACGGACATCTTGACACACGTCAGACGTGCAAGCAGAGTTCTACTGTGATATTTTGGCTGTTGCAAGCATGATGAAAATTCTCGATTTCTGGGCTCGTACCTTCGCGCCCACACCCACAAAATGCCACAAGAGTTCGATGTAGAGCGAATTCCTCGGCACATAAGGTAGTGAGTGAGTTGGATGAGAAGGCCAAGGTCATATATGAGCCAAGAAAGGAATGCTAGCTATCACAGGTGTTCTCGATTTTTTATCTGCAGTGATCTGAACATTCTCACCAAGTCAAAGCGACAGGTTATGTCACGTGGGTCTCTCTCTCTCTCTTCCCCCCTCTGCATGATGTCCGTGTCCAGTGTGAGTCTTTTTCCACTAAGAGTAAAAAGAAAAGCTAGGTAAAAAATCGCCGTTTCGCTTATTGTCTGCCAGCCACTCCACCGATCGAGAATCTTCTTCTTCGGCCTCCTGGCTGTTTTCTCCGACCGAGGTGAATAAGCACGTCCAAATGGGAGCTTAATCATCTCGGCCTTGAGCTTCACCCCGAAGTTTCGTAATGAGATCACCACCCCTGCTACACGACCCAGACCCTCGTATCTTACTTTTCTTTGTCTCCTGTTGTCCTTATTCGTGTTGCACTTGCTGCGCTGATTTCAAAGCTAGCTTTGTAATTATTCCCTGCTATGAAGGGACAACTGCTGTTCGCACTGTCAAAGCTGCGTCTGGAAGATATATAACCAGCGCTGCCTCACGTATCCCAGATTGAGAGCCAGTGATACTTGACTAGTCAACACATGGCAGCGATCCTAGTAACCGGTGCCACCGGCAAGCAAGGCAGCGCGCTCATCAAAAATCTGGTCGCCAAAAATGCACCCTATGAGATCCTCGCCGTGACGCGAAACTCCAATTCTGGAATCGCTCACCAACTGCTCCAACATTCATCCAAGATTAAACTCGTCGAGGGCAATCTGGACAACCCCGCGGGAATTTTTGATAATGCGCACAAAGCCACCAAGTCCCCGATTTGGGGCGTTTACAGTGTCCAGGTACGCTCACATACTTCTCATTTAGTGGTGACCGCAGTCGTGCTAACCATACCTCAGGTGGCCATCGGCAACGGCTCCCAGGAAGAACCCCAAGGCAAAGCCCTCGTCGACGAAGCCCTGAAGCAAAACGTCAAGTTCTTCGTGTACAGCTCGGTCGACCGCGGCGGCGAGGCCTCCTCCACCACGCCGACCAAGATCCCCCACTTCCAGCACAAACACAACATCGAGCGGTACCTAGTCGAAAAGTCCAAAAACACCGAGATGAAGTGGTTCATCCTGCGCCCGACGGCGTTCTTCGAGAACCTGGTGCCGGGCTTCTTCGGCAAGGTCTTTGCCACCAGCTTCAAGATGGCGCTCAAGGGCAAGCCGCTGCAGATGGTGGCCACCAGCGATATCGGCTACTTTGGCGCCGAGGGCTTCCTGCACCCGGAGGCCTGGGAGGGCAAGGCGCTCTCCCTGGCGGGCGATGAGATCACCTACGACCAGATGGTCGAGATCTTCCAGCGAAAGACGGGGCAGCCTATCCCGTCAACCTTCCGGATTCTGTGCTCCATGTTCATGGCGTCGATGAAGGATATGGGGTATATGTTCAAGTGGTTCCACGATGAGGGGTACAAGGCGGATATCCCTGAATTGCGGCGGATGCACCCGGAGCTGAAGGATTTTGGGACGTGGTTGGAGACGGAGAGTGAGTTTGAGACGAAAAAGTGAGGAACACCGGGAGGTTCTTTTTGGGAATTCTATTTGAAGACAAATGTAAATTAGCAAATTGTTGTATACTCTTATTGTAATAATTTTATGGTAATACGGTTTAATGCGCTTACGATTCTGGCTGTGTAGGGAATTATGCAGAAGAAGGAAAGGCGGATGCAGGATGACTCAGCGGAAGCAGCCGTCTCCTCGCGTCGATCATCGCGGCGAAGATAACTTCAGCTTCATCCCTATCCCCAAACACTACCGCTCGTTTTTCTTCTCACTGGCGATAATCCTCTGATTCGTCTGACAATATCCCCTGACATAATCTTGCTTTGTGGCCTCTTGTTTGAGTATACGTCTACCACTCCCCGCGTAAGGATGCCGCCCGGGTCCGACCGGAAGACCGGCGGATCCAAACGGAGCTGCATTCGGTGCAACCAGCGAAAGGTGGGCTGCGACAAGAAGAGCCCCTGCGGTCGATGCGCCAAGGCTGGCCTCGAATGCATCCATCCGGGAGAGAAACGAGCCCCTCGGAAGCTGAGACGTCCGCCCGTCGCCGAGATTTTGGCCCATCTCAAGGAATTAGAGGCCGAAGTCGAGAGGCTGCGCTCCGGGGCGAGGCCAGAAGAGCAGTTGGATCAAACATCCCAGCCTGCCACTGAGCCCGGCTCGCGGAGCGATGGCGAGGGGCTGGCTACGACTTCTCGCGGTCGGCTGGTCGTTCAGGGTGGACGGACCCGGTATGTTGGGGATGAGGCCTCGGTCATTCTCGGGGATAAGGTAGGCTCCTCCCGAGGAGAGGATAGTACGTATGCTTACAGATCTTCTCCAGATCCGAGAGTTGCAGGAGGTGTGTGACGAATCCTCAGAGGAGGACATTGACCCTCGACTGCGGCCCAGCAAAATTGGTCCAGCCCCAGTACCGTCCATAGGAATTCTGGGGTCGGATCACGCAGCAGCAGGCCATAGTCCGAGCGCTTCCATGACGCCTTTGCCAGTATCCCAGCTACAGGCACTGTGGGAGATCTACCGTGTGAATGTAGCTCCTATGATTGCCTTCCTGCACCTACGCTCGATGGAGTCCATGATCCTGCAGGCGGCACAGGACAACGACAATCTAGAGCCTGAACAAGGAGCGCTTATCTCGGCGGTGTGCTTCGCAGCCGTGGTGAGCATGACACCACGTCAGTGCATCTCACTATTTGATGAGCCGCATGATACGTGTATCGAGAACTACAAACTTGCCACGGAGCGCGCCATAGCAAGGGCGAACCTGATCAGTACCCAGGACATCCGCGTCTTGCAGGCCGCCACTTTGTTTCTTCTCTGTCTCCGCCGAGGCAGTGACTCGAGGCTTGTTTGGGCGGAAAGTGCCATAGTAGTACGGGTCGCACAGCGGCAGGGGCTGCATCGCGATGGTCAACGTCTGGGCCTGAGTCCTTTCGAGATCGAGATGCGTCGCCGACTATGGTGGCATATTTGTATTCTCGATATGCTCTGCTCCGAGGATCAGGGCACGGATACACAGATCCGACCGGAGATGTTCGACACGCAGATCCCCTCTAATATTGACATCGAGGTGATGGCGCCGGAGTTAGCCACCATGCCACTCCCAAGCTTGGGCTTCAGTGATATCACGCTCTGCATTGTGCACTGCGAAATGATGACCTACCTCTACTGGCCCAGCAAGTCTTTCGACGAGAGGGTCGGTGCGATGTCCTCGGAGCAGAGAAAAACTAGATTGCACGACTTAGAGGCCTATCTGGAGACCAAGTATCTACAGCGACTGGACCTGGACAGCCCGATCCAGTGGATCACGGCGGTCATCGCCCGGCTGACGCTGTCGAAAGCATGGCTGGTGACGCGCCTCACTGCTGCACCCGCAGAGCCCACCGCCACCAACGATGAAATCTTCCGCATGGCGGTCGAGACGGTCAAATTCGCCAACCTGCTCCACCGGGACGTGCGCATCTCGCAGTGGGCGTGGCTCAGCAAAAGCTACAAGCACCGACACGTCGTGGCATACCTTCTTTCCGAGCTGTGCAACCGTCCCATCTCGCCCGACACGGATCATGCCTGGGAAGCTGTCACCCAGATTTACGATCAGTGGCAGCACGACGACGTCGAGACGAATGATATGCTGCAGAAACCATTATCGCGGTTGATGGAGCGTGCGGCCCATCTGCGGAGGAAGAAAACACGCCAGTCCACGAGGTATCTCCCCATCAATGCTGAAAGCAACCCGCTCCGAGCGAAAATTGGCCAGTGGATACCAAGTTCAGGGGCGTCGGATGAACAGGATACGGGCCTCAGCACAAACGGTATGGGCCTGACCCCGTCGCCGGAATCCGCCCTGGACGACGTTGCGCAAAGTCTGGGTGAATTTTTCGGTGGCTCTACGTCTGCCATGGATTGGCTCACAGGATCACTGCTCTGATGAATAACGAGGGATAATTCATCATCTCCCGAGTAGTGACTGAGTCAAGGAATGACAAATGTGGATGGAACCCGCCCGCCAAGCTTGACCTCGGGGTTCAGACTCAACCCGAGAATTAGTAAACGCCATGGTTGTCAAGCTTATAAGAGGGCAGACTGTTTCTCAACTTAAGATGAAAACCATCTTCTATCTACTACTCAACATCTTTAAACCCGTCCCTCAACTTCAAAATGGCCATAACTGTTGGTGTTGCCGGTATCACCGGAAAGTTCGCTCGTCGGGTGGTCAGCCACCTGCTGCAGCACTCCGACATCACTATCCGCGGCTATTGCCGTGACCCCAGCAAGGTCCCCGCGTCCATATCCTCATCCGAAAAGGTCACCCTTCTTAAAGGGGATGCCTTTGACAAAGAGGCGATTCGATCTTTTGCCGAGGGCTGCGACGTGATCGTGTGCTGCTACCTGGGCGACGACAGGCTCATGGTGGAAGGCCAGAAGGCTCTGATCGATGCGTGCGAGGAGGTCGGGGTGCCTCGCTACGTCGCCAGTGACTGGGCTCTGGATTACACCAAGCTCAAGCTGGGCGAGCTCTTCCCCAAGGACCCGATGATCCACGTCAAAGCCTACCTGGACACGAAGCAGAAGGTCAAGGGGGTGCACATCCTGATCGGCGGGTTCATCGAGCCGGTGCTCAGCCCCTTCTTCAACATCCTCGACCCCCAGACCCATACGTTCCGCTACTGGGGTGAGGGCGACGAGTACATGGAGGGGACGACTTACGACAACGCGGCGGAGTTTACTGTCGAGGTGATCCGAGATGCAGAGGCCACGGGCGTTGTTCGCTGTATGTTTTGCTTGTTGTTTGAGATGAACCGAGGATACGTGGTGCTAACGGATCCAAAATTTAGTCCTCGGTGGTCGCGCCACCATCCGTGAAATTGCGCGATCCTATGAAAGGGTCTACGGCGTCAAGGCCAACCTTGAAAGACTGGGCTCCCTGGACGAGTTGTACAAGACCATGCACCAGAAGCGGGCGGAGAATCCTGCTGACATTTACAGCTACATGTCGCTGTATGTCCCTTTACCACCTCTTGGTTCAAACCTCTTCCCTTGGAGACGGTGGCACTAATTGTGATCTGCGTGATTTAGCTTCTTCTACTACTACTGGGTGAATGGACAGACCTTTGTTGGACCTGAGACGGATAATGCCAAGTACCCCGATGTCAAGCCGGTTGATTGGGAGGGATTTCTGAGGCAGTGGCCGTTGCAACAGCTGCCTACTGCCTACTTCGCTTTGAATGCTTGATCCTTGCGTTGGTGGAGGGCTTTGTGAGGGGAGGCGTTTCTCTTTGACGTATAAGCAGCGTTCAACAGGGATCAATGTCTGCAGAAAAGAATGCTAAACATCTGATCCATCATTAAAACAATCAAGGTAGATGTAAAACAACTGAAAGGGAAACGAGCGACAGGTCATCACGCAACAAGTCGCAGCTATGCGATAATGGGTATGTTACACTGCAGGGGGAATCTAGGCAGCGCCAGGCACCAGCAGTCAGGTGACCCGCCTTGCATTCTGATAGAGACAAGAGAAGCTTTCACTTCCAATTCACCCCAGTCTGCTTAACACAACACCACCGGCCATAAATTCCATTCAAATTCTGCTTTCCGACAGGAATCTTTTTCAAACTCGCACTCACATTTCATCTCACGTTCCCTAGAGCAGGTATTCCATTCCAACCACATATTTTCGCTGTCTGCCCTTCACATGGACGAGGGTTCTAATCCCAAGTGGGAGCCAATCCCAGACGATGACGACCCTCTCAAACCCAAGCGCACCCTTGCCGATCTCGAAGCTGATGTCTCTGCAGCGGTGATCCGTGTATGGGAATTCTCTCTTCCCCCCCCCCGGCCCCACCCGAGACTCATCCACATAACTGACAAGCGCATGAGTAGGATTGCAAGATAGACGCCTGCGTCGGGTGGTTCAGCGAGAAGATCAGGGCACTGCGGCGATCCGCGAAGATAGAGAAGACAGCAGACTGGATCAAGGGTTGGCCGGACGTGACCTCGCTCGCCCCAGAGACAGCCCAGCAGGTGGAAGAGCTCAGAAGTGAGCTGAAGCATCACCTCGCTCGTCTCATGCCAGATGAATTCACAGAGGACATGGACATCTTGGCGGATCATCCCGACATCCTGGAACGACTGGAGCGGAATCATCGATTGCGTTATGCCAGATCACCCCCTGCGCTCGATCATCATATTAAGGCTCTCTTGGATGGCTTGCTTCGGTCGCACGAGGTCCGGCTTCCTGGGACTCAGCCCGAGTCGCAGGATGATCATGCACCTCCCACCACGGCAGAAGAGGAGGCCACTACGGGACGCCGATACTTCACTGAAGCCTGCACGCGACTCCGCATCGCCATCGAGGACGAAAATTCTTCGGCCCTGTTCGCCTGCGGTGGGAGTATTCCTGTCGTGGACCGTGACCAGGCCGGGTCGGGTGACAAGGCGGCGACAACGACGACGACCAGTCCTGTGCAGGTGTACTGGTCGACCGCTCGCAGTGACTCCACCGCGCGAAAGCTGGTTCTACCACTAGACGAACTGGTCCCGCAATCCAGCGCGGCCGCCTTGGATGATCTGGTGGCAGCCTGCCAGCCCGCCAGTTTTGGCCGCAACGGCGAGGAGATCCTGGATCCCAGCTATCGGTTGGCGGGGAAGATTGACCCGGCCAACTTTGCGTCCAGCTTCCATCCGGCAGACTTCGGGATCCTGCAGATGGTCGAAAATGTGCTGCTCCCTGGAATCAGCGAGAAGGATCTTGGCTGTGAGGAGGGTGGCTCTAAAAAGGTGATGAGCAGATCTGCTCGGCATTACAGAAAGCTGCACGCCGAACTTTACAAGTTGAATGTGTGTTCCCTCGATGCCTTCTGTCTCGATAGCCAGGCGTGTACGCAGAGATCACTGACGCGAAAAATGATAATAGGTGTACTCCGGCCCATCGGGCCATTTTGCCACACATGTGGACACCCCCCGCTCCGGGAGTCAGATCGGCTCCTTGGTAGTTTGCTTGCCCTCGCAGTTCTCGGGGGGTCGACTGACGGTGCGACACGGGGGCCAGCAGAGTGCCTTCGACTGGAGCGAGGCCAGCCAATCCGCCATTCAGTGGGCCGCGTTCTACAGCGATTGCGAGCACGAGATCGAGACCATTACCGAGGGCCATAGATTGACGCTGACGTACAATCTGTACATCACCCAGGCCCCCACGGCAAAGATTGACGCATCCAGCTTGGTCCTTCAGCCTCAATCGTTCCCGTTGTATAACGCGGTGCACGAGATCTTCTCTAACCCCCGTTTCATGGAGCAAGGTACGTGCCCAATCACATCACATTTGACACAAATATCCCAGAGCTCGTGCTCACAGAAGAAATCCTAGGCGGCGTCCTCGGGGTGTTCTGCTCCCACGCGTACGCGCACACCTCCAACGACGCACACGTGCGCCTGCCCCGGGCGCTCAAGGGCGCCGATCTCGTGGTCTACTCGGTGCTGAAGAGCTTGGGAGCCGAGGTCAGTGTGCTGCCGGTGCTCGGCGACGACGACCGTGCAGTCTGGGATGACTGGGAAGAAGCGTATTGCAACGCCAGAATGTATCAGGGCCTAGAGACCTACCTCAAAGAAGGCGGCGAGCTGCCTAAGATTCAGACGGACGAGTTCCTGGGCGCCGAGTATGGCCGAAAATATGATCTGGACCGTCGCTGGAAGCTACTTCTCCTCATCCGGCGGGTTCCGGCGGTGCGGAGCGGGGCTCAGATCATGCACTCTATTAATAGCGAGAGACGCAGAAAGGGCAAAGATGCGGAAACCGTCGCAGATGGAACGGACGAAGATGAAGCAGAAGCGAAAGAAGCAGAAGGAGTGGTGGATTGGTCCGACGGTTACTTCTACAGGAAACGCGGGACGCTCGTCGCGCCACGCCTGTGGCCGTACGGCACTACCGATTATGGCGAGCATTCGTCCATGGAAAATGTGAGTTTGGATCTCCCACCCGCGAGTGAAAGAAAGAGGGGGGCTTGAGGGAGTCGATTGCTGACTGAGGCGTCAAACGTTCCATAGACCACAATGGCTGCGTGGCCTTTTCTCTACCTCCCAGGTATCACCTGGCTGAATCGACCCAAGCATGCGGAGATGGCATTTAGTCATATCACGTATGGTAACGAGGCCGGAGTCGGGACGCAGTATTCCTATGCGGCCATCTTTGCGGCCATCCCACCGCTCGAAGAACGAAAGAAGCATTTGGCTCAGTGAGAGGAGGAAGGCTACTTGCCTCTCAGACTGTCTGCAATCCCGCTGACAGGATGCAGCTCGCAGGGCAATGGCTCATCTCTTCTTTTGTCTTTTGATTCTCTTGCGCTTTCTTACCGGAAATCTCTTGCCTTTTGCAAATGCAACACAATTTAGGACTCTTGTGATGTTTGTGCTTTTCCCTCGAGGAGGTCAACCAAACATGGACAACAAGTTTTCTAGCGAAAAGTAAATTGAACTCCACCATTAATCTTGAGCCCAGTGTCTCTTTTCCGTGTCGAACCCCCGAAAGATTAGTTACTGGGATAACATAAGCTACTGAATTAGATGGAGTTGTTTCTCAGCACTCGAAGCATATTTTCACCCCCGCCAGCTCCCGCTCTACTACGTACCTTGTCATCCATCGGGGATTAATGTTAATATCAAGTGTATTGAGATTGGTCTCCTTACTCTTAGTGCACCATTTACCATTCTGAAATTATATTTCACTTTGTTCGAACGCAGCCCATTACTTGAAGAATGAGGCACGTATCCCTCTCACCACCGATTGATAGTAACCCCCACCAACCTACCACTAATCCCTCCCAACTCACGCAAGAAACTCCCTCCTCAACCTCTCCGAATGCTCCACCTCCCACGGAAACTCCCTCTCGACATCCCGAATCAAGCGCTCATACTCCTTGCTCCGGGGCGCAACCCGGACCTCAAACGGGGCAGGATGGCTAATCGTCCCCGGCAAGAACTCCGGGCGCACCTCGACCGCCTCCCCATTTTCGGTCAGCGCCTTCCCAACCCAACATGACGCCAGCGTCTGCGCCACCGTCAGGAAGATGTTCGAGTCCGCCAGCGTGCGTCCGGGGCAGACACGCCGTCCAAACCCGAAGGCCAGGTAATGCGGATCGCGCTCGGGGTGGGCGCCCAGGAAGCGGGCGGGGTCGAAGGTCATCGGGTCTATGTAGGCGGTGGGGTCGTGGCAGAAGGCCCTGTAGCGCTACAGTTAGGTCTGGCTAGATGGGTGGGGCAGTATTGAGGTTTGTTTGCGGGGTTAACTGAAAGGGTAGGCTGACCAGATATTCGGGAGAATGATAGAGCCCTTGGGGATGAGGTACCCGCCGCAGATATCGTCCTCCATGGAGCGGTGCGGGATCCCCATCGGGCCGACGGGGTGCCAGCGCAGCGCTTCTTTGACCAGTGCATCGACGTAGGGCAGATTCGGTCGGTCTGCGTCCGTGGGCAGTCGGCCGGGTCCGATCACGCGGTCGATTTCTTCTTGCGCTTTGCGCTGGACGTCCGGGTAGAGGGCCATGGCCAGGAAGAAGGTTGTTGTGGTCGAGACGGTCTGTTCCCGTTGGCTTTAGTATATCTACCCGATAGTCAGAAAAGGAAGGGGAGGTACCGTATCAGCGCCAGCGGCATAAAGCGTGGCGGACGACCACTTGATGACCGTCTCCTCCTCCGTGCCCGGGGTCAGCACCTTCCCCTCGAGCAGGTTGGACGCGTAGGAGGGCTCGTAGCCCGGCTGCGCCATCTGCTGCTGCACGAAGGCGAACGGGATGTCGGCCACGGCTTGGCTTTGTTTGCGGAAGGACTGTGCCGTGCGCTGGAATCCGGCGCCGGGGAACCACGCGGGGATATGGCGGACTTTCACCTGGGTCAGATGGATGGAACAGCTACAAGGAAAGGGGAAGGGACGACGTACGGAACGGCAGAACATCCACCATCCACGTTCCCGGGCGTACGGCCAGCGAGAACTGCTCGACGGCTTCGTCGGCTAGATCCACCAGCGGGTCACGTTTGTGCGGGTCGATGGAGTATCCGTAGGCGATCTTGAGGATTACGGCGCCCGCCAGTCTGGACAGTCAGTCAGCATTTCCTGGAATTTCGACCAGAGAAGGCAGGTACGTACTTGCGAATGTGTCCCACCAAATCCTCGGGCTGGTTGATTAAGCGCAACAAAAACCGCCGCACTTCCACCTCCTGCAACGCGTTGAACCGCGCCACGCTCGCCTTGGACCCGATCTCGCGGTGCAGGCTCTTGCGGTACGCCTTGAAGCGGCTCGAGTAGGGAAGGATGACCAGCCCGTCGCCCCAGCCGGCGCTATTCTCGTTAGCCTAAGGAGCATGGCTATAGGGGACAGTGGTGGTGGACTCACAGTTCGGCAAATGGCATCTTGGGCCGATCTGAGTGGATGGCGGATCGCTTTTCCAGGAGATCAATCGCTAGGTTGGCATCGTTGAGGATGATGAGTCTCTGTCCGAGAACGGAGACGGTGCTGATGGGTCCTGGGTTTGTTGTGAGTATGCCACTGATGACTTGTTAGGGTTTCTACCGACCGTAGACATCCTTATGTTTCAGCCAATGCAGCCAGTCCGGACTATCTGGAGAAGGGAGGTCGCGAATATTGCCCACCAGTGGCAGAGGCGAGGGGCCTGGAGGCAAGGGTGCAGAGGCGCGGCGCGTTGACGAGAAGAACTTGAGCAAAAGGTAGAGGCCGACAAGGCCGACGACGAGCGGTAACAGGTACATTGCGGTGGGCTTGGTAGGGTCCTCAGGTGCAGGACATGATAGACGCAGCGCGATTAGGGCTGCAATGCACGGGAGGAAGTGCGTGAGGGTCGGTGGAGGCGACACGCGGGGAGAGAGTTAATATATCCATTTTTGCCTCCGCGATGGCGATCTTTCACCTAGCGAACTACGCTACGGGCCGTCTGGACTCTGACCGCGGGTCATGAAAAAACGAAGAGGTCGAGATGTTGCCAAGACGTGTTGCATTGACTAGCACCGCGTGTGGGGATGAGAATATTCCTCGACCTCTTGCGAATCACGATACCGCTCTGGGTAGTATAGGTATGACCCTTATAGTTGGGTCACTGGGTCACTGGCTCATCGGGCAAATGCCGCGGTAACACCCTACTGGGTCCACTTGATAGGCCGGGCCTGAGCCGTCCCCAAAAGAAGTGGCACTAAATTGCCGATACGAGAGAGTGGAGACTCCACTGAGGCTCGGAGTGGGGAGGCGAGTTTCACCATCCTTCCCGGTTCTGGTTGCTGGCGAGGACGTGTCGAACAGGGAGCACAAGGCCTATCAGAAAAGCCTCATTAGTATGCATTGGGTTCGATGCGGCCCCAATCATGAACCCCGGATCAAGTTACAAGTGAGCAGTTCGCAGGCTTATCAATCTGCTGGTTGGGCTTATGCATCACCAACTTAACGGCCGGTGGTCATTGATGCCTCAGGCATTGTTTCACGGAGACATACAGTACATCCTGGTCGGTACCTATCTCGCTCCTAGTATCTCTAATAGGGCTTTAAGATGAATAAGATAAGCCGATACTAGTCTTTCTGATCTTCACTATCATCTTCTCAACCCTGTCTTCAAAACACTACCTCATCCGGTGGGGCCCTATGCAAGCACGGCACAAAACCGTTATCTCGTATCTGCACGCTCGTGGCCAACGTGGATGCAGATGCTTGGACTGCCTACCAAGACACTAGTGCGCCTGATTGATAACTTCTGCCTCGGCAGGCCACTTAATATGTCTCTTGCGCCAAGAAAATAATATAGAGAGTCCCGTTGGGTAAAAAGTGATGACAGCTAGTCCCTCGCCGCTAGAAGTCTTAGGTCTACTGCGTCGAGTTGCATGCATGCCTTCAAACCATGCTCAGAAATTATTGACTACTATAAATATGCAGATTGTTCAAGTTACTGCTTCTTCACCACTTCCCTCGCGATGGCATCCTCCACCAGCTGCACCACACTCCTCCGGTCAAACACCTTCCGCGTCCACTCCATCAGCACCTGCATGTACCAGGGAATCGCCCAGCGCAGCGGCCCCAGCCACCATGCCTTGGGCGCGACGATCATGGCGGCCCCACTGGCGGTCTGCGTCGCCATGAGGGTGGCCCCCAGCCCGGGGCTCATCGCGAGCCGCTGTCCGTGCACCGCGTCGACGAGGGACAGCATCCCCAGGAAGAACGCGGCGTCCATGTCCGGGGGGAAGTCGCTGGCGAGGGTGCCCGTGGGCGGGCCGGTGTGCGTCTTCGGATGGCCCCAGATCAGGAGGGTGGTGTCGGTGTGTCGGCCTGCAGGGAGGGTGCTCGCGTATGCCTCGCCTTCGGTGGTGGACCAGAAGGGGTCGTCGGGTGATACTCTAACATGTACATGAGTATGCTTGTGAAACGAGTCTGGGGGAGACAGCTCACGGCCAGAAGTTATGCGGCAGGTATGGAGGGATGAGCGTCACACCGTCTGCCGATCGCGTAGGTAGCTGGGATGCATGGCCACCGCGAGATGCATTCTGAGGGTATGCTCCCTCGGTCGTGTGGATGGTGTCGATCACACCGTATGTGGTCGTAGTGCCTGCCGCGCCGGATTCCACGATGAATGACTCGGCTTGGTAGAAGTGGATGTGGAGTGGAGGTGCCTAAGTGGGAATTAGTGTCTACTTGCAGGGATGAATGCAAAGACAGAAAATCTACCTGAGGATGCTGTTTCCCCAGCTTCGTCAAAGCATGTCCGCCAAAATAGGTCGCCCGCATCAAGACGGTGGCATCCAAGTCGGCGGGTACCTGCAGGAACTCGATGACAAAGGAGCCGTGGAACATCTTGTGCGGGCCCCCAAGAGGGGCAGGAAGCCGGGGTTCATCGCCTGTAGGACGTAGGATTGGCATTTTCACCGAGTGATTACACCGAGATGGAGCACAAGCTTCGAAGTTGCCGGGGGTGCTGGCAGGATGCTGGGCCGCTGGCAGGATGTCACGGCGGCTTATAAGGGTTGATGCACGAGGCTAGCGGAGCCCAACCAGGCTAGTCCACTTATCTTCAGCCCCGGCCGTAAGCTGACAAGCTATACGAGCCTGGCGACCCAACTCCATGGGACAACGTTAGTCATGGATTTGCTCTCTTCTTTGTCAGTCTGACAAATGGAGCAAGATGGGAGTTGTTCTCGTTTTACGAGTTGGGCTTGCCTCCGAAGCAAGAGGACCGGGGGGGGGGTGGCAATACATTATTTGGAATTGGCGGCAGCACGACCTTGGGGTCACAGGGTCGAGGCAAGGTCTCGGAGGGATTGCCTGTGGTCTAGAAATATCAAGATATAAAATGCCTGTAGATCAACCAAGACATCGGAAAGAGTGAGTTGGCAGCGGACAAGGATTCCGCCATTGCTGCCTCAGGTTTCATGCCCAGCTGCCGTCTAACCAACGTCCAAACAAGGGCTAGCGGGTTTATCGGCGGCGGACTAGCCCGCAATTTCCGCTATCGGGCAAAATCGGCTCATCGCCTGTCAATCTCGACATGTGAATTGTGTGGCATAGCAAGTAAGGTACTTTCTGTCCCCAATCATTTTAGTGGTGAACTGTTATCTTTGAACATGCCATCGAGCTTGTTCAGGTATACCTGATAATATCATAGGAGGTATCCCTCCAATGCAGACCACGGTGCAGGAAAACTGCCTGCCCCACTCTGCTTCGGGCGGGGCGGAATCATGGGACTTTTTCGTTCTTGGAGTTGATCAGCTTGATCTCTTCTGGTGTTTTTGTTTAAAAAAAAAGTTTTTTTCTTCTTATCATTTTTGGCTCCCGATTTCATGGCACACCGCTCCTGAATAGAAACGAAGCGCAGTTCTGACGCGACTCGGAAAGTGCACCGATGTGGGCTTTATATGGGCTTCAATCCGCATTGGTACATACAACGGCGCATTATTTTACTAGAGTGGGGCGCTCCGCTGATGTTGCCGCAGCTACAGAGGAAGGCTGACCAAAATGGTCTTTGGCATGATAGTTCCTACTTCGTGGTCATAATTCTTCGTTAGGCATGCAGCGACATTCAGATCCTGAGGATGCACCCATCATTCAACAACCTCCGTAGTCTCCGGCTCGCTTGGTCCCTTGTTTAACCCCGGGGAATCTCGCGTCATCTCAGGTTGCGGCACGATCGCGTATCGCACGCGATTGCGCAGGAACCACCTGGATCCATTAGTATGGACTTCACACGAAGTGCATAGGGGCACGGGACGAGGGAATGGACATACCATAGGGCAACACTCAACGCCGCTACTGCCGGCACCCCCAGTCCCACACTCAAGCCGATGATCAATTTGTTGTTATTGCCGTGGTGCTCGTGGGTGGCCGTACTATTGCTACCAGTCGCAGAACTGCTGGCCGATGTGGTCTGAGTCGGTGGAGGGATATAAGACACCGGGCTTCCGGAGGTCGCGAGCAGCGTGCGTGCCCCCGATCCAAAGGGGCTGGCACTCGACAACGAGGCAAACGTGTTCGCTGGGAAGGTGGCTGCTGCCCCGGACGCCACGGTCAGAACCGTGGTCAGCTCGGTCTCGATCGACGTGGTGTTCTGGAGCGCGACGGGGCAGTTGACGAGACCGCTGGACGCGCACTGCACGAGAGTGTACCGTGTCACCGTGGAAAGCGTCGTGGTCTCGAGGCTCACGTCGCGCTGCGCGAGCGTCGCCGACGGAGTGATCGTCGATGAGGCAATCGTGGTCTTGCTGCCCGCGCAGAGACTGGCGAGGGTGGTGTAGAAGACCGGCACGGTGGTGTTGGGCGAGGGCCCCCATTGATACGTATCCACCGCGACGGTGGCGCCGGCCGCCGCACCCACCGCGAGGGTATACTCGGCCACCGCTTGGAACGCGCAGTCGGCGTCTTTGCTGGACGTGCCATTGACCTCCAACTGGAAGTCGGCCACGTAAGCGAAGACCTCTACGCCAATCCCTGCACTGAAATCGACGGCTTCAAGCACGGAGAGCGACTCCGCGGGCGCGATGTCAAATCCCACGCTGGCCTCCAGCTGTAAGAGGGCCTGGAGGCTTCCGTAGCCCTGGATGGCGATCGGCAGGAATTCAACTTTCCCTCCGGGACTGTTCACGTCAGTGGCACACCCCTGGCAGCGTAGGTTGATTCCCACAATGAGGGTAGACTTACACTGTAATGTCCGACATCCCCTTGTTGAACAGATCAAGCGCAAGCACCAGCCCATCATCCAATTTGATATGGATCCCACTACTAATGTCGACCTCCGCCTCGGCGACCAACACCAGCGAGACTTTGAACAGTGCGCCCGCGTCGAGGCCCGGGATTGAGAAACCGACGATGGTCTCCGAGGTGAACAGATTCAAAGTGTACGTTCCACCGGCCGACAACTGTACATCCAGCTCCAGGTACAGCTCCAGATTGTCGAATTCAAACTCAGCATGAACGCCAGGAAAGTCCTGGGTTGTATTCAGAGTGAAGTCGAGATCCAGCGTTGGCCAGGCGGGCATGTCGACCAGTTCGAAGTGAGTCACGCCTTCGACAAAATCCTCCGCTGCGTCGCGCGCAAACGTCTTTAGCTGGTTGATTGCTGCATCTGTCACGTTTGCGAGCTCGTCTGCGATGCTTTCCACGAGGTTGGTGACGTTCAAGCTTTCTTCTACGGTAAGGAAGCCGCTGACCGAGCCGTTGATATAGCAGGACTTGCAGATGACGGCGAGGCCTACTTCGACATCCAGGGATCCTTGCTTCGATATGGTAGAGTCACTGGGAGTTGAAAATCACGTCAGCTTGCGTGTGAGACATTCCCACACGGGGCGAACTATACGGTACCTCGCTTCGATCGAGAAAAGAGTGGCGTCGACCAAGCTCTTTGTTAAGTTTGTCTCGTTGGTTTTGTAGGTCGTGCCTCCCACTGCGCGCAGGGCTTGTTTCACCGCAATTGCGGTATCTTGGTCGGGGCCATGATGATTGGGTCTCACAGATGAATAGCCTGTAGTAACCGCATGAACGATGCAAAAGAATTGCAGGCAGGCGAGAACGTATCCGCCCCAGTACATCATGATTTCACGCTCCAGTCCCACACTATCGCTCCCCCGCCCCAGTTTTGGGGAACCAGACGGAATAAATAACTTGAGCGAAGACTTCGTCGCATTGCTAAGCCTCGCTGAGCCCAGCAATTAGTCTGCTGCAGCTCGCTGTGCCGCAGGGCGAGATTAGGCTATCTGCCAGCATAGCTGACACCATAAGCACGCTAGCAGGGGTGCGCTGCCCATTCCCCTCACCAGGATTCGCGCACGCAAATCAGCTCACTAGCTCTCATGACCGTTTGCTGCTAGCTATCTTGGATAGGAAATTGTTCATCTATTTTTCTGGTTGAGGTCAGCACTAGTTATGCACCATCTCCATCCGCTCAACCACAATGACAGCGGCCGACAGTTAGCGAACCCTTCATATTGTGGCTTGCATGGCATCGCCGCAGTCAGCCTAAGCCTTCTCTTGGTTGTATAGCTCAAGAACACAAAGGTGTCTGGATGAAGCGGAGCGACATTTACCGTCGGCCATGTGTGTACTGTGCTCATGTTTGGCTTGAAAGATGGTAGTCAGGCGCTACCACAGCAGTCCAAGTGCAATTTCCTGATACGCACGTGCGGGTATAGATATGACGCTTTGAGTCGCCTTGACATTTTCAGGTTGCAGGCATAGCAGAACCAATTGAAAGGGTACAATATGATAGATAATATCCGTTTGTCTTGTTTGGAAAATTAACATCGCCTAGAATCCCAGCACATTTAGAGAATCTTTGAGGGCCGGCGAGTCCTGCCATTTTCCCGAGGCCATTCTTCTGTGATAAGCGATTTTAGACGTTCCCTATCGAACACGATGCATGATGTCAGTTCCCAGCTGCGAAGCTCGGCAGACTTGTACATACAACAGCACATACACATTCCGTTCTCCCGGATCAATTCCATTAAGTCTCCATGTCGATCGCGCAAGTGATCCAATCAGAGTCGAAACTGCGGTGATCTTTGATCCCCCGATCGCATTCAAAACAATACCAGATATGACCGTGACTATCGGAGCCATAATCCCAGGATAGCTCTGAAGAAGCCCGCCGAATGCACTGCGTATGTCGGTCGTGGATATGCTCAATCAAGTCTGCCGCGTCCCCGCATTCTTTTCCGTCTTCCGTGCAGGTGTAAGAGGACATGATGATGTTGTTGTTTCGATGAAGATTTGGTACAATTTATCGAGGGAATCGAATATGGTGGGGGATTCAAAATGAGGAGCTATCTAGCATCATTGTATATAAGAGTTCACAACCCTCTTCGTCACATGAATGTCACTCACTGCATGTGCAATGACAGAATGCGTGCATTGCGTCCCATGGGTGCGATGCGATGTAAAGGACACCTTGTATCTGCTGAGCATGTGAACATGATCTCATAATGGTACAAGTTTATGGACCCTGCATCCAATCAGTCGTTTCGATAGAAAGATATTGAGGCTAGATGCCAGGACACTACAGAAATGGGATCAGCTCCCCACATGGATATTCATATGAATCTCTTTCCAAAGCTTGGCAGAATGGGTGTTTCTGTGTCCCGTGTATCAACACAGACGAGCCACCGTAGCCATTTTGTTCGATTTCTGGTCTGTTTCACCTATCACTCGAGGCAGTAAGAACGTCTGGATACCCTCCCCTCCCCCCTCGCACTAGACCTGCTCACTATCGGCCGACTCCTCCCGCTCGCCATCCTCATCAACGTGGAGGGTATCCCACTTCTCTAAAAAACTATCCAGTTCGGCGTCATCCAGCTGCGACCGGTCACCAGCCGTCTTAGACAAGGAATTCGGGTTCGGGTACAGACTCTTGAACCGCTCGCGGTCCTTGGACTCCCACATCACCTGCTCGAACTCGGTGAAGAGGGCGTCGGTCTCGGGCGGCAGCACGACGCTGTTCTTCTGCGCCGAGACCTGGATCATGCGCAGGATCCCCTTCATCAGGATCCATTTCCGGGAAAGGGCGCGGGCGCAGACGCAGAGCTCGGTGAACGAGGTCTTGTACTCCGGGACCGGGTGGTCCAGCACCTCGAGGAGCGTGAACAGCGCCATGCTCACCCAGTGGATGGTGGTCGGGTGGATGTAGTCGATCCCCCAGCGCGTGCGATGGATGCGCAGGAGGCGCACGATGGCCAGCGCCGAGTCCACGCAGAGCCCCCGCGCGGTCGCGGCGGTGGCGGCGCGGTCGCTCTCGTCGTCGTCGTCTTCGTCGGCATCATCAGGGTTGGCTTCCCCCTTCAGGAGGCCCCAGAGCATGATGATGAGGGTGTGGTAGAAGAAGCTGAATGCTGCGTCAGTCCATTTTCCATGGCCGCATGCAGTATCGAGAGTGAGAGAAGAGAGTGGAAACGGAGCTTAAATCGCAAAACTTACTGCAAGCTAAACGCCTGCGGGACAGAACTATTTTCGAGGGTCAGGCATTCCGGTAGTTGCGCTCTCCAATCGTCCAGCCTTGGTTGCACCTCTTGCAAAGTCCGGTGCAAGTCGCCTCGTGGCAGTACTGACCCGGTCCCAAATATCGATTTGTTGATATCCATGTTGATTTTGCTCAGCTCACACCAATTGTTGAAGACACACGGGATATGCGACTGCAGTGGGGTAGCCTGTGGCTGAGGGTAGGGTGACCAGGTATCATCCTCGGCGTGATCGCATGAAAGAAGGGGCCTCTCTGGCTGCTCGATGGCCAAGTATTTCATGTATCCGATCGATGCAGTCCTGGGAGCTGTGAGCCAAGTTGCGACGCGACAACCGGAATTACAACAGGAGCAGAAGATGAAGATAGCGGTGCAAAGCACGCAAGTACGCACGCTGTGAGGCAATAGAGGCCCCATATAGTATTGTTCACCGCGCGGCTCTCCCGGGTCTCCACCGACGGTGGTCGGTGTCTTTTTGAGTACTCCTGGGCCATATCGTTGATCTGGCTCAGATACCACCATCCCACACGGTCCTTCCCCATGGCTGCCATACTAGAGATGGTTCTTCAGCAGGGGGAACCCGGTTGCAAGGATCGTGAATGAACTCACCACACATACATCACCCCAGACCCTTGGAGGGTGGGCACATCCAGCTGCCCTTCTACCTTCTCATAGTGTCGTCGGGCCTCCTCGTAGAAATGCGTCCCCTTCGAGTTAGGATCATCAGGATCGGCGTAAGCTTCCGGATACTCGGAATGGAACTGTGATCGCATGGGGGTTAGTGGCTGGTCCGCAATCAGCCGAGGAGTCAGTCATCTTACACAGGCTTCTGCGAGAATGCAGTTGAACAGGAACGGGGAGCAAAATGGCGAGTCGAGCTTGCCTGATCGGGCATCCCGAAGGAACAGGTCGCGATCCACCCAGTTGTAAAAGGGGTGACTCCAGGTGAACCAGAGAGAGACAAGATGCGATACCAGATCGTCGGAGGTGGTGACGGAGGTCCAGGGCGCGGCGGGTACCCGGTACACGGGGATGTCGACCAAGCGGTTGATGTCCATGGCTCGGTGGAGAGAGACCTTCTTATTGGCCGCATACAGGAGTTCATATCGATCCTCCTCGGTCACATCCTGGTCCATGTAGAGCTTGAGCTCGCCCAGCGGGGCTTTGCTGCGCACGAGATTCAACAACTGGGCGGCCTTGGCGTCCGAACTGTCGCGCAGCGAGTGGACGACCTGCAGCAGAAGATCGCGCTCCTCCTCGAGTCTTTCGATCTTGCGCTTGTGGGCCAATCGCCGGCGGCCATCGTCATCGAGGTCGAATATACATTGCAGCTTCTGCTTGGTACACCGGTCGCAGGAGGTGGCCCCGTCGCGCACGCGACACTGTGTCGGGGATTCAGTCGTGCTGGCCAGAAAGGTGGTGAACAGGTGGTGACTACCTTGGATTTGAGTCGCTTACACTCACCACACGCCATCGAGGCTTTGCGCTGTGGGGGCAGCGACATGTTGGTGGGTGGCGTCAGATACCCTCGCCCGCCCTCACGCGCCGACGGGGCGGGGGCAAGGGGCTGCATTGGAGGAAAGAAGAGGGGAAAAGGTGGACTGGGAGGAAATTCCGGAAGTCGAGGATGAGTAGACGAGGGCGGTAGCCCATTTTTCAGGAACCTTCTCCAAGCCAAGCACGGGAACAAAAGAGGCAGTTGAGCTCAGGGCTACCCAGGCTGATGCACGGGCGAATTTGGGAGGAGGGAAGAACAAGTCATTTTGCATGCTTGAGGCAGGATATTTATTCCGAGCCCCGCCGGGATCGACCGTGACTTTCCCCGTCAGTATCGTATCTAATTGCTGTAATCTTTATTTTACCGGAAATCAGCTCCGTGGTCCAGTTGAGTTTGTGCAAATTTGCTTATGAGTGAGTGCGAGTGGAAATGTGTGCCGACTGACCCTCACCCTTGCAGCCCTTGGGCCGCTTGGCAGCAATCGATCGATCGACAAGTGGTGGATGCGTCCTCCAGTTAGCTTGAGGCGTCGGCTATTTTTGCCCCAGGAGCTTCTTTCTCTCTGCGGTTGCCGGCGGCGAAATTAAGGCTTGGATCGCATTCGCATAAGAACACACAAATCATGCCAGATGTTGACCGACACATCAGACTCTTGAAGCCTAGTGTTCGACACCCCAGATCCTTCCCGTATAGCGTGAGCGCAGCTTCGTAAAATCGCGGTATACATACACCTGTGGTCAATCATCAGGCAGTGAATTGATTGAAAAAGTCAGTTTCTATTCGCACCGCTTGTGCTTTTAGCTGAATGAAAGTATGCAAAACTCGAAATTCTAGGTCGAATCTTCTCCTATGCATCGACGTCAGTCCGCTGACTAAGTGATGTGCAGCTGCACAGCAGCCAGGCTCGTTACTGTTCCGTCCTGAACCGTCATGGGTATCTGTATCTCGTAAGTTACTCGTTTCAGTGTTCTAGACCCTAATAACACTCGCCACAGTGGCAACCAGCTCCCCCTCATTCGATTTATGGATCTTACATCACCATCAAGGGATAAATGAAATCCTTGAACCATTCAATACATAGTACTAGGAAAGAAATACCACATCAAGTTGCGAGATGTTGTCGAAGATCTCATGTCATGCCATTCCATATGTTTATTCAGGGCTATAGACACTCATGCTGTCTCCTGGTCAGAGCGCTAGTGGGGCACTAGATCTACGCCAAATGAGGGTTGGGCCATCCTCACCACGGTGCCTCTCGTCCCCAGAGGCAGTCTTCACCTCAGACCTGTTCCACCAGAGGGTATCTTGTCATGGAAACGACCCGATCTCCCTTCAATTCTCGCCAGCTAGGAATCAGGAACCCCGTGCCAAGGTAGATCCAAACCACGGCATACTCCATCGACAGGCCCATGAGAACGAACGGAGCGATCGGACCAACGAGGTCGTTCCATCGGAGATCAGTCGCATGGAAAACCGAGAGAAACAGATAGGCAATGCGCACAATAAGGAAGGGTAGTGCCAGAGCCATCGCTTTGAGAATCTGTGGTTGAGCGGTCAGTTCAGCCGGTGGTCGCAACTGGCGTTTCTCGCCAAGACAGTAACTCACAGTCGAGCTCATGTGCGAGAGGTCAGGAAGATGCATCCAGAAATACGCCTGCACGAGGAGTAGACACGCTGCAAAAACCACAACAATACTATATCCGGCCTTGACGAGTTTCACCCCCGTCGCAACGTCGCTGGCACTGTCGCTCCCTTCGAGGCATCCGCCGGCAATTTGCAGGCCTAACCCCACGAAGAACAGCATGCGCGAGAACATCAAACAGCGGTTGACCCGGGGGTTGACTACCTCCTTCTCGTGGGCTAGGATTATGCGGATGAATCCTAAGGTCGCGGCAATCAAGGGGAACACGCCCGTATTGAGCAGGATGATTGAGGCGACCATGATGCCCGTGCGGCGTTTGTGCTCAAACGAAATCACCAGAATGCCGGCGGCGACTCTGACTGTCAGGTTTGTCAGTATCATCACTCGCTTCTAGCATACTCCGAAATCCGACGGTGTTTGTCGACTTACTGAGCGAGAAGAATAGTATAATCAGCCATGACATACGCGGCCGCTTGTGACGATAGTACGCGTGGTATGCAGATAAGAAGATGACAGGGATATAGAAGATGATCTGTGCGATACTGGCTTTGGAATGGTCGTTTAACATAGCGGGCGCGGTCGACTGCTGGATGAATCTATATTAAGAATCCAATCGGGACAAGTATCAGAGGCGATCGGGAGATGAAAATAGTCCGTGAATTTAGGAGTCAGAGAATGACCGGGATAATGTCAATTGAAGAGTAGCTCTATGATTACCCATCTTGCTGGACCATTTCTCTCCTTTTTATACATTTCCTCAAAGACGTGAATATTCGATGTAGGGCTTCTAGGGCGTTGAGGACAAGCTCAGCCTCTCGCAAGATGAACCCCCTTTTCGGACTAGCGGCGATGTTAGTCATCCACATCCCTCCCATCTTCCCCACTCAGGCATTGACTCAGCCCCAAATCCACCCCCCTGGCCATCGATCCTAGAAACCTCATGGCGCGCACGATGCGGCCGTTCTAAAGAGTAAACCCAATCTGACAAGTGAGCCTCGATCGTCTCGCTTATTTGGGTTACCTCAGCTATTTCGGATTAAAGTTCTTTTATCTTGTCTACCCCGATTGAGGCTTGAGAGAGCGGCAGCCTTACGGGGCAATCCAGGCCCCACTCAGAAAGCATGGTTGGAGTCGCCGGAAAGTCCAAAGGTTGCAATACCTGTCGAGCACGGAAAATCGCGGTACATGCCTATTTTTCCTCCTCCATCGCTTGTCCGGACACTGAATGCTTCGAGTTAGTGCGACCAACAAAGACCGGCATGTGCTCGATGCACTCGATCTAACCGAGTGTGTGGTGGGTATGAGCGGGACAGGGTTTTTGTCGTGATGCAGCCAGGAGCGAAGAAGAAATACGTGTATCTCAAGTCTTCTCCCTCGCCGTCAGGATCGCCGGCTGAGAGTTTCCCGTGCTCCGTTGAGCTATCGACACTCCCGCCCCCTGGGGACGGTCAGCCAATCTACTCATTCACGGAGAGATCCCCAGCTTACGCGCTGATCCAGAGGCAGAACGAGAGCCATAACCTGGTGTTGTCTTTTCTCGCTAATTGTCTCCCAGCGCAATGGTCCGCATCCCCTACCAGATCATGGATCCCACTTCTGGCTGGCCTGTCCGCAGAAACTAAAGCCCTGGAAGTAAGCAGTGCCGCCCTCGCAGCCGCAGCAGTCGGCCACAAATTCAACGATTCGGCATTGATCCAATACAGCCACAGCCTCTACACCGACGGACTTCAGCAACTGCAGCGTGCGCTGTGGAATCGCAGGCGTGCCCAGGATGATGCCACGCTGGCTGCTTGCATGGCTCTAAGTCTGTACGAGGCTATGGAATGCCCAAACGCAGGGTCGGAAGGGTATTTCGGGCATTGCCAGGGCCTTCTTGCCTTGGTGGAAGCGCGTGGAATTGCAGCCCACTGCTCCGGCCCGGGCCACCAGTTGTTCCTTGGGGTCCGAATTCCAGGGGTGAGTTCCTTGCTAGCTGGGTCCCAAACCGACAAGCGATACGGGAATTTCCGTGAAACTCACCTCCTCGACTACAGATAATATACACCCTGGAAAACCACTCTTCGAGTTTTCTATTCGACGCCGCGTGGATGAATCAGCCGTGGAGCCAAATCCCGAAAACCTCCTTCACGCAGGTGGTCGATTGTCTCGCGCAGGCGCCCGGGATTCTCCAGCGAGTGTTCCTCTTACCCAGTCTCAGCTCCGAGCAACAAGTAGAGGCCTGTTTCCAGCTGATCGCGGAATGCTGGCAAATCGACGAGAAGCTGGACACGATCTACGCGGCGATGCAGGGTGGCAGGTCGGACCCGCTCTACTGGCTAATTCCCTCGACAAGCCCCCCTTGGGCAACAACTGAGCATACAGATAACCTCTTCCCGTTCGTCTTCCACTTTGCAGACATGGAAACTGCAGCGACGCTCATCCTGCTGTGGGCGGTGCGGGTCCTGCTGTGGTCGGGTCTGTGCAACTTGTACAATGGCATGTTTCCGAACAGCTGCATGCTACCAGCTGGTGAGCCAGTGGGGCCGCTTCGAGCCCTCGGTCATCGGAGGGAGTATATCTCTATGGTCCATCATGTCTGTCAATCGGTTGAGTACCTGATGCAGGATGACTTTCTGCTCGCGGGACCGCTGTCGGTCACCCCAGCGCTGGGGATCGTGATCGACAGTCTTCGATATCAGCCTAGGCATGCCGCGGTGGAGGCATGGCTGCGGGCGGCTTTGGACCTCGTTCGGCAGAAGGGGATAGGAGTGTTGGAACATAGCCGTTAATTTGTCGAGTTCGTTTGTAATCACGGAATGTATGTACTATACTATGTAGCACGGGCGCATAGAACATATAGGATACCCAGTTTTGTGACAGGCGCGGTGTGGAATGTTGATGGGGGCGCAATGCTTGAGTGCGAGTTGTGTGTAGCGACATCAAAGGAATCTTTCGTCGGAGTACCTTTCCTTCATACTATGTTGATTTGGAAAGGATATTAAACTTCAAGAATCAAGTCTCGTAATTGACACCATATGTACTAAGACTCTCTCGCCGACCAGTCCAAGCTTCCACATCTGTCTAATTGATGCAGAGGAATTCAATTGCTCTGGAAATCAATGCTATCAGCAATACGTGAATTGATCCATCATACCAACTATTTTGAAACATGTAGTACATGTCTGAACTGAGGGGAGGAACTTGTGCCGTATATGATTGATTGGGTTGTGAAGGTGGAGACCGTTCGGCCAAGCTTCCTTTTTTTTTTTTTTTTTTTGTTCCTCGGCTGATTATGCATGATCAAACTCGGTTTATGAAGACATGACTAATTTTGAAAGGAGTACAGTCACATAATAGTAGCATAGCGTTAGTTAGTCCTATCTGGCGCCAAATTCAATCGATCGCGATAAGCCAATTGCCGGCTAGTTACTGTATGCGGCAGCTTTCATTGAGGCGAGAGGCGAAAGCATAGAAATACAGCACAGTGCTGTGCTGCATAGCCTTCCTGTACCTATTCGCCCTGCAGCACGTGAACAGTTCCAGACTCGCATTAAGACTGGTCCGCCTTTACTCGGTGGTTGGATCGACGGTTCGGTTGAGATCATCACACTAATCTCGATCCCTTGGTACACTGGTGACGCACGAGAGTATTTGCGGCTCGGATCGTTTATCACTGCCGTTGTGTGCCGGATCTCAACACGCCTAGCTGATTCTTTAGTAGCCACAGGCCTCGCAGTCATTGCTAGACCCCTTTTAATATAATCTTTTCAATGGACGAGGTAAATACCTCTGCTATTGTTGAAGCAGTAGCGTTCGGTCTACTGACTTCACTCAGCACTCAAGCCTATCTGGCTACGGATTAAGTCTCATAGTCTTTTCAGCATGTATATTCTATGTCGCCCTGGTCATGACATCGCTCAAACTCGCCATTCATTGTGGGCTGTCAAAGTCGAGCATAGCCGAAGATCTGTGTGGTCTCGGGGCCATAGTAACCTGTGCGGGGATGCTTGCGACTATTATCTTAGGTACTGTACTATCTCAATGACAAAGGTTCTCCCAACCTCCACTAATCAGTGGGTAGGGGTTCTGCGAGGCATTGGCCGGACAAGCGAGGAAGGGGGGATTGATTATGATGCCCTTGGAAAGGTTCGAGCACACGCGGAGAAGATCTTGCACAGCTGACACCACCGTCCCTAGATCCAACTCGCCGTGCAGGTCCTCTACATCACCTCCGCTGCGTTGGTGAAACTGTCGATCCTTTTTCTGTACCGCCAGGTCTTCCAACACATGCGAACCATCATCACCATCACCATCGCGGTGATCGTAGTGATCACCGTCGTTTTCATCTTCGTGGCCATCTTCCAGTGCCATCCGATCGGGCGGTTCTGGTTTGAGCTCAAGGCCACACAAGGCGCATGCATATACCAGCTCATCTTCTGGTGCGATGTGGCGGTGGTCTTCCTTCTCAGTAACATCTGGATTACAGCATTGCCTGTTCGGCCGATTTTGGGTGAGTCTTCAATGTTGAACATCTCACTGTGAAACCGTGGTTTGAGCATGCTCTAGGTCTTCATGTGAAAGGTCGTTTGAGAACCGGTATTCTGCTGCTGCTATGCTCAACGGGCTTGTTGTGAGTGGCGTCGATGCAATCATCGATCCGACCGGACGGGACTGATGATGGACCTAATCAGGACGTGTTCGATGGCAACGATTCGCCTAGCCTACATCGTCAAACTCTACAGGGGCAACGATCCGACGAGAGACATCGTGCCGATTTACTTCTGCTCCATCGCGGAGATATGCGTTGCTCTGGTCTCTTTGAGTATACCATCCCTGCGCTTGGCCGCCCGGCGGAAATGGGCGAGCCCGGCGCCATGCTGAATCTCCGGCTCGGCTGCATTACTTGAAGATATATACATTTTTCAATGAAAATAACAATAATCGCCAAGGGAATAAGAGATTAATCCAATGGCATATTTCGACAGATCAACTCTACGACTTGCTCGGAGGAAGTGTATGATAGGCATGCTTTAGAGCTTGGAGAAAGTAAAGAGTAGTAGTACTCTCAACAACCCTTGTCATAAAGACGGACAATATTGGCAAGGAGGCTTAAATGTGTATTTCTTAACCAGCAGATAAATATGGAAACATGTCTCATTTTACGTATACTGACCTGGTGTCGGTCTACTCTCTCACTAAACTTCTACATAAAATAATGTGGCCAAGCAGAATGGCTCTGAAGTCAAGCCCTCGCAAGGTGTGGACGTTGCAATGAGAGTCTACCGCTCTAGCGACATGTTCTCTTCACCCTCCAGAAAGGAGGCGCCAGCTTCGCCTCATATATCTAGTCTTGTCGCGAAGGAGAAGCAATTACACCAAAGTGAATGAATCGATCTATTCTAGCGAACACAAATGGCAGGAGAAAGACTAATCCAACCACTCCCCAATCCACTTCCGAATCCTTTCCGGCTGCACCCCCTCCACCTCCTGCAGTCGTCCACTAATCTCAGCTGTACGCACCGTCTCCAGCGCATTCTCTGCCTCAGTGTGTCCGACCAGCCCCTCAAAGAACTCCAGCAGTTTGGCCGCCGGCTTCCACGCCAGAAGCAGTCGCAACTCCTTCTCGTTGAGCTTCTTGCGGTCCTCCCCGCGCCCAGCGGTCTCGACGTCCAACCGCACCCGTTGCACCCACTCCCGCAGTGGGACTATGTCAAGCTCATCGACACCGCTTCGCGCCGCAAGCTCTTTGGCGACAACAGGGAGGACTTCATCCCAGGACTTGGGGTGAAGGTTAATAGGATGGTAAACCTGCAACTGTCCCCGCGCAGAACCATCCATTGCCCCACCGAGAAGTGCTAAATCCACTATAACTTCAGCCAAAAGATCGATTAAGACCCAGTCGATGCGATCCAAGGGGGAGCTCAATGTACCTGGAAGGGTCTCGAGATGCCACGAACTCCGGAAAAGACTGGGAACCATTCTGTTGGGTTCCAGAGGCCCGGGGAGCGCACTGCACCGGTCGACGCGGGCGAATGCGAAAGAGGATCTTCGCTCGTTATTGTGCTGGGATTGCTGCTGCTGCTGCAGTTACGCAGCGCGGGCGAGCAGATGCTTGGCGATATACTTGCTGTTCGCGCAGCCGGTGGGGACACAGTGGGTGCTAGCTATCATCGTCTCCGAGGTGAGGCTGGAGTCGGTGTAATGGCCTATGATTGAGCTGATGGAGGAGAGAAAGAACAGATGCGGAGACAGCGGGCTGCGAGCTGTGAAATTGATGAGGTCACCACGCCCTGAGGTGGGGCTCGAAGAACACAAGGGAGTGGTCGATGTCCACCGTCCAGGCGTTGTGGATGATCAATGTAGTCGTTTACTGTAGCTGCTTGAAGACTCTGCGCTGCAATCCGAGATCCGCCCGGCTGAAGTCCGCTATCCAAAAGCTCACGCGAGACTCATGGTTAGCCAGTGGCGTTAGACCATACGTCACCATGCACTCGTGCTGGGTCTCTCGAGCGCGTTTTTTGCGGTTGAGGCAATGGATATGTGCCACGGAGGGATTGCTAAGGAGTGCATGAAGGATGTATGAGCCCAGTTGACCCGTAGAGCCGGTAAGAACTACCGTCTGTGTCGACGGTCTAGTCGCAGACCGCGAAGCGCAATCATCGGGAATCCGATCTGGCTAGGGAACTTGTGCAGCAGCTGGTCGCGTCCCCGAAGCAAAGTCTCCTGCTGCAGTTGCGTTGACTCGCTGCCCTGCCGAGCTTGTGGACCGCCTGGGTGAGCGCCGTCACGGCAAGATGCAAGTAAATCAGATTGGGCATGATAGCCGGCAGATTGAGACCAAAATTGAGCTCTCGGGTCAGTGTGATTGTCTGCAGGTAGTCTAAGCCAAGATGAACCAGTTCTCCGCATCGGAAAGCTTCTCTGCACTCCAGCCTGTGATGGCCAGGATAGAGGTACGGACGTATGCGGTGACCTGGCTAGCATCATCCACGCTGCCGGGCCCTGCCACCATGCCCCCGGTCGCCTGCGCCAAGCTCTCAGCGTCGGTGTAGAGCCTCCAGCTCAGATGCATAGAGCATCAACGTGCCAGCACGTTGAACAGTGCCCTTGCCAGCCCGCAACATGGGTTTCTCTGGCGTGGTAAACAGAATGTGGCTCTTGGCAATGCGTGCGTGAGCCGGACAGGCGCGGTTGGCCTCCTGAATGTTGGCCAGAGCTTCTCAATCATCGCCGCGCGCTCACTGACATTCAGTGCTAGTTCTGCTTTCCCGAGCTCCACGTTCAGCGCGGCTTGGAAGCGTTGAGCACCGGCGACCAGGCAGCCGGTTACCTCCCGGTTGGCAGCAACGATATGCTGCTCCATCAAAATCGGGTTTGTCTTCTCGCCGTTGAAAAAGACAATCATATCGTCCAGACGTGATGTTGTGCGCCACAGATCGGCCTTGGCCGGATATGGATGACGGATGAAGAGGTCGGAGGTGTGGTACTCCTAACGGTCAGGGACGATACTGAAAGGGAACTGGTGGCGTCCGTACTCAGGCGTACGCACCATGACCAGCTCATGCTCCAAGACGTGGCGCATCTGCACCCCCAATTGCGGGTGGAAACGCGTATACCGCCAGTCCCTGGTCGGATCTCGGTCGGTCGTCGAGTGAATCGCGGAGATCAGTCCCATATCCGTGGCACCGTAGATGTTCACCAGTTTGATCCGCTCAGCCACAGTGTCACCGATCGTCTGGGGTAGATCCCCGCCGCAGTAGCCGAGGAAATCCAAGTGGGTGTGGACAAAGTCCAGTAGCTCGGGGGTCTGCGCCAGCTTCGAGACAATTGATAGTGTCACGAAAGTGAAGCTGAAGGGCGTGTGCTTGCGTGCTGCAACCATCCCGGCCGCGGTAGGCAAGCTTCTAGAGAGTGGCATCACAAGCTCAAGTTCTACAGGCATAGTGACGAACGATAGATGCCCCACTCCACCAGCGTGAAAGGGGTGCAGCATCATCTACATTTTCTTGCCGAAAGCCAATTGTTTTTGTGTCTCAAAGCCCCGGGGAGGGTCCACAGTTTGCATTCGCATGTGCTTGACAGTTGTCTCGTGGATCCATTTGATGGGCTGGGGGATTCCGGTGGATCCTGAGGAGGTACGGATTATGACCAGTGGCTGGAGGGCCGCTTCCAGGTAGGTCTTCAAAAGATTCGAAGCGCGGATACTCGGTGCTTACGAGTTCCTCCATACTGAGGATACCGAGGACCTGGAGCGAGACGGCCTCTAGGATTGCTGCCGCAGCAGGAGGGCGTGGTACAGGAGCGATCAGCGTGGTGCATCCCAGCTTTTGCAACAAGGATTGATGGGTCACTGGGCTGTTACGGGGAGAAGTCAAGAAAGTTTGCCTTCTGTATTAGTTAGACTAGCAGTAATGTGGAAATAGTAACCAGAGTCACCATACGCAGTATCCCGCTTTCACAGCTTCAAGAATCAAAGCTGGGTATCGCAAATCATTAGGGCCAACGTAGGTGAGAACCTCTCCCCTGCCTGGCCCCAAGTGGCCCACCGGCAAGTGAGTAAGGCCGTTAATGGCAATGGCAAGAGTTTTGTATGTGACCGATTGGTACCCATCTTCATAGCTTGTGAGGTTGCGTGGGTATTCAGCATACACAGCTACCGGCTTGGTTGCGGCAAAGTGATCAACAATATGCCGCACCAGTTGACTGTGAGGGTCAAAATCAGTCGAGGTGTTGAGAGTCATCATAGTATATCATTCTGAGATTAGAGAGAGAGGTTTCGGAGAAAAGCAGCAGCAGTGAGAGCTCAAGATATCTAGCTCCATCGTTCCAGAAATCAAGAGGGCCTATCCTGGTTGAGACGAACAAGGGCCAGGGAAAAGTCGAGTTGTGCCAACCCAACAGCGGTCAATGTTCTGCAAACCCGCGGAGAGGAATGACCTAGCCTTGGACTTGAATATGAAAGTCCTAAGTAGTGAGTCTTGCTCAAGAATCTGGCGTATGAAACGCTCGTCTTCCAATTTAGAAGAGATGAAATTTCGTAAGTGTGGACGGAGAGACAGTGTGCGACCTGCAGAAAGTGATATGATGATGCAGCTTCATTCTCTTGAGGTGGCTGTGAATATTGGGCGAGCCTCCTAATGGACGGCAGGCGGGACTGTGAGCTGGCGGATGCCGACGTGAATGATGACAAGACCTCGTGATGACCATGTAACCTAGCCTTAGCCACCTCTGTCAGGCGGATCTCTAGAGCGACATCTTCTATGCGTTCTGTACCGATACTGATTTCGATCTTGAAGACAGTCATTGGGCCCAAAGGTGACGAAGTGAAAGACGTTGCACGACATACACGCGTGATTGAAACATCTGCTGAGATCTAAGTCCATCGAGGTACGCGACTTTGACCGACCATTCCCTATCATTTTCAGTCTGGACTCTGGCGGTCTTGGAATGGGAAGGAATTGGCATGGCATTCGACAGATCTTACTAGGATTCAGTTCACGGACCACTAGGCCATCTACTTGGCGAGAGTGGCAAAATCATTATCAATCTGATCTGGCCACTTCGGCTCTGAGGCAAAGCCCGCCTTAGTCAAAGCCCGGCGGCACTTATGTGATCACAAAAATGGTTGGCGGCTTAATCCGAACTACGACGCGATGGGTCATCTAGGAATGACGTCCGCAGTCTCTTTCGTCTCGGGCAAAATAGGTCTGTACTCATGCCCACTATACAAGGCAATCTTCCCGCCGGAACCTCCTCCGGGGCGGATTTGACTCTCTATCAGGTCTTGTCCGATCTGCAAGCGGGCTCACTTCGTTTTGGATCTGTGAGCAATGAGAGAGCTTGTAGGCAGAACGAGATGTCTGGATGGTGTGCTAAAGTATCGGCCCTTTGTGGCCCACTCACATCTGGCTTTGGACCTTGGTAGTGCAGGGCTGTCATCTCGACCAGATTCTGGAGAATCCGGCTCAAGCCAAAGTAGTGGATCGAGTTTAACGGTGCGTTGCAGAGCGCCATGCTGACAAGGCTCTGATCGGAAGAGAGAAAAAAGCACCGCCTGCTTCCTTCAACTTGAGGTAGATTAGTTCTCCCCGAGTCATCTTAACTTTCAATTCTCCCACTAACCATGCAACTCGAGATCAAAATCGCCGGAACAAAGGACGTCAGAGTCGTGACTGGGTGTTTATAGGCTTGATTATTCGCAGGAGGTGGTTCCCACAAAAATGGATAGTTGGCACCGGCGATCCATTATACTTCGAGCCCGTGGATTCACGTCATGGTATCAAATTTTGTAATTGGGCTATGAAGCAGTTTGAAGCCGTTGTAGCGATTCTGGAGATGATAGGTAATGTCGCCTTGCCAAGGTGGAGATACTGGAGGTCAACCGGAGTCAGTTCCCTATCCCACATGCTCATGAGCTTAGCTAAGAATCTTAGCAGCATTTGTCGCCTACTGGGTATGCCTCCTAGTGAAGCAGCATCGAATGTATAGATAGTATGTTGTAGGACAATTGAAATCACGTGACCCTAAATGGCTTTTACCGGCCCGGTTGAGATTCAATCCTCCGGACAGTGAATGAATGTCTTCGGTTCCGGCGGAAGATGAGGGCTTTCGGGATTCGGGACCAAGTGGGAACGGAACCCACTGCGGTCGGAACCGAAAACATTTCCCCTCTCAGGCATCCGGTAACCCCCAAAATCACCTCACAGGCTCACACACAACAACTCCATGGAATCTACTCGCTGACTCGAGACAAAATCTCATCCTCCCATCGGGCCTGCTGGGTGCAAACCAAGAGCCATTAGTGTGCTAGGGAAGCTATTGACGCACACAGGCCAACCCTGGAAGATGTTACAACCGGCTTGGCTTGAAGCCTGTCGGCCTGGCCTACGTTACTTCGGATTCAATCATCGTTCAAAGGCTCCACTTCTCTAAACCTGGAGAAGTAACCCTTCGCTTCCCCATGGGACGACTCTCCGGGGTAGAAATAGGGCCCCACGGCCACTCTGCCCCAGAATGTCTCGTGCTTTATCGTTATCATAACAAAAGCACATTTTTATCGGATTGATAGTGCTCACCCGCGGCACTTTGGCACAATGTCCGTGAAAGAAGCCACTGCAGCAACCGACAAGGCTGCCCTAACCCGGACCGCACAGGCGGTAGCTGCTCGCGAATATGAACAACAAGGCTGGCTGGAGAGAAGGTTGAAGCCCAAGACCATCACCGCCCGATATCCCTTCAAGGGCGCTCCTCTGCTCTATGCGACATGTGCGTTCGGTAGTTTGGGCGATGCCCTGTTCGGATACAACTCCGGTATGTCCTACCCCGACTGTCAAGCTATGAAAGGAAAGGAAAGAAGAAAAGAAAGAAGAGAAAACCGGCTAATGGCAAGATCAACCCAGGTATCATGTCGGGTCTTCTCGTGAACCCCGTGTTTGTTGCTCGGTTCTTCAAAAAGTACGGCGGTGCGGACGGTTCAACATCCGGGGTCGATCCGTCGATTACCGGCATAGCGGTGGCATGCTTACAGGCCTCCGCAGCGGTGGGCGCTCTCATCGCAGGACGACTCGGCGATATAATCGGGCGCAAGAAGTGTGTCCGGATTGGAGGGTTCATCTACTTCTTCAGTGCTTTCATCCAGATGTTCGCCCCTGGGTTTGGCACCTTCATTGCTGGTCGCACCATCCAGGGCTTGGGTGTCGGATTTCTCTCAATGACTGTGCCCATCATCCAGACGGAGATCGCCGCCCCGCATCGGCGTGGAATGATGGTGGGGATTGAGTATACCTTCCTGATTGCCGGATACATGCTTTCGTGCTGGGTGGACTACGGGTTCAATTTTCTCTTGCCCGGGGAGATGTCTTGGCAGGGGCCGTTCATCATCCAGATCATCCTCTCGTTTATCCTGCTAGCAATGTCATTTTATCTCCCTGAGACTCCGCGTTGGCTGGCCAAGAACGGATTCATGCAGGAGAGTCTGCAGACCGTCGCCGACCTGCACGCGAACGGCGATACCGAAGCCGAGCATGTGCAGAAGGTATTCGTCGAGATTGAAGAAGCTGTCATCTTTGAAAGTAACCTCGGAAAGTCCACTTGGATGGTAAGATCCACATGTCTTTTATCATTCAGAGCGATACTCAGACAGCCAACAGGAGATGTTCACTCGCTACCGCAAGCGGACCATTGTCGGGATCACGGTGCAGATGTTCGCGCAGCTCAACGGCATCAATATCATCTCCTTCTACCTCCCCAGCACCCTTGCCACCGCGGGCTTCGATGAACGAAAGTCTTTGCTCTACACCGCAGCGAATGCACTTCCGTATACTGCTGCCACAGTTGTGACATGGTGGTTGGCAGATAAGTGGGGCCGGAAGCCGTTGCTCATCCTCGGAGGTGAGTTTCTCCCATGAATGAGAATCCCATCAGAGTCGGATAACTGACAACTCCATTAAACCAGGCATCGGGATGGCAATCCTGCTCAGCATCGTCTGCGCCTTCACGGAAGCGGACCTGGACATCCACACCCGTGCGAACGGACAGTACGCCTTCGTCATGCTCTACAACATCGTGTACGGCTTTACCTGGGGCCCGATGCCGTGGCTTCTTCCCGCTGAGATCTTCCCCCTGCGCGGCCGCAGCAAGGGCATGGCGCTGGCCACTACGAGCAATTGGATCTTCAACTTCATCATTGGCATGGTCTCTCCGGATGCCTTCGCCGGGATCCACGGGTATTTCTACCTGGTGATCGCCGGGTTCTGTCTGTTTTCAGCTGGGCTGGTGTACTTCTACTACGTGGAGACGGCGAACAGCACGCTGGAGGAGATTGCAGAGTTGTTTGGCGATACGGCGTTCGCGGGGGCGGACGGAGAGGAGATTCGGGGGGTGTCGGAGGTGAGGACCGATCATGGCAAGGATATTGCGTAGTGTAGCACATGGGGTCTGGCTGTGAAAAATCCGTACTCACGGGGTATGATTTCAAGGCAGACTCTGCCCCAGACACCGGGGTATGGTTCCTTTTATTGATGAGCTATTCATGAGTTTACCCAGTCGAGCCGGCATGATGCTTGAATGTATTTGTTTGCAGGTGCTTTGAGAATTGAATCTTGTTCCTTGGTAATTCAAGGACGGAAATGGGGGCCTCTGTCGAACCCCATAGAAAGCAGGAAGGATCATTTTCGACTCAACCGTGGATTGAGCAAGATTTGACTGCGTTTGTAGTGCAGGATGCGACCCGCGTGCCGTGGAAGCCAGGCATGCCGCATCCCCACCCGAATACGGGCGCATCCGAGCAAGCTGACAATCCTTCTTTGTTTCCCCACACAAAAGGATGGTACTATGTCCTGTTTGCAGATAATTCTGGCTCCTTATGCTATAAGCTCTTGAAGCCTCTCAAACCCAAATTACGATCTTGAGTCTTATCCCGATGAGCCTGGACAGATATCTCTCGTATTCAAACTTCCCAGCCACCGCCATATATATCGAGACAGCCATTCTCCAGAGACACATTCTCATGGATCCTAGAACTCCACTTGAACCTGCGAAAAATAATTCACCATCAAACTACTAACCTCATGACCCCCAGGAAACAGCATAATCCAGCGGCGCGATGTATGTCTGACCATCAACGCACAATGGAACTATCGATGAGATCAGGGCTAACAGCGTGCTCCCAAAGCCGCTACTTGCGGGGTATCCCGCCCAACGCAGCAGCAAAAAGAGACCTGCACGGACTACCTGCTCTTCGACG